TATATTCATTTCATGTTATGTAAAGTAAGGGAAATTATCTTTTGGATCTATTGGTAATACATTTTATCCTGCATTCCTACTGGAAGTAACACATTCTCTTTTTATTTTAATTGTATAGATAAACTATTTAAAGAGGAACTGTCACTTCTATGGGAATTATGCCAATGATTAAAAATTAAAAGTGACTTAAGACTGGGCCTGGTTTAGATTCACTGTGTGTATTGCTTTTGTGTATATAGTACCCCTCCTCACCCCCTGATTTTATCAACTATTAAATGTTACATTTTATTAACTCTTACTAACTCCCTCTCCTTGCCTGGAACTGCACATCATTATTTGGTCCTGTCTTTAGTCACTTTAAAATCTATATATTGGGTTACCCTCATTCTGGGAGTTAATTTTTTTGGTGACTATTTTTGCAGCCTCAACCAGCCATACTTCTTTCTGGACAGAAGGAGGCTGCTGATTTATATCTTGTTTCAACATCTTTTTTGGCGAATAAAATTTCCAAAATTTGAATGTATATTAGATTCGATGGCACATTAGATTTGAGTAGGAACGGGGAAATTCGAAATTCAACGTGGTGAAATTCACATTTTCCAGTTTGTGCTTGAATCTTATAAGCCAAAATCCGCTACTATTTAAAAAATATTTTTTTTCAATTCTAAAACCTATGCCAACATAGAGTGAGGATAAACTTTACTTACTCTACATTTCTGAAAAAAACAAAACATTAAGACAGAATGTGTACTTAATGCCACAACAAAGCAGATAAAGAATAAGAAGGTGAATTTTTCACACTTTGAGGTCATGGGTTTAGACTTAAAGAAAGAAGGTTTAGTCTAAGGCAAAGAAAACTTTTTATTGCAAAAACAATAAGGATGTGGAATTCTCTGCTTGAAGAAGATGCATACTTGCAAAATCATAAATAAAAAAAACAAATGTGGGAAGGCTGAACTTGATGAACACGTCTCTTTTCAGCCTATGTAACTACTGAAGGCCATGCTTGAAGATACCCCTAAATCTCTAATAAATATTCAGTAAGATGAGCCTGAGTCTGAAAACATTGCTAGCTGATCTCTGCAGGGTTCCTTCTAAGAATTTGTAGTAATATCTGTAGTGGCCACACTTTCATTCATTACTGAACATCTGCAGGCTATGGAATTATGAAACTAAACATGATCTTTTTCCAATAAAATACATTATTTCTTTGCCAGGGCGAAATACGCAAGACTTGTTTTCTGTATCTTCTTGTACAAAAGCGCATTACATTCGACAGCGAAAAAAATTCAGCTTAGAGATTTAAAAATGCAAGTGAGCATTAGATTTGATGGCGCATTAGATTCAAGTAAATACATATTTTTTTCATTGGATGCTATGGTTTGGTTTTTCATAAGTTTGTATTTAAGGCTTACTTCAACCTTTTGTAGATAAACTTTTTTTGTGTACAATGCCATTTTGGACATTGGTATTGGTATCCTTAAAACCTATAAAAATAAGTCTTAAATGAACACTGTACACTCTTAGAGCACTTTAGCTTGTTGAAGTACTTTATGTGTGAAGAGTGTGTCCTCTGGCTGTCTATCAGACACCTGTCCTGTTACTATCTGGGCAATTGCAGAGAGCTTGAAAAGCATGATGTTCCGCTACTCCAAAGGAGATGTACAAAACTTTAAGAAGTAAAATATATTACTCACTCGATCTGGACTGCCAGAAATCAAATAGACGATAAGACAAAACCAGGTGAGGCGTACCAGAAAACAGAAAGCTCAAGTGGAAAGCCAGGTCAATAAGGGTAATTCAAAGTACAGTAGTTTAAAGACACTATTGGATCAAGGTGAAACCACAACAGGGCACTGTTCACTTGGACTTTAGCTGTTTTATAGGTTTGGAGGCTTGATTGAACTAACCACACCACCAATTACATTACTAGTGATGTCATAAAGTCGGCATGTGTGCGCAATGAGGTGTGCGCGCAACTGCTGGCGTAACTAATGCTGCTCAAGACGATAGGGGCTGGAACTATGGCGGTCAGCCGGATTGGCACTCTCCCTGAGCGGCGGACCAGTAAGGTACTCTCCAAAACCCTTACACATACATTTAAATATTTAGACCAAGTATGTGCATATAGTAAAAAAAATAGACATAGTTCACACACCTAAGCAAAGGAATGGAAATAAAATATATAACTAAAGAAAAACTGAATGTGTTTCACATCTTTTTACTTATACTTTTTTTTTTTTACATTTCAAATACATGTTTGTTAAATGTAAGGATAAGTAAACATAATATAAACAATTCTGGAAAGTGACAGTTCCCATTTAAAATATATGTACTCCAACTAATCCAAAATAATATAAGATAATATGGTTACTTACATTTAAAGTTGTTGCATATACAGCTTTTCTTTTGCTGCAAGCTTGCCCTGCCAACACATGAAAGCCAGTGAGAAGGCTCTAAAACTTTTCTATGGGACCTATCAAAGTGCTTTACTGACTTTATCCTATAAAAATTTTGGGCAGGCAGGGCTTTCTGGACAATATAGTTCAGACGGCTCTATAAAAAAAAGCCCACTTGAAAAAAGCCCAGATGAAAATTGCACACAGAAAAAACCCACTGTCATATAATGCCCACACAGAAAAATGCTCACACGGAAAATTGTCCACATGGTAAAATGTCAATATGGAAAAATGCCTACACAGAAAAAAGCCTACAAAGAAAAATGCCCACACTGAATAATATGCACATATGGTAATTTTCACATATAGTAATATTACCAAATTTTATTTTGTTATCGATATCTTATGATTAAAATATCTCATATTCATATGCAACAATTTTATTAAAGACACGGAGGCTCATATTATGCATAACTCTTTCTTTATTTCCTCAGCAGCAAAGATAGAGGAATATAAATATATCAAAAATGAAAGAAAAAACTGTATAGATACACAGGCAACCAATCACATAACAGAGGAAGTGACTATATAAGGCCTGTGTCTCCCACAATCCCCCTCTTTCTTTGCTGCTTCCTCAGACAGCTAAGTATTTGCTCTTATCCTTAGTTTGTCTCTGATGTTATATTTTGTCTGTTTTACATTATATTTTTATTGTGACTTGCTTGGGTTGCCTTTACTGGGCAGCCTTCTGCTGGTGTGCTCGGGCTCTCCCCTTCACCTCCTGTGTTTTCCCCCCGGTTATACTGTCCCCCTGCGCTCTCTCTCCCCCCCCTTGCGGGTGCCGCGCGGGACCCGGCTGTGTTTTCATAGCCGCGGCAGTCTCCTGAGCCGCGGCTGTGTTTGTCTCTGCTTCCCCGATCGCGGGCTGCCCGCGCGGGTAGGGTGCGCGCGCCCCCTCCCCCGCCGGGGATCAGTCCGCGATCGTGATACCACACGTGCGGCGGCCATTTTGGGCGGTCCGTCGGCTGATCGGTCGCTCACTCTGCTGCTGCCGTGCGGTCTGTCTCCCCGGTCTGGGTCCCCTGAGCGCACCAGCGGGCAGGTTTTTCTTCACAGTGTTCCTGTGGGTTACTCAACCCTTCTACCATTTCGTTTTCCCTTAAAGCTGTATTCCAGTTTATTTATTTTCATCAGTTAGTGCAGATAGCTTGCTTTGTTATTTACTGTCACTTAAAGGTATATTCCCCTATTATTGCCACCATGCAGGATAAGGAGGATGGGCCTGTGGGCACCCCTGGTGACTTTAATATAGATAACCCTGAGGGTGCTATGGCCTCCCAGGAATTTCAGGCCCTGCTGGATGCCACTATGGCTTCGTCCTTACAAAAGCTTTTGCTTCTGCAATGGGTGCTGTTTCTTCCTCCTTCTCTCAGTCACTGCATTCTATGCTTATGCCCTCACTGCCTACCCCCACCCTCCAGGGTGCGGGGTCCCCTTCCTCTGCTCAGACTGTGCCTGGTACCCGTAAGGCAAAGGCAAAATCTAAGCACGTTGATTCCCACTCCTCGATGCAGGTGTTACCTGCCATGACTGACACACTTGAGGTGGTCACAGACAGCGCGCATCCCACGCGCAAAAGAGCCCCTGGCCGGGCTAAAAAGGCTAGATTGTGGAAAAGGGCCAAGGCCCTAGATGATGAGTCGGATACCGACCGGAGTGTGGAACGTGACTCTGATGCTATGGAGTATGACTCCTATGATGAGGGAGGGTCAGACGAGGAATTACCCTCCGCGGAGGTTGCCCCCTCTGGGTCCTCTGCCGTGGCCCTAGGCCAAGTTAAGATTCCCTCTGGGGACAGTAAGGCCATTTTTGACCCCCAGGGAAACCCACTGTTCGACCCTGACGATCTGCGTCACCCACGGTCAGCAGAGTGGGTCCCCCCGGACCATATTGCACAATATGTGGCTAAACGCTTGCGTACACCCCTCTCCAAGGAGGGTCGCAACAAGTTGCCTGCCGAATGCCCTAGACCCTCTCTCCCGGGCTCGGCCTGTAAGACTCCGGATATCGACCCCCAAATAGCCCAATTCATGAATAAATCAGGCTGGAAACCCAAGAAGGGTTTGGATTACTCCCTCAAGGGATGCCAAGACAAGATATTGGATACCCTGGGCCCTCTGTCTAAACTTTACGAGCTGCTAGATGCCGCTAGGGCTGGAGACTCGATTATGGATATCGATGTGGCCATTGGGTGGGTCCAGAGGGCGATCTGCCTATTGGGGAACGCTAATACCGCCATGTCTTCGGAGAGGCGTAAGGCGATTCTCCTTAAGATCGATCCCAAATTGGCTGCCATGACGGTAGCGGAACCTGACCCCTCTGACGAGGGTTTACTGTTTGGAACCTCTTTTGTGAAGGACCTTGGTTCCTATGTTAAGACCTTTACGGCCATTGACAAGGCCCAAGCGAATATGAAGCGCGTGTTCGCTCCCAAGGTTTTCGGAGGGGCCGGGCGTAGCAGGAACCGTCCACCCGGCCGGGGCTTCCGTGGCTCGTTCAGGGCCTCCAGAGGTTCCTTCTTTCCTTCCCGAGGATTTCAAGATGCGAGGTCGCCTCCCTTCTTCCCAGCCAGAGGGAGATCCTGGGGCTCCAGGTATCCCCGTGGTGCCGCTTCGGGCAGACGCCCTTATGGTGAGTACCCATTTTTCCCCTCTCGATCATGTAAGGGTGGCAGGGAGGCTAGCCTTATTCTACCAGGGGTGGACAGATGTAACCTCAGATGCTTGGGTTTTGCGATGTGTAAAAGGTTATCACCTGGAGTTCGTTTCTATGCCTGTCCAGGTTCGCACCCCCAGAGAGTTGTCCCTCCCACAGGATCAGGACGACATGTTTACCAAGGAAGTAGAGGAGATGCTCACGAAAGGTGCCATAGAGGAAATGACGTTGGCCTCTCCAGGCTTCACGAGCAATCTTTTTCTGGTGCCAAAGAAAGGGGGCGGGGTTCGTCCTGTGATAAATCTTCGTCCCCTCAACGCATTTCTCCGTTACCAACATTTCCAGATGGAGGGTATACACTGCCTCAGAGACCTCCTTCGCCAATCGGATTGGTTGGCCAAGTTGGATCTGAAGGACGCATACTTTACAGTCCCCATAGCGTTGAGCTGCAGGGATTACCTCCACTTCACATGGCACGGTCGACGCTGGCGCTTCACTTGCCTGCCGTTCGGCCTCTCGTCGGCCCCTTGGTGTTTCACCAAACTCATGAAGCCGGTCATGGCTTACCTTCGTACCCGTGGGGTGCGACTGATCGTCTACCTGGACGACATACTGATCATGTCCCAATCCAGGGAATCTCTGCTGTTACATTTGGGTTGGACAATCAACCTTCTCCAAAATTTGGGTTTTCTGATCAACTGGGACAAGTCGGTCATGGTCCCTACCCAATCTATAGAATTCTTAGGTTTCCAAGTGGACTCCATCAGGCAATTCCTGTACTTGCCGGAGTCCAAAGTGAAGGCCATTCAGAAGGAGCTCCGAAGGGCTCTTCGGGTGCCGGATATGTCCGTCAGGCAACTAGCAAGGATTATCGGCCTTCTGGCGGCTTCGATTCAGGCGATCTTTCCGGGTCCGCTACACTATCGTGCCCTCCAACGACTCAAGGGTTCACACCTGCGTTCGGGTCGCTCTTACGAGTCCCGGATACGTCTGGACGACGAGTCCAGAGACGAGTTGGTATGGTGGTTGGCACACATGGAAGCCTGGAATGGCCGGGCCATCTTCGGTTCGGTCCCGGATGTCGTGATAGAATCCGATGCCAGCTTACACGGCTGGGGTGCTCGTTGTGGAAACGTTTCCACCGGAGGCAGATGGTCCGACATGGAGAGGTCCCTACACATCAATTGTCTAGAACTGCTGGCGGGGGCCTTCGCGATACGCAGTCTGACCCCAGGCCGGGCAGACTGTTGCGTTCTCCTCAAGATGGACAATGTGTCGGCAGTCCGGTACATAAATCATCTTGGGGGTACCAAGTCCAGAATGTTGGCACTATTGGCGAAGGATTTCTGGCAATTTTGTCTCCTCAACAACGTCTCGGTGCAGGCGGAACACATTCTGGGCCTGGACAATTCGGGTGCGGATTGGAATTCCAGGCACTTAAGAGACTCGGGAGATTGGCACTTGCACGTTTCGGTTTTCCGAGGTCTGGACAGTCTCTGGGGACGCTTCGAGTTGGACCTGTTTGCTTCACGTCTGAACACTCAACTCCCGGCGTTTTACAGCTGGAGGCCAGACCCGGCAGCAGTAGCGACGGACGCCTTTCTCCAAGACTGGCCTCCGGGACGCCTGTATGCCTTCCCACCGTTCAACATGATCGCTCGCACGATATCGAAGTTGGTCCGGCACGATTGCTGCCTGGTACTGATCACACCTCTTTGGAGGTCCCGTCCTTGGTTCCCACGCTTGATGGAGTTGTCGATAGACTACCCCAGACTGATTCCGAGCTTCCAGGATCTTCTCCTAGACCCGGATGGGAACTCGCACGAGCTGGTGCTCCGACATCAGCTACCTCTGATAGCGTGGCTCCTTTCAGGGGTACCTGGGTTGTCCCGAACGTTTCGCGGACGACTCTGCAACTCCTCGATAACGCTTGGGCTCCAGGTACGCGATCGGCATACCGCTCTTCATGGGGCTCATGGTCTAGTTGGTGCATGGAACGGGCAGTGGATCCCGTATCTGCCCCTCTCCATCTAATTCTGGAATACCTCACTTTTCTGTTTGATTCGGGCAAGGCGTATCGAACTATCAACCTTTTTCGTTCCGCTATATCGGCTGGACATGTTGGTTTGGATGGTTCGCCCGTGGGCAGACACCCCTTCGTGTGTCGCCTGCTCAAGGGCATTCGCCTCGCCCGTCCGCCCAAGGCTCGTTTCTCTGCCTTTTGGGACGTTAACATTATGCTTCAGTTTCTATCTTCCTGGTACCCGAACCAGGGACTGACCCTTAAGCAACTGTCTTCCAAGTTGGTTATGTTGCTTTGTTTGGTTTCATGTAAACGGGTTTCTGATGTTAGGGCCCTCGATTGGGACGCCGTTACCTTCTCCCCTGAAGGTGTGACTTTTAATATTTCCAGACGGACTAAATCTGCATCAAGGTCTTTCGTATACCCTAGATTCCAAGAGTGTCCGGCACTCTGTCCAGTGGAGTGTTTAAAGGTCTATTTGGAGGTGACTCGACCTCTTCGCTCACTAGACCTGCGACCTTTATTCATTTCTTTTCGTACTCCGCATCGACCTGTGGCGACACCGACCCTGGCACGTTGGGTGCGTTGGCTGTTGTCTATGGCTGGTATAGACACGTCTATCTTTACACCCCATTCGGTGAGGGGTGCTATGGCTTCCAAGGCTTCGACAGTCGGCTGTCGTCTGGAGGACATCATGCGTGCAGCGGATTGGTCTCGAGAGTCGACCTTCCGTGACTTCTACTTCAGACCTATTGAACACATCGCATCTCAGGTGATAGCACAGCTTTGAACTTGCATAATATGAGCCTCCGTGTCTTTAATAAAATTCCCAGATTTTACTATTAACATGACGTAAAGTCATGATTTTATTAAAGACACGGAGGCGAGTATTATTCCCTCCCACCCTCCCGGTGTGGGGTATGGAGCGAGATGCGATTTGGCTTGTTCAGGTATGTTGGGTTTGACCTACCTTGGATGTACTTCATATGGTGTATTACATATACTAATTAATTATGTCTATTATATTTTTCAGGTTTCATTCCTTAACCTTATGACAGGTCACTAGTTTCGTATTGGTAAGTCTACAGTTTGGAGTTTGGTTATTACCATATTTCTCTCTCTCTTTTTTAGCTTGAAATTGTCGGTTTGTTCCAGTTCCCGGTTTTGACCAAGCAGGATATCGTTCTTCTTACCTGGTCTTCGGTTTTCGCAAGAAAGAGGGGGATTGTGGGAGACACAGGCCTTATATAGTCACTTCCTCTGTTATGTGATTGGTTGCCTGTGTATCTATACAGTTTTTTCTTTCATTTTTGATATATTTATATTCCTCTATCTTTGCTGCTGAGGAAATAAAGAAAGAGTTATGCATAATACTCGCCTCCGTGTCTTTAATAAAATCATGACTTTACGTCATGTTAATAGTAAAATCTGGGAATTTGCCTTGTGATTTTATAATGCATAATTAAATAATAATTTTGCTATAACTATACTAATACACACACACATATATATATGTATGTGTGTGTGTTTATATATAAATGTAATTCTAATGTATCTTATATATAATTATTCTATTTTATTTATTATATATTGGAGGACCTGCCCCACAACCCAGGCAGAAATATCAGAGAATTTAATTTGCAAATCCTATTTTTAATCCTGTAAATTTCCAAAACCCAATAAAACCTGCAGATAAGGGGTGCTGTTGTACTTGCGAAGCATTGCTGAACACAGACATTTTTAAAACAATAAAATGTATAATGACAGTATCATCAGTGAAGCTGCAGTTTTTTGTGAAAAATGCAAAAAATAAATCTGAACACCAAGTTTGGCCAGGGTTCTGTTGTTATGGTGCCAAGACTCAGGAGTGTTCCTTCAAAATCAAACTAAGGGCAGTTTGGGTGTTCCTCTTTTTACTGTATGAGAATATAAACAGTGGACAAAAAAAAAGTAAATATGAGAATATGATACACATTTGCATGGATCTATAAAAATGCCGACATTCACATGGTATCTCAGACTAAGATTAAAAAAACAAACAAAAAAAAAACTGTGTGGTTTGTGCAACATAAGATTAGTAACTAAGCCATATAGCTAGTTCTATCTTTAAAAATCCTTCTGATCACAGGAATTCTACATTGCTCAAAATAAATACCTAAATTGAGTGTACTCACAACTTTCTGACACTTAACGCCAAAACCATGCAATGTATTAAACACACTATGTTTATGTCCTCTAGTCTTCTGCTTTCAGAACGTTAGCAGGCTGTATGTGTACACTGTACATTGCTGTGTTACTGCCCAGTAAGCTGCCATTCTACAGCCTGTGCTGTTACTGGTTAATTCATAACGTGCAAAAAGGACCGGTCACATGACAGCTTTCAGCCAATAGCAGTTGAAGAGTCATTCGTGATCTGCACATGCCATTTTGGAATAGTACTTTAACCCTGTGTCTGCAAGTCAAGCAGGTAAGAAGAACCCCTGCAGCTAGATCCAGTAGAATACTGTGTTATAGAGCACAATAACCTCCTGACAAGTGTGTGCACTGTATTCTAATTACATACCACAGACTAAAAGCGGCAAAAGAGACACTTGGTTACATGTTAGCAATCAGTAATCACAGGGGTCACTGGGCCTCCATGTACAAAGGTTAATATATCACCAGCATTTTGGGCACAAAATACATGCAAGTGTGTGGTTATTTTTTTTTTAGTTTTTTTTTGGTAATTAGCATTAATGTTGATTCTAGGTAGCACTGCTTTGCACCCATTGCTTTCTATAAACTAGAGCAAAGGTCTCATGAAGGTAGAAATCCATCCTTCTCTCAGACAAGTTGTCAACAGGGATCAGAGATGGTGAACATATCTATATATGAGGGAGAGGGGTGGGTGCCTGTCTGTGCAAAATACAAAAATGTGTGTCAACAATGTTACAGAACACATTTACAAACAACAGTGTGTGTTCTTAACCCCTAAATGGACACTATAGTCACCAGAACAACTACAGTTTAATGTAGTTGTTCTGGTGTGTATAGTACGTCCCTGCAAGCCTTTTAATGTAAACACTCCCTTTTCAAAGAAATTGTTGTGTTTACTTTCATTTTGGCCTTTTATCCGTTACTATTGTAAATTGCACCCTTAGCACATGCAAGGCAACCAGAAGATAGGAGGAAAAACCATTTAAAGCTTTTTTCAATATGTTCCTTTTTTCTTCCTTATTCCTAAACCTTTCTTCTTTTTCAATCTATTTCAACTAAAATACATAAAGCAAACTTGGGACTTCTCAGCCTCATGCATTTTTCCCTAGCTTGACCAATCTTGACAAAAGGAACAGAGTTACCTTTGTCAAATTGTGTCACTTATCACATCCATCGCTAGTGATGTCTGGGGACTAATGCATTGTCTCGCTCATCTCAAGACAAAGCTTTGATGGACAGATTCAGGTAAGTAAAACTCACTTTCTCATGGATCCCACGGCCACCAGACACCAAGCAGTGAAGTTGCCCCAAAAAGTGACACAGACGCTTTAACCCCTTAAGGACCAAACTTCTGGAATAAAAGGGAATCATGACATGTCACACATGTCATGTGTCCTTAAGGGATTAATAGCCTGGAAGAGATTTTGGCTGAATTTGCACTTTTATAGATCAAACCTAGTGTATCTTTGAATATATCTTGAATTAATCATACATAGCAGATAATCATACATAGCATTTCATCGGATTAATTCTAATATAATCCATTTATTGGCATGGTATCAGGTGGATTATAATTCAGAATCAAGATATTTTCCTGGAAATAAGACATCTTGCCTGCAGCAGAGGAGGCTGTGTGAGTCCGGACCCGAGTTGAAATGATAATAAAGACTGTATGCAGGATAAGAGTGTTGCCATCTTTTGCAGCTGGCTACGGGAGGAGGTTGATGTCCATGAATTGTGACCAATCAGAACAGACAGGTGCGTGCTTAAAGAAATATACATGAATACGTTTTTACATCTATTAAGAGAGGCAACATTGAAAGAATATTATTTAAATTAAGATCTATAAAAGAGACTTTATCAAGCATAGAAGAGAAAAGTCCCTTTTAAAGCTGCAAATAGTTTTGGTGATAAATTGTGCAATAGTGCTAGACAAATTGATAGCAAATGTATGTCTTTACAGATATAATCAATGTTAAAATTTGCTGTCTTTCAATCTGGCTGTAAGAGACTGTCAGATTGCCCTCAAACACAGCATCTGACTCAACCTATTTTCTGGTGTTTCTCAGGAACTTTTTATTTTGTATTAATAAGTGAGAATGTCTGTACATCTGCCTGTTCACCCAGCATGCTTGCATTTTGCCTGATATTTTCTTTGATCTGTCTCAAAATATTTTTTATTGGACAGATCTGTAAGGATTTCTGTACATCTTCCTGTTCACTCAGCTCTAAAATCAGATGTTGACTCAGCCGCTACGTCTCCCTTGGCTGAAATCACAGATGATCTCAGCCAATGCAATGCTTAACAAAAGGGAAGCATTGAAGGCTAATGCGCATGCATAGCAATCGCCACTCAGTCAGTTTCTCTTGATAGTAATGCACTGGCTCAGTTCATCTCTGTGGAGAGCTTTTGGTGTCTTCATGTAGAGCGTGAAGAAGCTGATTTTTGGTCCTCAAAAGATTGCAACACCACTCCAGAAACCCTTTTAGACATCCACTATAGGCGACCTTAGGAAACAGTGTAAACGTTTCCTCTTCTCATTGCTGAGACAGTAGGAAAATTACAGGCTACACGGCAATAGCAATACAAAACCAGAGTTTTTGTCAGATGAGGCCTTAAAAACATAAGTTTTGGCTTCACTGCCTTAAAGGAACTATATATTCCTAACAGTATAGTTCCCTAGTCACCATTTAAAAACATACATTTTGGCTTCACTGCCTTAAAGGATCTATGTATTCCTAATACTATAGTGCTCTAGTCACCATCTAGGTGAGTGGGCTCACTGCTAGGGTTGAAAAGGTGAGTTTACATACCTATTCTCCCTCTCAGCGCTGGTTTCCGATGATGATCTCAGCCAATCTAGTCCTCTCTGAGATCATTTTATTAAAATTGTGAAATTTTACACCTCTATACATTTCAAATGTCAAGCAGTTGTGTATTTTAACATTATTCAGAACCCAAAGCCATTTTAGTATGGTCTTGTCAAAAAGATTGTAAAGCCTGGTAACTTAAAAAGACACTATAGTCACCAAAACAACTACAGCTTAATGTAGTTGTTCTGGTGACTATAATCATTGCCTTCAGGCATTTTTATACAAACACAGCCTTTTCAGAGAAACCTACAAGTGGCCACTCCTCAGATGGGCACTGCAGGTGCTTCCTGGCTCAATGCTGCATAGTAGGTAGCTCTGCCGTTCAGCGTCTCCATGCTCTGCATGGTGATGCTGAATTTTACCACATGACAGGAGGCTTCATATTTTGCATTAACTTTCTTTACTAGCTCCACAGCAGCAAAGAAAAAACAGTTGAACGAAAGAACCAATCAGCTTTCCCATGGGGAACACATTGGATTGGCTGAAATTGGCAAGGGGGCGGTGCCAAACATCATTTTGGCCAATTAGCACCTTCTCATAGAGATGCATTGAATCAATCCATCTCAATGAGGAAAATTGAAGATTATGCTAGTGCATAGCGCCCCTGAAGTGCAATAAGGGCCCTTTGGCAAGACCGGTTAAAGACATCTCCTCGGACGAGGAACAAGACCTGCCACACTCCCTCTCCATTCTCGATGAATGGCAGGCGGACGTCTCCGAATCTGACGAAGGCGATTGGGGCTCCAACGCCTACGTTACGGAGACCTTCCTGGGTGAGCCCCAGGGTAAGGGAGACGAGGAAACCTCCGCCTCAACCAAGCTCTCACAGGACCAAGAAGTGTTTCTGGACACCACAGGGCACAGAATGTTCGATCCCAGAAATATTCGGCACCCCCGATCAGGGGAATGGGCCCCGCCTGAGCATCTCCTCAGGTTTATGCATTTCTGGATCCGCAAACCCCTGGAGAAGCACGTACGCAAGCGGATGAGAGCGGAATTCCCAAGACCATCGCTACCAGACAAAGTAGCCTTCACATCCAAATTCGATCAGCTTATGCTGACATTCATGGAGCAGGGAGGCCGGGATCCCCGCAGGGGGATAGAGAGGAGTCTAAAGGGGGCGCAAGACAAGCTCCTGGACACGATGGGGCCTTTGGCCCATGTAATGTATTTGGCAGACGACGCCTATACCAGGGCGGACTCTTTCAATGCGGACATGATCAGAGAATGGGCACATGACATCCGTGAATGGACCCAGAGAAGCTTCTGCTTTCTCGGGAACACCATTGCGGCCCTACAGAGCTGCGCCGCACAGCACTGTTCCTCATAGACCCCAAATTAACGGATTTAGGGGTAAAAGAATTGGGCCCACAGGCACAGGGCAAGCTCTTCGGGGAGGCCTTCCTCAAAGAACTCAACAAGCATGTCAACGTTTTCACCTCGCTAAACTGAGCCCGGACATCCATGCGGGAGGTTTTCCGGGGCAACCTCACGAGAGGTGTTTTTCCCAGTGCTGGTCGGCAGCGGGGCCGTGCCACCAGCCGATTCTGGCCATCGGGCCCCCGCACTGGACACCCACAACAATTTTACCTGCAACAGGGTTATCAAGACGCAGGAGCTCAACAGAGCTATCCCTACTACCAGAGGGGTGCAGACAGAGGACGTGGAGGTCGCGGACGAGCCCGAGCAAGACTTCCCACAGGTAAGCAAACAACCCAGAGTTACGTCCCAACTAACCATGTCTGCAGGCCGTGTTTCTCTTTTTTCCCAGAATTGAGCAGAACTATCTTCAGACGCCTCGGTACTACAGACAGTCAAAGGATACCGCATTGATCTACGTTCAAATCCGGTGCAGGCACGTCCTCCTCCACCATTACACCTCTCAACGTCAGACGCACACCTCATAGAAAAGGAGCTGATCGAATTACAGACGAAAGGCACCATACAACCCGCCCGGGGGCAGGGAGGCTTCTTCAGCAATATGTTTTTGGTCCGTAAGAAAACCGGAGACTTCAGACCGGTAATCAATCTCAGAGCATTGAATGCTCATGTAACCTACCGCCACTTCAAAATGGAGGGCATACATCTACTAAGAGACCTCCTCCAGGATAAGGACTGGTTTATGTGTCTGGATCTCAAGGACGCATATCTCTCAATCCCAATTCACACAGACAGCCGCCCGCTCCTCTGGTTTCTATGGAACGGCGCCCCTTGGCAATTCACTTGCCTGCCCTTCGGTTTGAGCTCGGCACCATGGTGTTTTACGAAGATGTTGAAACCAGTAGTTTCTCACCTCAGGACGCGTTGAATTAGGTGCATCATTTATCTAGACGACATACTCTTGTTCTACAGGACAAGGGAGTTGGCGGTCCAGCATACAAAATATACAGTACAACTATTGGAATCTCTGGGCTTCATAGTCAACAGAGAGAAATCCGCAATGACACCCACAAAAAAAAATCCAATTCCTGGGCTTCGAGATAGATTCCAGGTCTTGAACCCTGCATCTCCCGAAGACCAAGGTGACAGCCATCAAGAAGGAAATTCGCAGAGTACTCAAATGCAATTCCATTCCGCTGCGACAACTAGCGCGGATCGCGGGCCTTCTGTCCTCCTTGATCCAAGCCATATTTCCGGGCCCCCTGCATTACCGAGCCATGCAACAATTGAAGGCCCGCTTCTTGAGACAGGACCCTACGTACAATCAACCAGTTCCGCTGACAAACGAGGTACGACAGGAACTAGACTGGTGGCTCAACTGTATACATGCTTGGAACGGCCGAGCCATATTCGGCACCCACCCGGACTTCGTGCTGGAATCAGACGCCAGCCGATTAGGTTGGGGCGCCACGGACAGAGAGGCATCCACGGGAGGCACATGGACGAACCAGGAACTCTCACTGCACATCAACTGCCTGGAACTGCTGGCTGGATCCTTCGCGATACGCAGTTTGGCGAAAGGACAATCCAACTGTTGTATTGTTCTTCGGATGGACAACATATCGGCAGTGAGATACATCAATCACCTGGGTGGTACACGCTCCCAAACACTGGTGGAGCTGACAAAGGAGATTTTCGATTACTGCCTCCTACGCAACAGTACATTACAAGCAGAATACCTTCCAGGGGAATCGAATCGTACGGCAGATTGGTACCCCCGACACTGGAGAGATGTCAGCGATTGGAAGCTAGACCCACAGATATTCGCCCTCCTGAACAAACGGATGGGGCCCTTCACACTGGACCTATTTGCCATCACCAGGTACCACAGTTTTACAGCTGGCTTCCAGATCCAGAATGCCTGGCAGTCGACGCCTTCACCCAACATTGGACCCCCACGAGGAGCTTACGCCTTTCCTCCATTCGCCATGATCGCAAGGGTTCTCCACCAGGTTCGATGACGGGGAGTGCGGATAACGCTCCTGACACCCAACTGGCCGAGCCAACCGTGGTTCCCGGATCTGCTAGAACTGGCGTGGCGGGATCCGATCTTATTACTGAGCGATTACAATCTACTCAGGAACACGATGGGGGACACACACCCGATGCTCCTAGACCTTCGACTGTCATTGATAGTTTGGAATCTTTCCGGGGAGCATGGAGTACCGGAAACCTATGGGCAACAACTAAGGACCTCCTATGGGACTCCTGGGCCCCTGGAACGCGAAGGAGCTACTTATCAGCATGGCACTCTTGGACCGACTGGTGCATGGGGCGGAACCTGGATCCCTTTACGGCCCCTATATGCGATATCATGAACTTCCTAACACAGCTGTTCGAAGAGGGAAAATCGTATCGCACCATCAACATGCCGTCTCAAGGTAGACTGGTAGGACAAGACTCCCTGATCTGTCGATTGCTACGGGGCATCAAGCTGAGACGACCTCCAACACCAAAATACCGACACCTATGGGACGTGGACGTAGTACTCCGTTTCCTAAGGGGATGGCCCCCTAACGAAATGCTATCACTAAAGCAATTGACAGCAAAATTCACCTTCCTGCTGTGCATTTTCTCCTTCCGTAGGGTATTGGATGTTAGGGCGTTTCGACAAAGACGCATTCTCTATAAATCCAGAAGGGGTTACATTCCATATTTCCCGGAGGACCAAATCGGATTCGTCATCGGTGTTTTACCCATTCTTCACCTCGGATCCCCAATTGTGCGTGGTCAAGGCCCTACGAGCTTATATGACAGCCACAGAGACATTACGTTCACCAACAACGAAACAATTGCTGGTCTCATATGTCAGTCCACATGGACCAGTGTGAGGAACCACACTAGCCAGATGGATCAGATGGCTTCTTTCTCTAGCCACAGTGGACTCGTCCTTTGGTGCACATTCCGTGCAGCGGCATCAGCTGCCTTCTTAGCAGGCGCTTTATTAACAGACATCCTGCACACTGCCGACTGGTCACGCGATTCGACGTTTTGGACATTCTACTTTCGTCAATCGTCCAATGCTGCCTTCGCCCTTCTTCCTGAGTGTTAAAATTGCAAAATATGAAGCCTCCTGTCATGTGGTAAAATTGAAGATTATGCTAGTGCAGTGTACTGATAATCTTAATTTCAATAATGACAGGAGGTGAATATTTTCCCTCCCTTCATCTTGATGTTCCCACCCTAATACGGTAAGTGGATTTCAGGGACATCTGGATACGGGTTTATATGTCTATATCATGAGATGGTATGGGTTTTTGTTCCTTATGTTTCGATCTAGTATAGAAAAGGACTAGTTTCACAGACTATGGATAGGCTAGTTAACAGTCATATGGTCAACGCTCATATAAACATGTTTGCCATACGGTTGGTCCTGTATCACTGATACTAGTCTCCTTTCTCCTTTCAGCTTAACAAGATACCGAAAATAACGGACTCTGGTGTCAAGTTCTCGGTTGCCTGAGGAAGTTTGGCTACGCCATTAAAGTTTCCAAGTTGGATTCAGTATTTCAAGTTGATGCAAGATTTGTTATCATAATATAGACTTGTGATGTTGCAACTAGTCAAGAGGAATGACTAGGCTAGAACTTATATACTCTCTGACTCATGCTGATTGGTTCTTTCGTTCAACTGTTTTTTCTTTGCTGCTGTGGAGCTAGTAAAGAAAGTTAATGCAAAATATTCGCCTCCTGTCATTATTAAAATTAAGATTATCAGTACACTGCACTAGCATAATCTTCAATTTTCCTCATTGAGATGGATTGATTCAATGCATCTCTATGAGAAGGTGCTAATTGGCCAAAATGATGTTTGGCACCGCCCCCTTGCCAATTTCAGCCAATCCAATGTGTTCCCAATGGGAAAGCATTGGATTGACTAAAAATTGACAATTCTGATGATGTCACCAATGGGTGGGACTAGCGCCAGCCGACCCGCGCGGCGCTGGAAATAAGGTGAGTTTTAATTGCTTTTAAGGGGGCTAAGGGGTGGCAAACCTCTTAAATGGTGGGTTAAACACTATAAGGTCAGGAATACGTGTTTGTGTTCCTGACCCTATAGTGTTCCTTAAATTGAAAATGTCAATACAACAAACATAAATGAGATTTAAACAAGGACCAAAACAAGTTTAAGCTTAATAAGGGTGGGTTTGGTGTATCGATCATACCCCCTGCAGTCTCACTGCTCAATTCTCTGCCATTTAGGAGTTGAACCACTTTGTTTATTCAGCTATAGCCACATCTCCCCTGGCTGAGATGCACACAACTTTAGCTACATACTTCCTAAAAAAGAATCATAGGTTTTTAGCTTCCCTTTTTGCACAGTATATTTGATTTAGAATTTTGTATCTCCTGCTCTGTTAATAGCCTGCAACAGCCTCCTGTGTGTGATTAAAGTTCAATTAACAGTGCATAAAAACTTCCTTCCTGTTTGAAAATGAAAACTTTTTTTTTATGGAGGCAGTGTGAGTCACAGCCATGAGAGGTATGGTTAAGGTGCATAAACAAAGTGATCTAACCCCTAAATGGCAGATAATTGTGCAGTGAAATTGCAGGGGCAAGATCTATACACCAATATTGCTTCATTAAACTAAAGTTGTTTATGTGCTTATATTGTCTCTTTACAATTACAGGTCTCTTTGTTGCACAGGAAATAATATCTTGACTAAAAAAACTCCAAGCTAGGGTCACCCACTCTAAAACTAATGTTTTAGACATTGAGCCTAAAAGGATCTCCCACATTAACATCAATGTTTTTGCATCTGCACCAAAAAGCCTTAGCCTGTTTGTATAAATAAACTTGTTGACTTCAGAAAAACCAAGTGCATCTATCTGAAGATCCACATATTTCTATTCCTGATCATTCGGTTAGCAAATGTACAGCCAAAATAAACTTTACCTTTTCCATTCATTTTTGTATGTCCACACAAAAACAAGGACACTGTGTTAAGTAAAGATGATGATGTAAATTAATGACTTGGACCCCAGCACTTTGGTTATATTCCGGAACCACTGTAGTCAACTCTGGATCATGCTGCATGTTGTGTGCCAGACCCTGTTAATTTCCTGTTTTTCATCCCGGAATGTAAAGGGAAACGAAAGTAGTTCAAGACCATGGAAGTAGGTCAACTGGTGATGCTTAAAGATGGTGGGTTGCTGCTCTGACTTGTTGGGCTCTGCACACTTAACCCCATGAGATGCCATGCCCTATTCAAAACCAGCTGCATCTTTAGTCATCAACAAAGGGCAATATAATTATATATATATATATTTATTTTTCTAACACACATTTATAAATAGTCCTTACAATGTCATTTGTAATTCTTTTTTAAGCAAAAATGTTTTTGTCACAACTCTTTTTTTTCTAATTAATTGGTTTATTCACTAAACTAGAAATTGTAGAGAATTTATAAAGGAATTGCAAGTTATAAAGGAGCTTTAGTATGTTATTACAATGCAGTCGTTCTTATACTGAATAATGTAATGGTTTTTTTTTCCACTTATACTACTCATAAAACACCAAATCCGTCAGCTGGTACTTATTCCCACACTTATTTACATTTTTAATTATCTCACCAAATATATCACTACAAACCTGTAGGATAAAAGATAATGACAGTGGAAGAATTGACAGAGGTTATTGGATCCTTGCAAACGTAAAATATTTTGGATGAGAAAAAGATAATTACCTACAGAAGGTTATATATATATGCTAAAATGTCCCTTAAATATGGACATTGAAATAAATAAATCTCCACTTTTGAGGAGATTATAAAGATTGATGAGCTGTTTGCTATCACGTGTTCACATAGAGGTCATCTCATCAGGCTTCTCCTCAGAACATCTTTCTTATTTGACTTGGTGGGGACATCCAGGGTAGCCCAAATAATTCATCTAAACTAAGTTGCTGTGGTGCATAGAGGTCCTGGGTGTCATCTTACCTTAACAGTTTAAACTGTTTAAATATAATTTAATCCTAAAGTGGTCTAGATTACATCTCTTCCTCAATCTGAGTTCCTGGTTTCAATGAGGAAAACTCAGACTTTGCACCAGTAATAGAATGACTGTGTTAACCCTGTCAATCTCCAGGGTTCTAGGCAGGGGCCCGAATCTATTTGATTGAAATTAATTTGTGTCTGGACAAGTAGAGTTGGCAAATTTACAAACCCCTTTGAGCCTGGAAAGCCCTGTTTTTTTTCCCTCCAAACTCTCAAAAGCAGTTTGAAGAAGACTGGAGTGACTACTGACAATTTTTCCTTGCACCGTTACACTACAGGAAGCTGTAGTGATTATGGCACTTTAAGTTATTTTCTTTCCGTAATCTTGTTTTTTTCTCTCTTTTCTTCTGATTTTCTTTCTCTTTTTTTCTAGTTTCCTATATTGGATGCCTTTAATACTGTCTATTGTTTCATTAAAATGGTTATATATTTTGCCCAATATTGTTCCGCATTGCCAACCCTCTTGTTTTCATATCCTTTCTACCCATTCCTTTAAAAAATATTTGTGGTTTATATTTCAATTTCAGACAAAATGAACGTTAGAATTGAGAGACATGGGACAATTCTGACAATCGGTATCAACAGGCCCGAAGCCAGAAATGCAGTTAACCCTCAGACAGCTGCTCAGCTTGTTCATGCCTTTAATGAATTTGAGAAGGATACATCCTTAACTGCTGCTATACTTCACGGAATAGGTAAGTAATCACTTACATCAAGGCTTGACAAATCCCAGGTGCCAGGTGGCCATGGTAACTAGCAATTTTAACCTGGGGCCTGGGTATTTGTCAGCCCATTCCCTCTGAGGTGGGCGGCCGGCTGGGGGAGAAGAAGGTGGGCGGCAGTCTGGGGAAGAGTGGAGGCAGGATGCTGTAAGGAATGGAGTCAGCGAGGGGACTGTACTCTTCTTGCTCTGTTCCCTCGCGTGCCCTGCAGTGATCCCAGGAGCTGGAATATGATGTCACTCTGGCATCACTAAAGGGTATGCAAAGGAGAAGAGCAGGAAAATGACAGCAGCCCCAACTGATCCTAGGAACAGGATCCCCACTGGACCCCAAGGAAAGCCAATCCACTCCAGCTCTCCCAAAGATAGGGCGGGTGGACTTAAATTTAATTAAAACAATTAATAATTTGTGAGTGTATAAAAGAATGTGTGTGTCTAGCAATGACTGTGTGTGCGTCTGTGCAGCACTGAGGCAGGAAGCACTTTAGTGGTCATCTGAGTGACTGCCACTAGAGGTGTTACTAGGCAGCAAACTAAACACTGCATTTTCTTTGAAAAGGCAGTATTTACAGGCAGTAGACACCAGAACCACTACATTTTGCTAGTGTGGTTCTGGCGACTATAGTGTTCCTTTTCAAAATTTTATTTTTGTCACTGAAAATAAAGCTCTATTAGTTTTTAAAAAAAACAAAACTCTGCACCCACAGAGAAATATGCACTTTTGTGCCGGGTTTGTAGTTACATCTCTGGCACACATGACTTAGGCAACCTCTCTCCATTTACAGTTATTTTTTTTGTTTTTTTACTTAAATCCCTTTCCTACCTTGACCACCCTCCAATAGTGCAGGCTAAATTCAGAAACTGTTTTAACTATAAAGAGTAACCCTTTTAGCAACAAAAACATCTGATAGTGTATTCACACCTAAAATAAACTTTAAAACACTTTTCTGACAATTACTCAGTTTCTGAAGTAGTTCTAAGTGTTAGGACATGAGGAAAACAGGCACCACAATATAGCACAGTCCACCTGTTTAAAGGTCTGCCCATCTTTCTGTCTGCCACGAGGACCCACTGGTGGAGTTTTATTTCCTTTCCCTAAAACCTGGTTCAGTTTCAAAACAAGCCACAAAGTCACATACAACCCACATTGTTCTCTATATAGGCAAAATTTGAGTGCATACAGGATAATGTATATGTGAGAGGATTATCCAATATGTGAGGAAAGTATCAATGGTACACATTAAAAAATGCTATTTATATATAACACTCTTTTTCTTATTTGTAATGCTTGGTAATGAAATGGTTCAAGCCAGTAAAATGGTCTGTGAATTTAGGATTGCAACCATCTTGAAAGCTGTTGCCCCATGGCTTCTTAATAGCACAGGATTACTTTAAATGTTTGCATCTCGCTATATTATTGACAAAATGCCTCAACAGCTTCAGATAAAAAGAACATGGTGGTGTTTATTTTCAATGTGTAAAGAAAATTCTTCTTTTTGAAGCGATAGTGCCAGGAATATACCTTTAATATCCCTTTAAACGTGAAGAAGTGAAACAAATAATTTTCTATAAGAAGTATTAGTAAATGCTCACAAGGTAGCATCCTTCCAGAGTGGGGAATTCACCTATATTTCACCACCCCTGATCTCCCTTCAGTATCTTTGACAGCTTTGTTCACTTAAATCTTCAGCTGTTAAACTAAGAGTTCTAAGTTGATCTAGCTATTGAACCCTTAGCCATTATGGCTTGATAGATCAATGAACACTTCTCTGTCTGTAACTTAAGTAATTATAGTCGTACTGTATGGTCAGACCATAATGCCATTTCATTAGAGCTAAAACAAAACATATCTGAAGGAAAAATAACTAATTGCTGCATGAACAACCTTATTTTAAATGACAACAAAGAAATAAAACAAATTAAAGAGAAAATTAAGGAATATTTCCTGCACAATAATAACAAGGAAGTATCAGCGCCTATAGTATGGTGTGCCTTTAAGTCTGTAATAAGGGGTCACCTAATAAAAATAGGAATGCAAATTAAAAAGAAAAACCCAACATATCTTCCAGATCTATACATATTTCTATAAGAAACTAGCAGAAAGAATAAGGAATCTCCCACAATCATTTTGACCCAGATGATATAAAGTATGCATATAAATAAAATAATAACAGAAGATGGCCCTCAAATATCTCCCCAAAAAATAGGAGAGGCATTTAATACCTATTATCAAAAATGATATACCAGTCCAGATTTAAATAATGATATTATTGAACCACGTAAACCTAATGAGATGAAAACTATTACAAAAGAACAACTTAAAGAATTAAAGGGGTCACCTAATAAAAATAGGAATGCAAATTAAAAAGAAAAACCCAACATATCTTCCAGATCTATACATATTTCTATAAGAAACTAGCAGAAAGAATAAGGAATCTCCCACAATCATTTTGACCCAGATGATATAAAGTATGCATATAAATAAAATAATAACAGAAGATGGCCCTCAAATATCTCCCCAAAAAATAGGAGAGGCATTTAATACCTATTATCAAAAATGATATACTAGTCCAGATTTAAATAATGATATTATTGAACCACGTAAACCTAATGAGATGAAAACTATTACAAAAGAACAACTTAAAGAATTAAACATACCTTTTACAGTAAGACAAATATAGATTTATTCAAAAAAGACAAAGCGCCTGGCCCAGACCAGTTCCCAAATATATTCTATAAGATATTTAAGAATGAAATATTGGAAGAGTTGACTAATACATTTAATGAGATGGTAAAACAAAAAACTATGCCGGAAGAGATGCTATATGCAAATATTGTCCCTATTTTGAAACCTGAAAAAGCCCTGGAACCAATATCAAACTATAAACCAATCTCGCAGGTAAATTCGAATACACAAATATATGCACCAATATTAGCCAATAGAATACAAAAGATAACGATGAACTTGATCCATTTAGACCAGACAGGATTCATAAAAGGAAGATTCTCTGTAAATAACATAAGAACATTGATGGATATCTTAGACAATGTCGACAGATCAGGAGCTCCATTTGTGGCCCTATCAATAGATGCTAAAAAAGCATTTGATATGGTCAGATGGGGCTACCTGAAGTCAATATGTAAAGAACGAGGACTGACCGTTTGGATTTATGATGTAATATGGACATTATATGCAGGCCCTAAAGCAAGAACGATGGGGGGGATATCTTCAGATTGGTTCAGGATGACTAACGGTACTAGACAGGGGTGTCCCCCGTCCCCATTATTATATGTATTGTCCATTGAGTCTCTAGCAGATGATATTAGAAATAATACAAAAATTAAAGGGTTCGTAAGTAATAAGAGAGAATATAAGATCTCACTCTTTGCGGATGATGTCCTTATAACACTGGAAGATCCGCTGTCTTCACTGAAAGAATTAATGATAAGTATAGTTGAATATAGTAAACAATCTAACTATAAATTAAATATAGACATTGATTATAGATAAAAATCTAAGCTCAGGCATTAAAAAAACAATACGTTTTTTTCAAAAATAATGAGATTCAATAGCTGGCTAGAAACCCTAGGAAAATAATGGAGAATAATGTACTGTCCTTAATTAAACAAATTAATAAACAACTTAATATTATCAAGAATTCTTATCTTGGTTAGGAAGAGTAAATATAATTAAAGCCTATGTTTTTCCAAAATGACTATATATCTTCCGAATGAAACCTTTTAAAATACCAAAACCTTGGTTAACAATGATCTATTCGTACTTTAATAAATTTATTTGAAAAAAAAATTTTTAGAATAAATTTAAAAACATTATCTTTAAGATTTAAAAACTGGGGACTGGGCTTCCCAAATATATTCCAATTAAATGAGGCATGCAGAATTTCTCATATAATAAATAACTTAAGACAGGAGGCAATAGAGGAACCATGGTACCAAATAGAAATAGCAAGTATAGGAAACAATGATATTAAAAAAAAAATCTGGAATTTAAATAAAAAACAAGTAAAATCGATGATAAAATCTTCAATAATAATGGAAGATATGTACCCAATATGGGATAGCATAAAAGATAAGTTGGATATTCAAGGAAAATTTATGGATGAACGTCCAAATGAAGCTATAGAGATAAACATGGAGAATCTAGACATGAGGAAGTGGAAAGAAAAGGGGATGAAACAAAAAGGGGAGCTTATAAAAAACAATGATATGTTATTATTTGAACAACTTAAAAAAGATTGGAAGTTATCACCATGAAATAAAAAGAAAAAGTTTTCTATCAAAACATAGGAAAACCAATCCAACAGAAAAAGAAAAAAAGAGCTATACAACGATAACTAAAACAATGCATTTAATTTCTCTATATACCAAACATATTGAAATTCTGGCTGTAAAATCGTGGAATAAAGATCTACAGTTAGAAATAGGAAATAGAGAATGGTCTAAAATGCTAACTCAAACAAGCAAAGCCATTCATTGCCTAAACTAAATAGAGGTACAATACAAGTTGGCTAATAGGTGGTACTATGATCCCCTAAAACTATCTAAAATATATTCATCTAGATCATCTGAGTGTTGGAGGTGTGGTAAAATGATATACATATATGGTGGTCAAGCTCTGAAATACGCAAGGTTTTGCAGATAATTTTTAAATGGATAGAGAAGTGGACATCAAAGAAATTAGAGTACTCTTACGCACCCGCATTTCTACATATAGGATGTCAAAAAATGGAAAAAGACAAGCGAGATCTAATAATCCATACTCTATTAGCAGCAAAATTACATAAAGCAAAAATTGGAAATCCAATCATCCACCAAAAATAGTAGTGATAAAACTCCAAATTATAAACCAGTGCCAAATGGAACAGTGGATAAATGAACATTTTAATTTAAGCAATGATACAAGTTGGGAAGAATGGATAAAAAAGATCAAAAAAGAGTAATAATAGAAAGGAAATAGAAAAGAAAAAGAGATAATAGAAATAGGAGGACAAATTATATGTAAAATATTGATGATATAGGCAAATACGTTACTAGAATGCATGCTATAGGGGGAAAAATCATAAGAAATAAATATTTATATAGTTGTGTTGTGTTATGTTCCGATAAACTTACTATATGATTAAGGAGAGATATATCCCGGATATTGAAATTTGGGAAAAAGATATAGATATATAAAAGGGAAAAGAAAAAAGATGAAAAGATAACTTTAAAGAAAATGTAAGGTACCACATTGTATCAGCACTAGTCAATATGATCTGTACAGTCTGTAGGATAAAGGAATATATAGATTTTTTTTGTTATTTGTTATGTTGAGCAGTCATTGGTTCAAGATAGAATGGGTTGATATTTACTTAATACGAGCACCATTCTGGGACTCTCTATGTCTATGACGTAATATAGTTATGATAATATTTAGTCAGGAAGACAGAAGAATAATTGTACATAATTACAATTATTTTTTCACTATTATATTTATTATCATTATTATTATTTCTTTTTTTTATAAATTTTCTATTTACATTGCTATTAGCCATGATGCTCTGCCTTTCCTCGATCTCAGACTGTATTGTGATATGTGAGAAGCTTTGTTTCTGCCTAAGCATGGTTCTGACTATATGCTCATCGCAAACCACCAGCCAGAAGAACTCTGTGCGTTCCAACATGAAAGGCACGCTATTAATGACGACGTCATAGACACACACATAAGTGGATACTCACCATGCAACACACACCGGTCCAGCTGCCGAGTATTATTCCTCAAGTGCACTGGTATATAAGAAGACTCTCCTGGAACATCCACATTGATCCCTGAGGAAGTCCCAACGAAACGCGTAGGACTTTTGTATACTTTTTTTTAATGTTTTATTTCATTTGTATATTTTATTGATTATCTGCCACCCTGCATGTGTATTTCTGGAGCTTCCTGCTAGCCTTTGAAGTCTGGTCACCACGCTGGTTGTGGAGATATGCTTCATTTTATCTGCTATCCTGTAAGTGCAATGTTGTGCAATAAATTTGTTTAATTTTAATGCCATCTGCACTATATTATTCTTCTTTCTGTTACGCTGAGCCATCGAGAAGATCTTGCCTGAAGATAATCCATCTACTTTCCTGACCCTATTTATGGGAGAAATGCTTGAATATACATCCATCTAGTGAGTTCTCTACCACCCTCAACCCGATATTTATATTTAACATACTACACTATATATATTTTTTACTTATTTTACAGAATACGTTGTATTGTTTTCTCAGGTTGTATAATATTTTTAATATTCACCTATTTGGTATTTGGTACATATATTTCTTATATATTTATTTTATTTAGTACCCTTTTTTCTTTTTGTCTTTACTTAACTTTGAGTGTTTTAATAGGGAACAATTTTCCTTAAAGTGTCTGTTTGTGTTTTGGGAGCATATATTGAACCATTCTTGTGTACAGGAAGACAGAAGCACTCAATGATATATGATTACATCAAATTGGACTCCATGGATGGATAGATATCCCAATTAATAGCCTCAAAAACGCTCAGGAAGTAATCAAATATCTCCCTTAATTAGCCTTTCCTACTATGTTTGTTTTCCAGTTATAAAACTAATCTTATTGGGAATGTCTTGTTCTTTTAACATATTCATCCTCCCCTTGCAGTATCTTCGCTCAGGGGCCATGCGTCAGTGTACCTGACTCCTGCAAAATGTTGATGAACGCCGACTGCTGCGGATCCACGCCAAATTATAGCCCCTCGTCTGCCCTCGGTGATGACGACGTTGGCGTGCATGTGACGTCATGCGGGAGACTCGCGCGCACGTTCTGGAGTCAAAGGCCGATTTCGGCCAATCAGATTTGTAAAGGGCTTAATTAAACGCATTTATACTTCTCCTCATTGCCCTGTCGTGGTTTCCCTTAGTGGTTGTCTGACCTGTGTCCGCGACCTCGGCAAGTATTCTGACTATTCTTTGGTACGTTAAGCCCAGCCATTCTAAGGCCCGGTAAGACGTTACCTTTTAGTCCTAGGTGTGATACAGTTCTACATGTTGGATCAATTATTAATCATGACAGTTCTATACTTGATATGTTTTATACTCTTATTTCCCATTATTCTGACATTTTGCAGGTTTTATAATAATTACCATGGACAAAGATTTTGTATTTGTTTTATGTGTCTTCTATGTAATGTATTTATAAAAAAATTGGAAGCATGTCAATAAAGAATACAAAAAGTAAAAAAAAAAATTATAGTCGTACTGTATAATTTCATTTAAATGTAGCTGTAAAATATCATACAGCCTTTAGGTGGCACCAAAATCCGTTTTATTCTAGCCTTTATGTTTACAAGCACCACTTGAAAAATTATAAAATAGTTTTGCATACAAACAATAGGTTAGTAAATATTATTTTAATTATTTCTAATTATAAATAAAACTAATTGTGTGATCTGTATTTCATTACCAATTGAAAAGTATTCACAACTATGTAAATATTTATTAATATACATTTGTGTTGTCACGTTATTGACAATAAACAGTTAAACAGAAATATTTTTTGAAATACTTTAATGCAAATTCTATACACAGTATCTAACCATTTCATCTCACTGAAGTGGTAATGTTGCCTGGAGTCTCTTGATGTAATTTCACTGTTCAGTGTGGAATAATTTTTTTAAATTCTCCAGGGAACTAAAGGCACCAGAATCACATTAATGAAAGCAAATGTTTTGATGCTGGGAATATTCCTTTAAATCTTATTTAAAGGGACAATGTAGGCACCCAGACCACTTCAGCTAATTGAAGTGGTCTGGTTGCTATGTCCCTTTTGCACTTAGTTCTAGATAACTGTAATGTTATCTTTGCCTTATAAATAATGTTTTATTTTTTTATTAGAACAAAGACCTTAATATTTTTAGATAAGCTAATTATATGATTTCATACTTTTTAGTAAAATGGAAAAAATATTTATTATTTAGAAAAATATTTTAATATATTATTTTATATTTGTTGATATTTCAATATTTTGAAGAAATAATTTTTAAAAATGTATCCAAAAATGTTAAATCATTTGAAAATCTTAAATCAAGGCCTAATTTAGCAATATTTATCTCATGAAATGGCTCTCAATGATTATTCTAATGTGCAGTATCCAAAGCTTCTGATAACAGTACATGTTGGATGCTGTCCAGGAAGTAGGAGGGTCTGGGAGGGAGGGTCTGCCGGAGATTGGCCGGGATGTTTCAGCTGACCGGAGTTCGCCGCGAACCGTTCACGAGAAGTTCGCGGACGGTTCGCGACATCTCTACTGACGACATGTAACATATGCACAGAATCGACATTAAGCAGCCCAGAACAGAGTTCCAGGCTACCTAAGTCGTAAGTGCCAGTGGTGTAGCAAGCTTCCGGGACACAATTGCAAATAGCTCAGTATTTACACTGCACATCCAGACTCTTATCACATTGGCCAATTCAAAAAGCACAAGTGTTCATGATGGTTGGAGTAGTCCAAAATCCTAACTCATAATTTTGCTTGACCCTTTAACCACAACCATCTTAAAGGGACACTCTAAGCACTCAAAACCACTTCACCTTAATTAGTGTTTTGTTGCAATAAAATCTCTACCTATATTGGGGCAGTATTTGGTCATAAACACACTTCTAGTGGCTGTCAGACTGATAACCACTAGAAGTACATTGTTATTGGAGACTTTCAGTTATTCAAAATGCTGTGAATGCTTCTCATACTGAATCAATAGATTCAGTGCTTCTCTATGAGAAGCATCTAATCGCCTGAGCACAATAAGACAATGTATTGAACAGATGATCTCCTTTTAAAAAACAAACAGTTCCATATACAGTATCTCATAAAAGTGAGTACACCCCTCACATTTTTGTAAATATTTTATTATATCTTTTCATGTGACAACACTGAAGAAATGACACTCTGCTACCATGTAAAGTAGTAAGTGTACAGCCTTTATAACAGTGTAAATTTGTTTTCAAAATAACTCAACATACAGCCATTAATGTCTAAACCGTTGGCAACAAAAGTGAGTGCACCCCTAAGTGGAAATGTACAAATTGGTCACAATTAGCCATTTTCCCTCCCTGGTGTCATGTGACTTGTTAGTGTTACAAGGTCTCAGGTGGGGAGCAGATGTGTTAAATTTGGTGTTATCGTTCTCACACTCTCTCATACTGGTCACTGGAAGTTCCTCGTGGCAAGGAACTCTCTGAGGATCTGAAAAAAAGAATTGTTGCTCTACATAAAGATGGCTTAGGCTATAAGAAGATTGCTAAGACCCTAAAACTGAGCTGCAGCATGGTGGGACAGGTTCCGCTCAGAACAGGCCTCGCCATGGCCAACCAAAGAAGTTGAGTGCACGTGCTCAGCATCATATCCAGAGGTCGTCTTTGGGAAATAGACGTATGAGTGCTGCCAGCATTGCTGCAGAGGTTGAAGGGGTGGGAGATCAGCCTGTCAGTGCAAAGACCATACGCCGCAGACTGCATCAAATTGGTCTGCATTGCCGTCGTCCCAGAAGGAAGCCTCTTCTAAAGATGATGCACAAGAAAGCCCCCAAACAGTTTGCTGAAGACAAGTCTCCTGCAAATATTAAATAATTGACTGGATATAAAAAAAGTTAAAACAGTCCGAATATTGTGGAAAAAATATACTAGAGTGCAAGAACTAAAAAATAACAATAAAAACATATTTAACAGCACTTAAATTTGTTTTTTATTTCTTGCAAGAAGCTGTACCTAAAAGTCAGAGGTCAACTTTAACTTTCTGAACATCCTTTTTAAAATGTTTTTTTTTTTTTTTTTAAAAGACAGAGTTGTTTTAAAATGGATTTGCCGTCAGACTGTAATGCTATCCAAAATACACTAATCCCAGTAGTACTTTTGACGTTTAGGCTGAGAGGCCAGGTGTAAGTTTCCATGTTCCCCATTCCTTCATTCCACACACATATACTGGCTCCTTTTTTAAGTATTTGCAAAGAAAATATGACTTGCACCTTTTGTTACATAATCAGGATGTCAGAACTGCGGGTTAGGAAGCTATTAACTTTTAACTTTTCTGAAGATCTTGTTTTTTCTTTCACATGCTACATTTTGTATCTGTGGAAAAAAAAATCTTCCATAATTGGGCTCTGACTGTGTGAAAGACCCGCTTATTATAAGTTTAAATGTAGTGACATCATTGATGAAATCATGTTTAACCCATTCACGCTCATTAACCCTACAGTGTAAAATGTAATGTTCTTGTTTTTAGTATTCCTCTAAAAAGCTTTTGCGTTCCTAATAATGGTGGGATTTATGTTTGTTTTGTTCATTATTATTATTTTTTTGCTGAACAATGTTGCTGATTACTTTTATTCCAGTACAGCCCCCATCAAAAGTATGTGGCTTTCAGTAAATTAATTTTACTTGTTCATTCACAACTACTGTAGCCATATTCCCCCAATACTGTATGTAACCAGTGACGTACACACAACCCATGGGGCCCCGGTGCGAAAACTGATCCACAACAAATGGCGGCGGGCACCTTGTCGCAGGGCTGCGACCCTACGACCGCGGTATGTACACCAGTGCATGCAGATACACATACACTTAAAGGACCACTACAGACACCCAGATCAGATCAGCTCTGCTATGTTTCACTGAGGGTTAATCCAGCCTCTAGTGGCTGTCTCATTGACAGCCGCTAGAGGAGCTTCCGCGATTCTCACTGTGAAAATCACAGTGAGAAGATGCTGAATGTCCATAGGAAAAAATTGAGTAATGCTTTCCTATGGGCGGTTTGAATGCGCGCGCTGCTCTTATCGCGCATGCGCATTCGGAGCTGAGATGCAGATTGAGGCGGAGAGATCCCAAGCGCCAAGGGAGTCCGGCGCTGGAGAAAGGTAAGTGCTGAAGACACACACACTCTCACGAACAGACGCATACACACTAGCTAACAGACACACACACACTCACGAACAGACGCATACACACTAGCTAACAGACACACACACACTCTCACGAACAGACGCATACACACTAGCTAACAGACACACATTTACTGACAGACATACATACACACTCAACTGACAGACAGACACATACACACTCACTTACAAAACACACACTTACTAACAGACACCAAACAGACTCACTAACAGACTCACACAAACACACTCAGTAACATACACACACTGACACTAACACACCGCGGTATGTACACCAGTGCATGCAGATACACATACACTTAAAGGACCACTACAGACACCCAGATCAGATCAGCTCTGCTATGTTTCACTGAGGGTTAATCCAGCCTCTAGTGGCTGTCTCATTGACAGCCGCTAGAGGAGCTTCCGCGATTCTCACTGTGAAAATCACAGTGAGAAGATGCTGAACGTCCATAGGAAAACATTGAGTAATGCTTTCCTATGGGCGGTTTGAATGCGCGCGCTGCTCTTATCGCGCATGCGCATTCGGAGCTGAGCGGCAGATTGAGGCGGAGAGATCCCTAGCGCCAAGGGAGTCCGGCGCTGGAGAAAGGTAAGTGCTGAAGACACACACACTCTCACGAACAGACGCATACACACTAGCTAACTTACACACACACACTCTCACGAACAGATGTATACACACTAGCTAACAGACACACATTTACTGACAGACACACACTCAGTGACAGACATACATACACACTCAACTGACAGACAGACACATACACACTCACTTACAAAACACACACTTACTAACAGACACCAAACAGACTCACTAACAGACTCACACAAACACACTCAGTAACACACACACACTGACACTAACACACACACACTCTAACACACACACACACTCTAACACAGACACACACGTTTTTTTTAAAATGTAATCCCCCAGCCTCCATACCTTTGGGAGTGCAGAGGGGATTCCCTTGGGTCCAGTGGTGTTGCTGGGCGGCCGGTCACCGGGCAGGCTGGCGGGCTCGCGAGGGTGCATTCTTCCTATTCAGCTCCCTCGCGCGCCACGTACTGATGCCGGAGCCAGAAGATGACGCCATAGTCCCGCTCCGGCATCAGTGCGGTGCGTGAGGGAGCTGAAGAGGGAACACTAAGGGGAGAGTGCTCCCACGCGCGCCAGCCTGTCCGCTGGGTGACACCAGGGCCAGCCTCGGGGGGACCCTGAGGTGGCCAGCTCCTGGGCCCCCCATGAGAAGAGGCTGGGTACATACCGGGCCCCTGGTGGGCCGGACCGGGCCTGGTCGCAACCGCGACCCCTGCTACCCGGTATGTACGCCACTGTATGTAACCATACCGAACAGCTATCTCGGACTTGCCTTCTTATGAATTTTATTAATTGTTGCAAGTGTATGATGAATTGGTATGGAGTTTTGAAAAAAAAAAAATCATATTTCAGGTAGTACAAATAATACATGTATATAAAATGAAATGTGAAGTATTCTTTAAATTTTATCTTTTTTACATCTAGTAAAATTACTCTAGTGCTTCCATTAACTGTACATAAGCAACTGAATTCTATTTGTAATTACATTTTCCGAATGCAAAGACTCTTGGAGTATAGGGAATAGAAACATAATGGCTTTTTCTTGGTCTGAACCCTTACTATTTGATACAGGTTTTCCACAGCATTATAGTGGTACTGCATTAGAACCATCTTTCTAGGCAAATTACAAGTGCCCATAATCTCCCATAGATCCTTGTTTTGAACTGTCATGGAAGTGTAAGAGTACAGTAGTGGCATGGCTACTGGTAGATTAAGCTGCAAATAGCCAAAGAACAGCATCGAGAAGAAAATGATGCCAAACAAATAAATGCTCAGATAACTGTATCTACCTTGGGGAGACTGTGTAAACTGTCCAAAGTGCTCACAACTTCTCAAAGCTGTGGAAATTTGGACAGATGAGGAATATTTCCTCATCACCTAGGCGGCAGAAAGGGAGGGCATTGAGTCCAGGAGGACTCTGTTATTTGTCAAATAAATTGATAACCGTTTGACAAAATGGAGAGACAGTAGTCAGAGGTTCCACAGCCCTTTATTAATATAATAAGATGTTTAGACTAGAGTTGCTCTTTAGAACTTTAGAAAAGATAAGAATTATGATTATCACGTCTTGTCATTGAGACAAGGAAATATTTGCAAATCCCATGGAATGAATGCAGGAAACATTGGGTTACTGGTTTGGCATTAAGAAAAAGGAAAATTGGTTCTTGACATGAAATATGATTTCTAACTTGAATTCATTACAGTAGATTTACAGAGAGTTGGAAGTGTCACAAAAACCCAAGAGGAAAGCAAAACATTGTGGGCTACATTTATTAAGTAGTGCTTCAGCGTTCCACAGGATTCTTTACAACATATTTAATAGACCCTGAAGGTGTTTTCAGTAGCATAATGATCCTTTAGCACACAGTTATGTATATGAAAGCTGTTCTGTTATGCGTGTATTGGCTGGAACATTTTTAGCTGTGGAACAAAAACATTTGACCCTTTATGGCCTTTTGGAATGCATGCGTAATAATAATCTATCATTTCTGATGCTGTGCTAAGCAACATTTAGCTACAATCCAATTTCTATAAATATGTACTAGCAATTTTTAGATAATTCCCCGGATTGCCAATGGGATTGAGAGCAGCATGTAACACAAACGTTGTAAAATATTCACTTGCTGAATCACTTCAAGGGTGCATTAGCCTTGTATTTGAGATATTGTCCTGCTGACAGATTCATTTCACTTTATAGTGTAATTGGGATTGTAGCTTTTCATTGTATCTTGCTCTACCTGTTGTTATCCCAGTAACTGTTAATAAGCAAACCCTACACTTTGATGCTTCTACCAAAATTAATCATTATTGGTATGGTGTGGCATGGGCCATCTTTGTTTTGCTCCATGCATAGTTTTATACAAAAAGTGCTATCTTTGTATCGTCTGACCCCAACAGCTTTTTTGCACCTGTTGCACTTGCTTTGCAACAAACTCCAGATGTGCATGCAGATGATACTTTTCGAATATGCAGTTAATTTTTTTCCAATATACTGATTTAGCAGCGTTCTTAAACACTACATTTTGTAAGTTAGCCACTGGAATTACTTGGGTAATTAGACATCCACAGCCAAACCATGGACATTTTGCCTCCACTGTTCACTTAATAGGTTCAGTTGTATTTAGCAGATATAATGATCATCAACAAATAGTAAGAGTCAATCTACTTTTAGAATCTGTTCAACCTGACATGTGCAAAATTATTTAAACAGTATAGTTACTCCATTTATTTTATCTAAAGCAATGGAAAGATTCAAAGTTTCAGTCGGTTCTGGGGATACATTATAAATGCAGTTTTCTTGAAGAATTATGATGTCAGACTTACTCTTTTTCACCTCTTTCTAAAAAAGTCTTGGTTTATGAGGGGAGTTAGGATCCTTAATATTAATGGGGATTAAACTAATATTGAATCCCATAAGATAGAAATTGAGTAACATGGTTTAGAATTTCTAATTCTCTGCTTGCAGCATAGCCAAAAAGAAAAGAGCAGGACAAGAAAAGGGTAATATTAAGAAGAGAGGTCTTTTAGTAAAGCAAACATAGGCCACTATTTAATAAGCTTTCCAAATGATTTGTCGACTGAACTCTATGGCGATTTTTCTAGATAAATAATTTGGAAAGTTTTCTAACAGTATTGCATTAGAAAGCTTAATAAATTGAAGCTATGATGTGTGGACGTATACAAAAGTCAGGTGTACAGCACCATAGAGCAGACTAAACAAGAGTAGTTGATCAACATTAAAAAATGTTTCAGTCTCACTAACATTCTATGCTTAATAACCATTTTTGCCATTCTTGTCTAAACATCCTTCACTCTGGAGCTGAGGGCACTAATGTCCTGAGCTACAACTAGCTGATTTCTCTGAATATCAAAGTCAATACATTCCTGTACCCCTGGTAAACAATTCAAGATGGCTTTTATATATAGGATGTAGTGGCCAAAGGTCTTGAGTTACAGATGTTGTAGTTCCTACCTGTTAGTCTTCCATGCATCTCAGTGTTAAGTTTGGGGCAACAACTGGATCTTTGCCCTTGTTTTAATTAGATGGGACCAGTATATAGTTGAAATGGTTGACCCAGTGTGAAGGTAAGCAGGTGCATAAACATTTTATAGAAATATAACTTCAAAGAGATTTAGTACTTAACAGGTTGGATTCATGTATAATAAGATGAAAGCAATGTCTGTTTTTTTTTTTTTATTACTTTATTTTTGCATTGGCAGGTAGTAACAAAAAGAGCTGTACTCCAAGGTTTGCTCAGAAGCCAATGTTCACAAATGTAGTATACATAGTATCGTTTATACATGAAATATCATTGAGTGGTATTGCATGTTAGCGCCATTTGGAGTGCTGTACTGTAGCAGTCTGCCAGTATTTTACAATTAATATGCATAATAAATTACAGAATAACTTAGTAACTTTCTAGCAGAACAGAAAAGGAAAATAATCGGCTCTGCGATTCTATAGTGTTTGTGGTACGTTCCCTTGGTAAAGGTGTCAGGTCTCAGTACGTAAGGAGGTGTGTGCGCGATTGGGTATCGCTTGTGTGTCTAGTGCAGATCATCGTATTGTTCCCACAGCTCCTATACCTTGTTAAAGGTGGGAACGGTGTTTCGGACCTGTGCTGTTAGTTTGTCCATGAGATAATTGTCCCTTATTTTCGTGAGTACATGGGCCATGTGAGGCAGGTCGGGGCTTGCCCATTTTTGTGACAGTGTCCGTCGTGCCGCCAGGTACACCGTATTTAGTAACTTCTGTTTGTGTCGATTAAGCCCCTCAGTGGGCCTGGACAACAGACATCCCCATGGGTCAAGTTCCAGTTGCCTCTGAAGTGCCTGGGAGCCAAGAGCTACCACCTCTTCCCAATATGCCTTTACTTTCGGGCACTGCCACCACATGTGTATGTAGCTGCCCTTATTACCACACAGATGCCAGCAGGCATCTGTGGGGCTCAGTTGCATGTGATATTGTTTTACAGGTGTCGTGTACCACCTAAAGAGTGTCTTGTAACTTTGCTCCTGAAGTGTGACACACATGGATACTTTGGTGCATGCCTGCCATATCTCCTGCCAGTCCAGCCCTTCTAGAACCTCTCCCAGGTCGGCCTCCCATTGGTCTGTGTATCTGAGGATTCCCCATTCCCCTGATTCCGAGCTGATGTGTTGGTATAGCAGCATGATAAGTTTGGTTTGGGCTGTTTCTTCATAGCATAGTTTTTCGAAAAACGTTAATGGGTGTCGTGCTGCTAATCGGATCTTTGGAGTGCGAGCGAAGTCCCTGATTTGTAAATAGCGGAAGTAATCCCTATTCTGGAGTGGGGACTTTGTTTTTAGGTGGTCAAATGTGACTATATCGTTGTCTATATATAGATGCATGTATCTTTGTAGCCCTGTGGCTTCAATGCCTCTGAAGTCCCTTGCCCTAAGTCCTGGGGGGAATGCTCTGTTTCTGAGAACTGGTGTTAATGGTTTGCTGGCTAATGCATATTTTGTTTCGCTTGGCCCCATATGTGCAGGGAGTTCAGAATGGCTGGGCAGGCAGTTCTCAAGAGGGGTCATTGCGTTTTGGGGACCCATAAGTAGAACTGGGGTAAATCCGCTCCTGTCAATAGGGACTCTAAGTCCACCCATCTCCTGTAATCTGGAGGTGAATGCCAGTGTATGATCTGGGCTAATTGAGCAGCTAGGTAATAGTGGTACAAGTGGGGAAAGCCAAGACCCCCTCTATTTTTGGGTCGATACAATATATTGCGTACTATTCTGGGTCGGTTTTTTTGCCATATAAAGGAATCTATCGCTGTCTGCATGGATGTCAGATCTCCCTTTGTTATCCTTACAGGTAGGGACTGGAACAGGAATAGTAGTCTTGGCAGTATATTCATTTTTATTGTATGTAGTCGTCCTAACAACGAGATGGGTTTGTCGATCCACTTCTCTAAGTCATCTATCAATGTTTGAAAAAGCTGGGTGTAGTTTCTATGGTAGAGAGAGGCAGGATCCACTGTCAGGGTGACCCCCAGGTATCTAAACTCCCTCAATTCTATCTTGAAGTGGTAATTTCAGATGGAGGACATTTCTGGGGGCCGAGAGGTGGAAGGGTAGTGCTACTGTCTTAGAGGGGTTTATTTTATAGCCTGAGAAGTCCCCAAATTGTGTTATGAGGGTCACTAGGCTGGGCAAGCTCTGGATCGGGTCTGCTAGGGTCAGCAGTACGTCATCCGCATATGCCACCACTTTAAAGGGTTTATTTGCTATTCCTACCCCTTCGATTTTTGGGTCTGATCTGATCGCTATGATTAGTGGTTCAAGTGTGAGGCAAACAGCAGTGGTGAGAGTGGGCAGCCCTGCCGCGTGTCATTGTGTAGTGGAAAGGGGGTTGCGGGAGCTCCCGTAATGAGTGTTTGGGCCTTCAGGTTTGTGTACAGTGCTCTGATGGCAGTGCAGAAGGGGTCAGGGAAACCTAGTTTGCGTAGTAGTTCAAAGAGGTAAGGACATTCAACCCTGTCGAAAGCCTTCTCAGCGTCTAACAAGAGAGCCAGAGAGGGCCTTCCCGCTTCCCTCATGTGCCATAACAGGTCTGCAATTCTACGAGTATTGTCGTAGAGCTGGCGTCCCGGCATGAATCCCAACTGGTCTGGGTGTATCAATTGTGTCAGCAGTGGTGTGAGTCTATTGGCAAGAATTGTGGCAAAAAATTTTTACGCCGGAGTTAATCAGCGATATGGGTCTGTAGCTAGATGTAAGGGTGAGGTCTTTATCTGGTTTTGGCAGTAGGACTATGTTGGCTGTGGCCATGGCTGTGTCTGGTGTGCCTCTCTCGCGGAAATGGTTGCATAGGTTCACTAGGTAGGGTGTTAGTTCATCCTTAAAGTAGCTCATATCATAGCCGTCGGGGCCCGGTGCTTTGTTGCCCTTCATGTGGGACATGGCCGTCTTTACCTCTTCGTCTGTGATCAGTGCTGATAGGTCCCCTATGTCTTCGTTATTGACCCGTGGCAGTGGGAGGCGGTCAAGAAAGGATGTTATGTGGGCCATGTAGTCTAGGTTATCAGAGGTGTGGTGTGGGGAGTGATTATAGAGTGCTCTAAAGTAGGCCGTGAATTCCGCGTTTATTTGCGCTGGTGTGGTGGCGGTGTCACCTTTGGGTTTTTGTATTTTAGTGATATGTTTTCTTGTCTGGGGCTGAGTTGTCTAGCCAACAGAGTGTCCATCTTGTTCGCCTTTTCGTAGTAGTGTCTTTTAGACCATACCGCGGAGCGGGCTATATCTTCCAGTGTTAGTTCTTTGATAGTGTGCCTAGTGGCATTAAGTTCAGCCAGCTTAGGGTTGGAAGGATGTGTTTTGTGTTGTTGTTCCAGTCTTTGTAAGCTCGATAGGAGCTTTAGTAGGAGTTTTGTCTTTTTCTTTTTTGATGAAATCCCCTCTTATGACTGTCTAGTGTGCCGCCCAAAGCGCAGTGGGATCCATACCAGTTGTACAGTTTAGTGTGAAGTATGTGGAGATAGCCTCTTTAATGGAGGCTCGTACTCCCTCATCCTTGAGTTTAATCTGCAAGTCCAATTAGTGCCATATTGCAATGTATCTAATGTGATAGCTATATCGGCGTGGTCTGACCACGTGATGCTATTGATTTCCGTGTGGATTGTTTTATGCATGCCTGTGTTGTTGACGAGTAGATTGTCAATTCGTGAGTATGTGTCATGCGGGTTGGAATAAAACGTGTAGTCTTGAGTATCTGGGTGTTGAAGTCTCCATGCGTCTAAGAGGCCGGTGTGAGTTATATATTCATGTAGTAGCTTGTCCTGCCTCCCTCTACCTTGGGATCTCAGAATTCCTGGTTTTGTGCTTCTGTCCATTGCTGGGCATGGTACTGCATTAAAATCCCCTCCCACCACTACTGTCCCCCTGCCAAGGGTCATCGTGAGGGTGTTCAGTGCGTCCCAGAAGGAGGTGTCCGGGTCATTAGGAGCATAAACGTTAATGATGCTGAGTTTAGTGTTATATAGGGTTCCTGTCACCAGAACATATCTTCCCTCTGGGTCTGATTGGCTCGTGGTAATTGTGAAGGGGCACCGTTTGTGAATGAGGATTGCTACCCCTGCCCGTTTCCTGCAGTGTCTCGCTTTGTGTACAATAGTGTAGTTCCTGTCCCTCAGTGAGGTGGGTGCCGACCTGGGGAGGTGTGGATATTCAGCAAGTTTTAACCTGCAGGGTGGCAGATGTGGTCTGTAGGAGGCCAATATATCAGTGCAAAGTTGGGCCAAAGTCAGCACCATGTGCTGAAAATTCTGTCCAGGTTGCTGAACTAGGTGACGTTGCAACTGCAGGTCAGAGAGAGACCACAATTTCTATTCCTGTAAAATAAAAAAAACCTAAAAAAAAAACAACCCACAATGATGCATAACTGAAGACAGAGCACATAGGGGAACTCATAGTCTGCAATAGCAGGTTAGAATGGTGCAAATAATTCAATAAGCGTGGGATTCTGCAATATAAAGTCATATCCTGTATAATGGACATCCTGTTCAGCTAGCAAGCCATACCCCTTCATGCCACACTTCTGAAGCTCTTTTAATATCCCAGTCTGCTTATAGGTGCATCCACCTGTGGGATTTGTATGTTTATCACACTGGCATGCTGATTTTATTGCCAGCACATCTATATGTGCATGGAATATCCTAGCATTTCCTCATGCCCCTGGAAAAGAGTGAAACGAAATAGTTTCTTTATGCGTTTGCAGTTAGCACAACGTATGGTTTAAATCCTTTGCAGTTTAAAGTAAAAAGCACCTTAAGTCATGTTAGGCACACTTTCAGATTTCTATAGGTGTTCAGCAGTCGCCATCACAAAATCAATAGACTCAACCAAATGTTTTTCACTGTTTATTACACCTGACCACAAGCATGCGGCACGTCTTTTCGACCTTTTTTGAAAATTGATGTAGGTCAACAACTATATTTCTGCTGCTCAGGAAGCACAGCTACCAATACATAAGAACATTACAGCTCTGGAAAAATATGAGTAAGTCAGTAAGTGGGTGCTAATCCTTTGTCTGAGTGGTACTTGCCAATAGTTTAGTTTTCAGTTCCTGTTACTCAGAACAGTCAGTCCTGTGTTGGTGGGCAGCTTTGGGAGAGATTTGTCACTGTGTTGTAGTGGCACAGAACCCCTTAGTACTATGCCGTGAGATAAATCACGTAATTATGGAAGGTCTATATGCTTTTGACCATGACATTGTGAGTTGGCAACGCAATACATAACTCACTTCATTGCTAACCACGCAGAAATATTGGATAAAAAACACTCAGAGGTTGACTCTTGCATACCAACTGTTTTTAATAAAACAACACTTTTGTAACTAATAAGCAGGTTAAGGAAAGTAGAATTCCACCTATAGTCAATCTCTTATTTGCAAGTCAAAATTAAAACAATATCTGGTCCTAGACAAGAAACTCTGTCCTCCAGAACACATAAATATATACTACTTCTTTACAGCTTGCTCAAATATTTGTATGTTTTCTGAGCTGTAGGAAACGATTGCTAAGTATGAGGCATGCAGGGTGCCCGATAATCAAGAGGGAGAAGCTTTTCCCTCTTTTCCATTTCCTTTTTCCCTCTTGAATGGTCCCCACTCCATCCTGTGCTGTGATGAAGTCTAATAGAAAATGATGAGTTACTTAGGATTTCTTAACAACCAGCATGGTTGCTTTATTCACCATGCCCTCTGTGCTGTGGGATGGGGTAAATTAATAGGCCAGGGGGATCCCAATCCCCCGAATGTAAAGTAGACATCTGCTGGGATGAAGACTTGTCATTCATAAACATAAAAGGGAAGTGCCTAATTTTCCTAAAATGAATAGAGACCAACTGACCCTCAGCTCAAAAAGTACAGTTCTCAAAGGTGCCTAATCATTATTCTCTATAATAGTGTTCACTTTCAAGAACAAATAATGTAGAACCAGAGATGCCCAACATTTCTGATAGTATACACACAATCAGATAAAGTCCTTATCATAAAATTAAATCTCTGTGCCACACATTTGCTCTTAAATATATGCAGCTAATACTAAGCATTACCAAAATTCATTCTACATGATTGTCGGTCTTTGTTTGATAATGATGAAAGTGACGATGTAATGGTTCCTCCACATTCACCCAGTGTAGTTTTCCCAGTTTCAGTGTTCTCTCTGACATGTCACCTGTCGTTTCAGAATACCTAAACAGCTTTCAGTAACAATAATGACAAAGTTTATTACATCCTTGTAATGTAAAAATATAAAAAAAGGATCACTTTGGGATCCTTGTAACTGAAAGATGCTTGACTGCTTTGCCATGACAGGTGATGACATTGCTGTGTGAACACATGGCTGGATAACAGCTAACTTCAAGCTAAGATCACTGAAATCTTTGACCACTTTATGCAAAGGGGAGAAGTTGGAAATCTATTATCTCATCCATTTCTGCATCATTGCATCATTAAATGGTAACCGACCTTCAATCAAGTGAAGTATACATAACATAGAAATAGTACTCCTAAACAGTGATACAGCAGCTGTCGCACATGGAGCAAAGTGATTCACAAATGCATATTTAAATGTACATAATCTGTACTTGAAGTGAATCACATGGCATTTGTGAGAACTTCACCTTCAACACTCATAATATAGTTGAACACCACCAGGCAGCCCATCATCTTGACACCACTTTAGAGGCTGGCATGGTACAAGTTAACATTAATTAAATTATGGTCATGCCCACTCCCAGCACCATCCCCACCAACATCGCCCTCTTCCAATTATTATTACTAAACAAAAGACTTAGTGCACAAATTAAAAACTATACGGAAATATAATCTATGACACAGAAATTATAGTTGGTATTATTTAGAAACATAGAATGTGAAGGCAGATGAGAACCATTCGGCCCATCTAGTCTGCCTATTTTTTTAAAATACTTTCATTAGTCCCTGGCCTTATCTTATAGTCAGGATAGCCTTTCTTCTGATGCATTAACCAGGCTGCATTTATGGAGCAAATTATACCTTAAACAATTTGCATATATATTAAAAAAAAATAAAACTCATCATTCCAAAGCTGTAACATTTGTTGTCCACCAAGCCTTGAAGAAGACAAATAAACCAGTTCCCTTCCAACTCAGTGATTTTCATCCAGATGTTTTGCAGTGGGAGAAGCGTAGTGTAATTCAAAATAAATTTTGATATTGTAAAAGGAAAAAGTAATATCCTTGAAAATTTTTAAAATGTTTGAATATGAGATTTTGTGGTGGTTATGGTAGGGGAGACTTCAGCCATTCCAGACTACTCTACTTCTTGTTACTCTGATTAGCAATACACCAACCAAATAAATGGTCCCTTCCATCCTAGGTGGCTGATAATTAATTTTTAAACATGAGCCAATGAGTTTTTCTTTTTGCTAACCATTCAACATGCCTGAACACGCATTTATTATCAACATTTAACTCATTTTAAGTTACATATGGTGCCTATTTACTGACCTTATTCATGAGAATAGTATTTAGCGTTGGGTGTTGGGATTCAAATTAGCACAAATCTATTTAATGTTCTCGCCTTGTAATAATCTAGCATTTGTCAAATACTTCTGATCTCATTTTCCAGGAGGAAATTTCTGTGCAGGCTTTGATTTGAAGGAGGTTGCGCACGGCTCCAGCACACTGACTATAGAGCCCGATGTAACTAAAGGCCCTGGTCCAATGGTAAGCGTAATTAAATGCAGTTATGTTTATAACTTAGTAAACATTGTAAATGATGACAGTTATCGAAGATTAAATGATTACTTAAAAGCATCACAACCACTACAGCCCACTTATTTAATCGTCATTCATTGGCTGAGAACATCAGCTGACCGGCACACTGTGTAAAAAACATTTGTACAGAATTGATATTAGTCAGCCTACAACTAGGTGGAGGTTGAGTGGAGGTGCAAAGGGAGGTGGAGTTACCTCTAGCATCCATGGGGTTAAACCTGATATGTGCAGCTATTGCACTGCAAAATGCTGTACATACAGGCAACTGGAAAAAGCAGCACAGAGTGGGAGAAAACGTAAAAAGTAAACTATACTGCAGCTTCCAATTACAATAGCTTAGCTCTGCCCAGGGCCGTCCCGTCCATAGGTCCTGGTGGGACCATGGCTCCAGGCGGCACTCTGAATGCCGCCCCTGTCATTATCTAATAGAATAATAACCATATGGAGGCCTTCACTTTCCCCGATCAGCCACTCCGCCAGGGCGGGAAGTGAGGCCGCCCCAAATTCTTATATGTCAGGGGCGTCGTGAAAAGAGTGGAGGGGTTGCCCAGGCACTCAGGGTTATGGGAAGGTTCAGCACTGCAATTCCCGCGCATTACCTGCAGTGCAAGACGGAACTTCAGCATTCAAGTGCTGTGGCAGGGCTGCTCCTGTTGCTGTAGGTTGGGCAGAGCGGCAGAATCCCACTCCGTGTCTGACATTTGATACAGTTCCACACAATAGATTAGTGTTCAAACTCAAGGAAATCGGTCTAGATGAAAATGCTTGTTCTTGGGTAGAACATTGGCTTAAAAACAGAGTACAAAGAGTTGTCATTAATGGTAAATTTTCAAGCTGGACAGAGGTGTCAAGTGGTGTCAGGGGTCTGTTCTGGGACCCCTTCTATTTAACATGTTTATAAATGATCTTGAAGACAGCAGCCCTGCCGCGTGCCGTTGTATAGTGGAAAGGGGGTTGTGGGAGCTCCCGTAATGAGTGTTTGGGCCTTCAGGTTTGTGTACAGTGCTCTGATGGCAGTGCAGAAGGGGTCAGGGAAACCCAGTTTGCGTAGTAGTTCAAAGAGGTAAGGCCATTCAACCCTGTCGAAAGCCTTCTCAGCGTCTAACGAGAGAGCCAGAGAGGGCCTTCCCGCTTCCCTCATGTGCCATAACAGGTCTGCAATTCTACGAGTATTGTCGTAGAGCTGGCGACCCTGCATGAATCCCAACTGGTCAGGGTGTATCAATTGTGCAAATGCTTGTTCTTGGGTAAAACATTGGCTTAAAAACAGAGTACAAAGAGTTGTCATTAATGGTAAATTTTCAAGCTGGACAGAGGTGGCAAGTGGTGTCCCTCAGGGGTCTGTTCTGGGACCCCTTCTATTTAACATGTTTATAAATGATCTTGAAGACAGCATTGAAAGTCATGTTTCAGTGTTTGCAGATGACACAAAACTCTGTAAAATAATACAATGTGAGCAAGATATTACTTTGCTGCAGAGGGATTTAGATAGACTGGGGGACTGGGCACTCAAATGGCAGATGAAATTTAATGTTGAAAAATGCAAAGTTATGCACTTCGGCGTAAAGAATACACAAGCAACGTATACCCTTAATGGAAGCGAATTAGGAATAACAACACACGAAAAGGACTTGGGAATTGTTATAGACAACAATCTATGCAACAATGTGCAATGTCAATCAGCAGTGGCCAAGGCCAGTAAGGTATTGTCATGCATGAAAAAGGGCATTCATTCTCGGGACGAGAATATCATTTTGCCTCTTTATAAATCACTGGTAAGACCATATATTGAATATGCGGTGCAATTTTGGCAACCTGTTCTAAAGAAGGATATTATGGCACTAGAAAAAGTGCAGAGGAAGGCTACAAAGTTAATAAAAGGAATAGAACATATCAGCTATGAAGAAAGGTTAACAAATTTAAACCTATTTAGTTTAGAAAAACGTCGCCTCAGAGGGGATATGATAACATTATACAAATATATTCGGGGACTATACAAACCATTGTGTGGAATTCTATTCACAAACCGGACTTTACATAGGACACGAGGTCATGCGTTTAGACTGGAAGAAAGAAGATTTCGTCTAAGGCAAAGGAAAGTTTTTTTTTACTGTAAGAACAATAAGGATGTGGAATTCTCTGCCTGAAGAAGTGGTTTTATCAGAGTCCATACAGATGTTCAAACAGCTGCTAGATGCATACTTGCAAAAACAGAATATTCAAGGATATAATCTTTCAATGTAGGGTAATAACTGCTTGATCCAAGGATAAATCTGACTGCCATTTTGGGGTCAAGAATGAATTTTTTTCCTAGCTTGTTGCAAAATTGTGCTTCAAACTGGGTTTTTTGCCTTCTTTTGGATCAACAGCAAAAAACAAATGTGATGAAGGCTGAACTTGATGGACGCAAGTCTCTTTTCAGCTATGTAACTATGTATGACATGCTACCACAGGGCAGCAAAGACGGCAGGACACGGAGCTCCCTAATGCAGGAACCGGCAGACAGGAGTTAGGCAGCAGCAGTGGGGACGTGAGGAGCAGGGTAAGGGTAAGTTTCATGATTGGCTGAAGTGCACACATTGTATGTTGCACATAGTAAGCCAATCCTAGACACTCATAGACACACTGCACTTCACCCCCAGCACTCACACAGGCACACTACATCTCCAGCTCACTCATAGACCCACACTTAACCAGTGGCATCACAAGGCAGGTGCAGGGAGTGCGGATCAGGGCAGGGTGACACCAGGGCCAGCGCATCCTTTAGGGTGCACCGGCTCTGGGGGCGCAGGATACGAGTGACCTGGCTGGAGAGAAGCGCACAGCGCTCCTTCCTGCCAATCACTCTGAGTAGCGTGGCCAGGTGGGGTGGACCGCGGTACAGAAGCTTCCTGTAGCCGGCTGGACTTACAGGAAGTGATCTCTCAGTAAGCACTTCCTGTCAGTCCGGCCGGGTATGGGAAACAGAAGCTCCTGTAACGTGGTCCACACCGCCCGGTCAGGCTACACAGGAAGGTAGGAGGCACACAAGGGAAGGGGAGATACCACCAGGGTTTGAGTTGTTTTAAAGTATAAAAGTTTTAAAGTATACAGTAAACAGGCTAAACAGACATGTCTAGTTCAAATTGCTAATAAGAGATGAGTGCTTATTGTAGATCGACATGTTAAGATGAGGCAAACAATTAATAATCAGCTTGCATACCATATGTCAGCGAGTGGAGAACTAAAGAAGTAAATAAAACAGGCTAAGCTTACTGACTATATGGTTAGTCGTAGTAGTAAAGTAATTGGATGCAAGCAATATCATCAGGCTAATTCTTAAAAGAGAAGTGTAGTACAGGAGTCCACCACAATGCAAGTATAGATGATGCTTATGTCGGTGGGTTCACTACAGTGCATCCATGAACCCAGTGTGCCTTCAACCGATTCCCAATTTGAGGGGAGACTGCAGAGCTCTCGGTAGGAGATTCCCTGCAAGTGGGTTTTTCGCCTTTTGGGAGTACCACTTGTGAATGCTCACCACACTGCCACGTGATCCACCGCAGAGTATCCGCATAGTTATGCCGAGTAGTTGCCTTCCTCCCCTACCTGTTTCAGGGCCATCACCCCTGAGCCACGGCCTTGATTAATTTGCAGGGCCAAGTCCATCCCATGTGAGGGGCAACGGAAGTCCCTGATGGTTTGGAGCCTATTTTGGCCCTCGGGCCCTCGCTTGTATGGGCGGTGTCATGGGGGCACGCGCCTTTTGGCCCTTAGTCTGGGAGGGCGGACAGCTTGGGTATTGTCCTGGTTGTACCCAGGGATGTATTAACCACAAGGCAAACAAGACATTTGCCTAGGGTGGCACTTTCAGGGGGGGGCACCAAAAAAATGCCACCCCAAGCTCCCAGACAAATGCCTTGTTTGCCCTTGGTTCTGGGGCTGTCCACCTTACTGTGAGTGAGTGAGTGAGTGTAGCTGTCAGTGTGTGTCTGTGAGTGAGAATGGGTGTGCCTGTGAGTGTGTGTCAGTGTGTGTATGTCATTTTATGTGTATCTGAGAGTGTGTGCCTGTCAGTGAGTGGGTGTGTCAGTGTGTATCTGTCAGTGAAAGTGTGTGTTGGTTAAACAGTGTGTGCCAATGACTGTATCTGTCAGTGAGTGTATATCAGTGCATGTATCAATGAGGGCATGTGTCTGTCAGTCAAAAAAATGGCCTTGACACGAATTGGGGGGGCAAATTTTGATTTTGGGGGTGCCCGAATTTAGTCGTGCGTAGGGCAGCACAAATCCAAAATACACCTCTGGTTGTACCCTCTCACCTTCTTGCCCCTGTGTCTCCGTTATTTCACCATAGGTGAAGGGCGTAATGTCGTCTCATGCTTTTTTGGGTGTATGAGGGTGGGAGTGGTCCGTCTGATGGGAGCAGATACGTTGCGCTGTGCGAATCTTGTGATGAGCTGCAGCTCCTACTGAGCTTCCTGGCTTTACTTTGCTAACGTTCTAATTTCAGGCAAAAGTCAGTGAACATTTTATCAAGCCGAGCCAAGCTTGTTTCCAGTGAGTTAAGTGCAGTAGGGGTTGTGGGGCATCCAACATTTTAACTCGATCGGTGTCACAGGCTTTGTGCAGCTGAGGTGCTAGCCGGTCCACAGTCCCTCCAGTAGCAGGTAGGTAGAGTCGATTCGCTGATGCCGGGATATGCCTCACCGGTGACTCCCCACAGGAATGTAGATAGAGTCGATACATGTCTTCATGCTTATGCTCTGCAGTAGTACTGCTGTGACAGAGCTCTCCTCCCAGTTGAGCCTGGGCCTTAAGGGGAATTCTTGGCACAAGTCCAAGGACACTCCATGCCGCTTGGCAGGGTCAAGGCCTGTGGGTGCTCCAGATGACGTGGAACCTTCTGGGTACTTGGGCGGCTGGGTGGACATACCTCCTGGTGGACCCCAGAGCAAGACCGGTAGTCTAGCACAGCATCACGATTCTCCGGCAAATCAGGTGGGGTAAGAGTGCCCGATCAGCTGTAAATTCGCCTCCAAAACTCCTGGCATAGCATTTCAAATTGGGCCCTGAAGTGTTCCCGCCAGGTCCCATTCTCCAAGCCCCCTTGAGACCGAGGAACCGGTGGCTCAGCGGCCATCTTAGGCACACCACGTGGTCTCCAATGCGTCAGTAAATTTTGCTGGTTTAGAGAGGTGAGTATCCCCAGCAGTGTCCAGTATATCCCCCACCAGTCTAAAGTGAGGGTTGCGGGGTGGACAAACAGATGCTGTTTGATGTGTGCCACATAGCAGGAGATCAGCCACCTCCCCCCGCCACAAGGCAATCAGGCCTTGTACTTGAACGGTGAGAATTCTTAGCTCAAAGGTGTGAGACACGTAATCCCAAGCTTCCTATGCGTATAGCAGTTGTGTGCTGCTCAATCAAGGTTGCCTCCAGTTCACTATTGAGTAATAAATACTGAAAGTTAGCTCTGTATTGTGGGAGCTGAATAGAAACACGTCCGGCCAGCTTGGCTGCGTGGCCCTGCCCCCTGCTTTTGAGTTTTTCATATAGGCGGATTGTTTACATAAATAATCCTTTTTACTGTATTTGAATTTATTTGACATTCCAACTCAATCAGGAAACATACATAAGACAAAGTAAGGGCTACATTGTCTCATGTTTGACCCAATTGTTGGCAAAATACAGCAAAGAACAGATCTTCTGCTGCCACATCCTGTCGTTTTTCATTAGCCATCGCTTTCAACAGCTGATGTGAACATTTATATTCTCATGTGATGCAGAGTATATGCCTGTGGTATCTTAAAGGGTGTGCAATAGAAGACCAGTGCAAGAACTCATGGTCTTGTAGCTTCTTCCATTTATCACCCATTTTGTTTTTGATTGACATGGCTTCTGGAAATTGAAACCGCCAGAAACCAAAGGAACATAAGCAGTGGCCATGCAAGTGGACATGTCATCTAGGAGGGTAAATAATGTAAAGAACCCACAAATGACAATGCTGTTTTAAGCCAATGCAGTGTAATGCAATGTACCAACACCCTTCAGCAACTGTTTTCTAACTTTAATATTGCCTATTTTTTTTATTAGACTTTGATGCTTAGGATTCTAAATATATATTTTTTTGTATGAAACTCTGTCATAGGGATAAGCAATTATTGCAATGTTTTCACAGGGACCATCAAGAATGCAATTTTCAAAACCTGTTATTGCTGCAGTGAGTGGTTATGCTGTAGCTGGTGGTCTTGAGCTGTCACTTCTGGCAGATCTTCGTGTGGTGGAGGAGAGTGCCACTTTTGGAGTGTTCTGCAGACGTTTCGGTGAGGTTTTTTTACATTAAATCTTTTAAATATTTTCACTTCTTTTTGTACACTTTAGTAGTCCTCTTAAAGATACGCATAGTGCAAAATAAAATGTGTTAGGCTTATAATTCAGAGATGTAGCAACTTGTATGTGAGGCTATGAGATCAAAGGAAAACACACACAACATTGCTAAAGGCAAAATAAAAGACTATAAATACCTAGATATGTCATTTACATCTTTTGTGTATTTTGATCTATAGGGCTTCAGAAGTAAGAACATTTGAGTCAGAATAGAGAATTTTTAGAGTGGATCATTGGAAACACACATTGCACACTCTTGTTATCTAGAGACATTTCTAGACATACATTCATTGACATATTTTTATTTTTATACATATTTTCTATTTATTTTCAACAGTGTACATGACTGCAAGCACCCCAAAAGCATTAAATTGAGGTGTTTGTTTATTAATAAAGCCCATACTTTTCCTGTAGTTTATTTATTATACTACCATGCAATATGTGATATAGTTGCTACAGTATTTATAAAGCATTTATAAAATGGCCAATTTTGTGACACATATTTTGAGATTGATTTATTGATCGTCTTGTATTAGCTAAAGTTTTCAAAACAAACATATTTGCTATTATCTTCTTGTTTCTGGTCTATTTCTGCATATTATTCAGTATTGTGCCTTTATTTTATAACATTTTGTTAATCATGTTTTAATGTTTCCCTCAGATTTAGCTTTTCTTTTCAAAAAGAAAAGTGCTTATCTGTCTTCTCTGTTTGCTTATAGAATTTTTCACTATTTAGTCATTTTTGGCTTCTATTCATTAAATGAATGAATTTAAATGAATGGGCCTCTTTGCAAACTGTATTTCCACAGCAAATTGGCTTTTTTTTCTCTACTAATAAACAGAAGGATTAGTTAAAAAAAGCTTCTGAAAGGCAACATATGTTGGGGGATAATTAGTATCTCCCAGAAGATCCAATAAGAAATAAAGTGAAGTGTAAAGGGAGAGAATAAAAAAAACCAGTGGAATATAATGCATTATTTTGGAGAGAAAAATACAGGGGCTGCAATCAAAAAAACAACAATTCTTCCTAGAAATACTGAAAATAGTATATCAAGTAACACCTTAAAATGCTTGAATTACCTAAAATGTGTACAAAGCTCTATATGAGGTAGAGGAGACAAGAACAGACAGGTCACACTTTAAAATGCTGCAGCTACAAAAACATACATATAAAAGTTCCTACTGAGATAAAGTGTCCAAACTAGGAATTAAAACTGTTACATAAATAACAGAACTTTGTTTTAAGTGCAGGATTTTAATGCAAAATGTCCCTGGTGTCAGGTCCGCTGCCCCTGCGCCGCTTGCGGTGTCCTTGTTTACCCCATCACCGCGAACGGCATCTTCCAGTTCCTGTCCACGGCTTGCGGCTGTCCCTGCCGCCGCCACTCCCCAACCTGACAGTGTTTCTGATGCTGTACGCTTCAAGGCAGCTTCCTTATATGTGTGTGCAATGCTGTGTTCCATTGAATGCAGGGTGATTAGAGAGGGGCTTCTTCTGGGCTTTGTGCCATCCAGTTAGTGTAGAGGATAAGAATATTGAAGAGTTGTCATCCTAAGCATCCAGACGCGTTTTGCCATAGTCTCGTTTTTTGTTTTTTTCAATGGTGCACCATTGAAGGTTGGGTGTCTGTAGCAAATTTCATGTTACTGTATTCATAAATCTTTATTTGCAATTTTTGTGCCTCTACATGTCTGTGCCATCAGAAGCTCTAGTAACCCCTTAATAACCAATTACAGCATTTTCCAGCCAGGCCTGTTTCCTTACTGGCAACTGGGAACCCTGGATATAATGTAATACCTGTCAGCTGGGGCAAAATAAGTGACCCCACACTGACCAATGAGCTATACTCAGCACTCAAAAATGAGCTCTGCATACAGTCCTTTACATGCAGATTTATATTCCAGAACCTGGAAATTGGTTTGTGCAGAGTTAAAACCCTGCTCATGTCAGGAAGACTAAGTTATCAATACCTGAGGCACCCCTCTGTTAGCTGGGGCCATTTTTAGCAATCTGTATCAGAGGTAGTAAATTTAAAAGGTTACTCCAAGCACTGTGATTACTCCAGTGTTTTGAAGTGATTATAAGGGCATGACGTTTGTATGTGCAGCTTTCTCACTCTGGAGACTACATGTTAATGAAGCACACAGAGGGACACTATCAGCCACTACACGGGCAATATTTGTAGACACTAAGATGGGTTACATACCAAGATTGGTGCCTTAACAACTTCACCTTCCATGCCCCCCGCCCTCCCCCTCCCCAAGTGCATACTTACCAGGTGGGATTAATTGTGGGGACATGCCTGGCAACTAAGGCAGTCCCCCCTGGACCCAATCGCCATGAGTTGCATGATTACAATGTCACAATGTTCAGTGACTCTGCTTCTCTCTTTCCTCACCTTGATCTGGGGCACAATTGCATCATGTACAAAAATAAGAAAAAGGGAGATAAACAAAAGTGGGAATAAAAGCCCCACGATAATCCTATGAATCTAAAAAACTATCTCATGTAAACCATAAATTAACAATTTAAAATGGTTATTATTTAATAGAATTGTAATTTAGAAATGTCAGAATTGTTAAGAGTAGAGGTCACGAAAAGCTCCATAGAGTGAATCTCTTCAACTTTATTCAGCTATTTCCAAATTTGTGCAGGACAGAGGAATAAGTGTCTATGATGCATTATAGAGATGTTCGGGTAGGTACGGTCTGGTACGCTATTTTGAGTGTTTCCATTATGAAAGTGGCCCATACAACCGAACCAAACCACACCATTCCTGGGACCCCTTCAGATGTAGGTCCATAGGAAATGGTACGGTACGGTTAGGGCGGAGTTTCCTGGCGTCACACTATACAATCCATTGATTGGCAGACAGGAAAACGTCAGTGCTTACGACAAATGACACGCTAGGCATTTGGTCTAAACTCCGCATACTCCTTGGCGGTCCGACTTGTGGAAACGCTCACCTGAATAGGCTCGACCATTCTAACCTTTCCGAACCGTGCCGACCCAAACCATACCGCTCAGTGTAAACGAGGTATAAGTAGCCAATTTTTATAACCCTTAATTGGTAGATCACGATGATGTAATAAGAATAATTCTGGGATCAATTGCAAATGAGTGTCAGATACATGAGAAATAGTTTTTTGAATTACAGACCAAAAAAAGTAAGCTCAGGACAGTCCCTACAGATATGTTTATAAGTTCCAATGCTTCAAACAAATTTGAACACACACACACTAGGTATGCTTGGTGAAATGCATAGGCGTGCGCACAGGGTGTGCCGGGTGTGCCTGGGCACACCCTAATCCCCGCGGCACGCCTATGGAGTGAGACCGGCAGGAGAGATCTCAGGATCTCCCCTGTCGTCTCACGCAGAGCCGGTGCTATCTGAGCACCGTCTCTGCTCTCAGCCTCCATGGGGGGATCAAAGATGTCCCTCACCGACCCACATGCAGGGAGGGAGGCAGGAGAGGACCCGGGGAGCTATTGCCAGCAGCTCCGCTGGGTTCCTCTCGTGAGATCTGAACGTTGCCGTGGCAACGCTCAAATCTCACGAGAGTGAACTCTAGCCCTGCAGGCTAGAGTTCACTCTCCACTGGACTAACCAGGGAAAGCAGCAACAAGGATCCCCCCTCCCTATGTAAGGTAAGTAATCTGCCCCCACAATCACCCAAACCTACAGCCCACACACACACATACATCACACACACACACATACATCACACACACATACAGCACACACACACAGCACCTACACACACACACACGGCACCTACACACACATACAGCACCCACACACCACACACACACAGCACCCACGCACATACAGCACCCACTCACACACAGCACCCTCATACACACAGCACCCTCATACACACAGCACCCTCACACACACAGCACCCACACATAACACAGCACCCACACAGCACCTACACACATACAGCACCCACACACACAGCACCCACACACACAGCACCCACACACATACAGCACCCAAACAGCAGCCACACACACACACAGCACCTACACACACACAGCACCCACACACAGTACACTAACAGCACCCTCACACACAGCATACTAACAGCACCCTCACAAACACATGACAACCACACACATCACACAAACAGCACCTTCACACACACAGCACACTAACAGGACCCTAACAAACACACACAGCACCCTCTCACACAGCACACTAACAGCACATTCACAAACACGCACACTACCAGCACGCTCACACACATATCACACTAACAGCACCCTCACACACAAAACCCTCACACAGCACACTAACAGCACACACACACACACATCAGTGTATGTCTGTGTGTGTATATATACATATGTGTGTGTGTATATATATATATATACACATACATACATATAGGCGCGGTGTGTGTTTGTGCTTTAGGGTGCACACCCTCATGCAATAGGCTGCGCACGCCTATGGTGAAATGCAATATAAATAACCATCTAAGCAAGATTTTATCACTGGACTAGTAAGCTCCTCTACTGGCCATCTCAGTGACTGCTAAAAGAGGTGTTCCTAGGCAACAATATAAACACTGCTTTTTGTCTGAAAACAACTCCAAAATAAAAGGTTAGGTCTTAAGGGTTGACAATTTCTTTCCGGTTATATGTAAATGTTACACAGTGCCTAAATTACATAAAACAAAGTGACATATAAAAGGAATTTAGACAAATGCAAAAAAAATTAGTTGTGGTTCAATAAAAGCCAGCTCACTCTGACGTCATAGCCAGTTTATTATACCTGGTTTATTTAGGTTACTGGAGCAAATCCATCTCGGAGCCACAGATAGATTGTCTCTAAGATCCTTATATGTAACGGCCCTAAAAGTGGTGTCTGCAGGCACATGTCTCTGTGGATATGTTGTCATACAGACACATAAGTGACCTATGATCAAAGGGGTTCACTTCGTGCCAGAAGAGACCAAGACAAGAAAACCAGGTTAACTCCTGAAATACTGTGACAGATTCATTTCCTCAGTGCATGACACACCTACATTCCTATTAACCTCTTAAGGAACAAACGTCTGGAATAAAAGGGAATCATGACATGTCACACATGTCATGTGTCCTTAAGAGGTTAAACAATTACAATGAGAATGATTCTTAAATGGATTTAAGGTAACAATAACCAAAAAATAATCAAACCATGTATTTAGATAATAAACAATAAATGTGTGTGTATGTGTATGTATAGATAGACAGATAACAGATTTACTGTCACCACATTTTACATATTTACATAAAAATCACTGGGGTTTTTTTATTTTATTTTCGTATCACAATCACTGTGAAAATCACAAACCCTTGAATTTAGAGGATACGTGGTATCTACTCTTAAGAGACCTTATCCTATTTAATTAGCATTGTGCATCTTAGTTTATATTTTTCATTCTGTAGTTCATGAAAACACAGAAAACAGCCTGAGTATAATCAACATTTTAATGATCAAAGTATCAAATATCATTCATTGATATAGCCCAGGAAGATCAGCTTATTTCCTGATGCATCTTTTTCACCATGATATAAACAACAATGGTTAATACGTTCCTAAACCTGATAGAAAGTAACTCATACTTGTAAGTTTGTTTGCTTTTGGTATTTTGCTGGATTGTTGTATTTATTTTTAACTAGTGACTACTTTTTTTTTTTTACTCTGACTAGTTAAAATTATATATTTCTATATCTAATCATATTATTCTAATTCTTATTCTATAAATTGCTTTATCCTTGGTTAATCTGTGTTGATCGGTACTACATAAATTTGAAAAGTACACATAGCCTTTCCATTTTTACTACAGAGATCTTATATATAAAAAGGTAACCCTCCAAATCCCAGTTATGTGTGCTATTTATTGTTTATTTGAGTGACATTCAGTAGATGAAAAAATAGTGATCCATGGTCCTTTTTATACATGTAACTTTCCACACTTGATGTTGACACATACGTCACACACCCATCATTCCCCAATGGTTGATAACGGAAGCAGATTGACGTGTATATTGGTCATGAATTACGTGGTGAACCTGTATTATGTGCCATTCATTGCAGGGTAGTCAAACTTTGTTGACAGCTCCACAGGACTAAAAAAAGAGACTACTTCACCACATGTAAACATAGAGACCTGCTTCCATGAGCTCTGCTACTGAATGTTTACCATCATGTGGTCTGTTTTAAAGCCACACAAGCAAATTGCCACCTTTTTTTTTTTTTTTTTTTTTAATAAAGTGCCTATTTTGACCATGGCCGTGGATATATCTATCCTCATATTTTCCCAAAATGTTGGCTTAATGACTTTTAACCCACCCTTCATAACCTTTTATGCATGAGTTACTTCAGATTTATAGAATATGCACTAAGAAAGAAAAACAATGAGCACAAGGAATGTTAACATGCACACCTCTAGAGACCTGTAAACTGCATTATTTGCCTAGATGGATGTAAAGAAACGTATTGTTAAACCACCTCTTGTCATCCTGATATATGCATTTTATAACAAAAAGTTTAATATCCTATTTTCAGCAGTTTAATGTTACTTTCATTTAACAAGACTGTAAGGAAGTTGTAGTTGTAATCATCGCTGTCAGATCTTCACAATGCAGGTGGATATTTTAGAATTACATTATATTTTTTAAACCTGTAGAGATAGTAGCTGTGATGGAACGCCTGCCACCCCGACTGGGTGCCTCTGTCGAACGATGCTCCTAGTGCTCGCCATCAGCATCGCACTCGACACCATAACCACCGCCAACCCCACGAACCGTTGCCGCTTGGTTTGGGGTTTCGCCATCCTCCACCCACCCTGGACCCAAGACCGGGCTCCAGCTTCCAGTGGGTGAACCTCTCCTAAATCCAGAGAGCAGGAACCAGGAACAAGAACAGCTCTTACAAGAGCTAGTGATGATACTCTGGAGAGTATAGTGATTATAGCAATCCCCAGAGTGTAGGTCTCCAATCCCCCAAACATGAGCCAAGACTTCATGAAGGGGTAAGCAGGTCTGGTTTATTGAGTGTAAGGGCATGTCTTTTATACATATTTTCAGGCCAGAGGCACACCCCCTGGACCTGATGGTAAACTGGGACAAAAGGGACACAAAATAGGAACAGTAATTAGTACAGCAACACTCCCACATACAGTCAGCAATCCCTCCCCTCTGCCTGTAATATAATTAAGCTAGTTAATGCAATAACCTAATTATCCACAGGCAGAAAATAAATATCCATTTATACCCAAAGTCCAGAAACACCCCAAAACACACACATATCCCCACAAATCCTAAATCCCTGGATAGCTCTGATCTGGGTGGACAACATATCCCAAAATCACCCAGATCAGAGCAGGGGTTCCCAAATTCCACAAAATTATGTATTTAATCACTCATAAATTTCAAGTCATCCAGATATAGTTGCAGTCTGAGAAGGGAGAGGTTTTCCTTGGGACCCAGATATTCTAGTCTTTTTTCCTGCCCGGTTTTCTCGTTCCTAGTAGTGCAGATTGTTACAGAACTCCAGACTTGTATTTAAACTATAATACTGTACTAGTAAATAAAGGTGATTTTGATAAGTATTTTGGACCCCAATTTTCTTATTGCACAAACCAGTTCTTAATTATATGACTGTCAACTTCTCCCCAACCCAGGATTCACCTCAATTATTCAAAACCCATCCCCATAACAAGTGAAAGGAAGACATTTGTTACAGCTTTTAAACAACTGACTACATCTGCAAGAAAGGGCATAATGAAGATTCACATACCATACTTACAAAACAGGAGTATGCCAATAATGTTTGTCTGCATAAACTTTATTGGAAATTAGAGTGTCAGCCATGTACATGTTGAGCTCTCTATCACACAAGCCACCTGAACAGGCAATCACCACTACAGAAGCACTTGAATATTGCACTTCATGTGTGTCAACAAGAAATGATCAAACATACTTTACAACACTTAAACAATCATCTCACGAACACAAGAGAAGTAACCCTGGACAATGGACCCAAATCAGGAAGTTTGGAACTTAAAGTTGACATTAACTCAGCACCCAATGGTGCTATGTTGACAGACATAGTTGTGTCCAAGTTGTGGCATTTTGGATAGAATCTAAATTAATGTCATCTCTTACAAAAGATCAATTAGTGAGGTAGCTGATGATCGCTTAGTCAAGTGCAAAATTAATAAATGAAAAGTATCTCAAGGAATTTAATTTAAAATCATACATTTGTTTGTTCCAGTGGATTAGAGAATGGCAAGCATGTTCTATTCTTATATAGTGTTGCTTTAAATGGGTTAATTGCAATTTTAAGAAACCCCTAAATTTTCCTAAATATGTAAATTATGTTGCATTATTTCATAACTTTCTTTGGTTTCCCATTATAGAAAGTAGAGATTTATATAACAATTTGAAAAACATACAACTTGGTCTTTTTCACAGGTGTTCCGCTGATCGATGGTGGTTCAGTAAGGTTGCCAAAGCTAATTGGACTTTCCCGAGCACTAGATCTCATCCTTACAGGGCGGCCTGTAAATGCGCAAGAAGCATATCAGATTGGATTAGCCAATAGAATTGTCCCTGATGGTCAAGGTCTGTATTATTGTCTGTATTTTTCTGCATAAATGAGAATTGGGTTGGCATTATAATCACTGCACTATACATAAATCAAAGTTATTGCTAGCTAATCACAGTATTACCATAGTTTTGTCCACCTAATACGGTATGGAGGGATTGACATATAGAAGAATGCATTTACTTTTTCAACAGTGTAAGGACCTAATGCTTTTTTTTAACTAGTCATACCGTTCATTGTTTTTTTCATGAATAAAGAGTAGGCAAGGAACATATTTAAAAATACAAACATGTATTACTGACACTATTGTGTTAAACACACTGTTTATGTTTCCAGTCCCCCTGTCAGAGCAGTGAAAAGGTGTTTAAACTTGATGATCTCAGCCAATCCAATACTTTCCATATTAAAGCACTGGGAGGCTATTGCGCATGCACGGCAAAACACTGCACTGCACCAATCAGCATCTCCTCATAGAGATCCATTGAATCAGTGCCTCAAGGCACCGTTTACATTTAAAAGCCTGCACGGACATGCTATAGACACCAGAACCACGACATTAAGCTGTAGTTGTTCTAGTGAGTATAGTGTCCATTTAACAGAACATTATAGCTTTAAGAATACAAGCATCTATTCCTAATTCTGTAATATTACGCTACTTATGTTGGTGCCCCCACATTGCAATGGTTAAAAAAAGGTTGAACTTATCTTATATCCTATGGCGCATTGGTCTTTATACTGTCATCCCAACAATATTGATGATCTCATCCAATCCAGTGCTTCCCCCAAATGCTCTCTATGAGAGTAATGTGATCTATAACCAAGTTTAACTTGGTTATAGCTGTGGAAACATCTCTAGTAGCTATCACAAAGACAGCCACTAGAGGCGTGGTAACCCTGCAGTGAAAACATTGATGCTTCTGCCAAACAGTAAGCTTGTCAGTCGAAGGGTTAAAAAGACAAGGGTTCTGCGCAGACCACTTCATTCAGATGTAGTCCCTTTAAGGACTTATAGTATTTTTCGCGGCATCTAAATTTTCTTCCCACAGTACTTATGGGAGCATCGATTATCCTGCATTTTTTTCCTAAGCTATTCCTTAAATCAGAAGAGCATAGAACACAAATATTCCTTAAGAGATTAAGAATTAAGTGCTTTTTGTAGTTTAGTATATTCAAGTTTGTTTTTCTTAGCAGACATACGTGAATGTTTGAAGGAACTACATACAGATTTTGATGCTCATATTTTATTTTGTTTCTGTTGATATTGTTTTACCATATCATTCTGTTTTTCTACCTCTACATAACAATCCCTGATTTATTGTTTTGTTACCACTGAAGGTAAAAGTTAAAGTAAAATGTAATAAACATATGCATAAAATCATATTACGTGCATCTTTTATGCAAGGAGCTATGGATGCAGTCACAGATGTGAACACCAGCTGTTACACAGTAATGTTAAATAGAAAATGTGTTTATATAAATACATGTAAAAAAGAAAAAGATTTTATAAATACAATGTAAAAAAGTCAAAGTCAGAATTTACAACTTTGTGTAGTGAGCAGTTCCCAAAACCAATACTTGCTTTCCAATTGCATTTAATTGGAGCTGTTTATTTCACCATTTGATAACAGTTACATTTATCACATAAGAGTAATGCATCTACTGCCTATGCTGAGGTCAGCTGTCGATAAGCTGCTACCAGCTCCTACCAGCTTATCGACAGTTCCACTCACAGTCTTATGGATGTAGATATATATGTAATAATGCATTGGCAAAAGTTCCGCTTCTACACAGTAAACTATGAAATAGTAGGTGGGGACTTACTGCAGATGAAGAGTACTGGGATGTTCCTATGTGAGTGAGGGTTGGGCATATAGCTCCAGCAATTTTGCATTTTATTACAAATGTAAGACAATGTATGCACAGACACAATTATGGAAACTAGAATGCAATATTCAATAAGGATAGATTGTTACTGTGCTAAAGATAGACTATTCCTCTAAAAGAAAATGTTGTTAGTTTGGTATGGTAACAGATGTGCTGCCTCTAGGCTTAGCTGCCTAACTCTGTGTATCAAACATCTGGCACAGTGAATATATCTTACGCTGTGCGACTGGTATTTCAGTGTTCCATAAGATCCACTGATACTGTGGGTAGCTATGGAATTATTTTCATGTGGGGCGCAAGATAAAAACAAGTAACTAAATTGAAGCCTGGATTACATTAGACATGAATACTATAGGGGACTCCAATATACAGCTAGGCAATTAAGGAGACTGGAAGTCTTACATAATTGCTAAATGGAAGAAGTCCATGAGTACCCTACCTACTAGCCCATGGTTGACAATAAAGTGTTCTAAGTTGTATTATGTAAAGATAAGGTCTAATCTTTAATCTTCTATGATATGGCTTATCTTTTACTAACATGTACACTGATCAGCCACAACATCAAAACCACTGACAGATCAAGTGAATACCATTTATTATATCATTACAATGGCAATGTCAAGAGGTGGGGTACTTTAGGCAACCAATGAACAGTCAGTTCTTGAATTTTTATGTGCTAGAAGCATAAAAAATGATCAAATGAAAAAATCTGAGCGACTTTGACAAGGGCCGTATAGTCATAGAAACATAGAATGTGACGGCAGATAAGAACCGGCCCATCTAGTCTGCCCAATTTTCTAAATACTTTCATTAGTCCCTGGCCTTATCTGATAGTTAGGATAGCCTTATGCCTACCCCATGCATGCTTAAACTCCTTTACCGTGTTAACCTCTACCACTTCAGCTGGAAGGCTATTCCACGCATCCACTACCCTCTCAGTAAAGTAATACTTCCTGATATTATTTTTAAACCTTTGCCCATAATAGCTAGATGACATCAGAAATGGTACAAGGAAGGACAATCAGTGAGCAGGCATCAGGCTCATGGACGCCTAAGGCTCACTGATGCATATAGGGAGCAAAGGCTAGCCCATCCAGTCCGATCACACAGATATTGTAGCTAAAATTGCTAAAAAAAATAAAATAATGCTTGCCGTTATAAAAATGTTTCAAAACACACAGTGCATTGCAGTATATGTATTGGGCTGTATATGTTCAAACCAGTCAACGTGCCCATGATGACCCTTGTCCACCTCCAAAAATAACTGGGGGTGTTAGCATCATAATTGGACCATGAAGCAATGTAAGAAGGTTGCCTGGTGTGATGAATCATGTTTTCTTTTAGATCAGGTTGATGGCCTGGTGCCATTTACCTGGGAAAAGATGGCAGCAGAATGCACTATGGGAAGAAGGCAGGCCAGTGGAAGCAGTGTTATGTTCTGGGTAATGTTCTGCTGGAAAACATTGGGTCTTGTCATTCATGTGGATGTTACTTTGAAATGTACCACCTACCTCGAGATTGTTGACGACCATATTCACCACTTAATGGAAATGGTGTTCCCTGATGACAGTGGCCTCTTTCAGCAGGATAATGCACCCTACCACACTGCAAAAATTGTTCAGGAATGGTTTGAGAAACATAACAAAAAATTCAAGGTTTTGTCTCAGCCTCCAAATTCCCCATATCTCAGTCCAGCTGAGCATCTGTGGGATGTGCTGGGACAACAAATCCAATCCATAAAGGCCTCGCAACTTGATGGACTTAATGGATCTGCTGCTAATGTTCTGGTGCCAGAAACTACAGGGCATGTTCAGAGGTGTTGTGGAGTCCATGCCTCCATGTATCAGAACTGTTTTGCCAGCATGAAGGAGCTGATGATATTAGTTGATGATAAATAATTAAATTTTAAACATTAAAGAAAATAAATTTTAAACATTAAAGAAAATAAACTTGTTTTCCTAGCACTATAGGGTTATAAGATTCCCCCTGTCCCTCGGACCCCCCTCCTGCTGGGCTAAAGCCACTTACCTTAATCCAGTGCCGGGCTCCCTCGGCGCTGGTGACCTCTCCTCCCCCTGCCGACGTCAGCTCCCAAGGGGAGCCGAATGCGCATGCGAGGCCGGAGGCGCGCGCGCATTCAAACCGCCCACAGGAAAGCATTACTCAATTCTTTCCTATGGACGTCCAGCATGAGTTCAGTGCTATTTTCACACTGAAACTGCTATGTTTTCAGCTGCAGGGTTAAAACTAGAGGGACCTGGCACCCAAACCACTTCATTGAGCTGAAGTGGTCTGGGTGCCTATAGTGGTCCTTTAAGTGTCAGCATAACAGATGTGTTACCAGCCCTTTAATAATAATTATCCTATTTGTTATTTGTAATCTAAAAACACAGCAACAGGAATAGGTAAATAGGTAAAAATATTAACTAGCACTACTTTCAACTAAGCTGCAACAAAAAAAAAAAAATCCCACCATTCCCAAGAGGTGGTATCTAATAAGTTGATTCTATCCCCTTACCTTTTATCATATAGCTTTTGTTTGGCAACTGTAATGTAAAGTATTGGTAAGCTATACTAACTACTGCGGCATGCTCCAATATTGTATTTTTTTCCAGGGAGGTCTTGAGCATAAGCTAATTCCCTTCAGTATTGGATTTCTGTATAAATGAGAGTTGACTTGGTTCCTGTAAACATCTGGTGTAAGTCATGTTAAGCCTCGCATTAATATTTTGTCATATGGGTTGAATGCCAAGCTGGACCAGTTCTCTGACTCATCAATGCCACTAAAGAATGCAGTGATCTTAATACTTATTTTAGAGGATTTCATTTTCCTCTTGTACAGAACAAACCTCTGAAATAAAATTGTAATTTTGGAAAATATTACAAAGTAAAACTAGAATTACTGTATTAATTAAATAAACAGTCATATGAAATTCTTTCCCCTTGAGTCCACATAATTTCCAATTTTTTATTTCTCAGAATACAATATCTCCTCAGTCACCTGCTAGCCATGAATTTCGTGGTCAGAAGGTAAAACATGGGATGTGACCTTCCATGGATCATAAAGGCAACTTGTTGCTACTGCAGAGCTCATAGTACTAGTCATAGACGGTGGGGCTGGGGGAGATGTGTATTTATTGATTTTATTTTTTTAATGTGTCATGCCATTTAATCACAGTCAAAATATATTCATAAATGTCAACATTCACAAAGTCATCCCTGGCATTTATGACTATTTCAAAAAGTCTGAACGATTCCTTCCTCACATCACGAGGTTTTTGTACACAATCAGAAATTTTAAATATTTTTATTTTAATAACTAAAGGCAAAATCGTTAATCACTGAAAAATATTTACAAAGAGAATTTATCTTTATAAAACAATATTTTTAAAATAATGCATTAACCATGTTTTAAAAGAAAGGTTGGAGGAAAGTGTTTGGACCATAACAACTTCATTAAATAGAGTGGTCATGATATTTAGAGTGACTTTAAAAGGTCAGTATCCAAACATGAAACCTAGGTTATGGTATTTTGTATCTGTACAACAGAATGTTGATTGTACATGTAAGGCATAAATATCATAACCTAAACATTTCCAGATTGGACAATGACCTTTTAAAGGGTCAACTAAATACCATGACCACTCATTTTACTGAAATGGTTATGGTCCATAGAACGCTTTCCTATAAATTTTCTTTTTAAACATGGTTAAGTCAGGAGAGATTATGGTTGTATAAATAAAATATATATTTTTTCTGTTTACATATTATGTTTATAAATTGGAGATACTTGCTATAAAATAGAAATGAATACAGTTTTACCACTATTTTACAGGTTTTTTGTTGTTTTTTTAAATTGTTATATAACACTTTGAATATTTTTTTTCTTAACAATATTGAATAGTTCAAACAAACACTGAAATAGTGCTAATATTTTCTGCTAAAATTAAAATTAAAAAAACAAACAACTATTTTCATAATTATTTACACATGCACACATTTACACAGTGCCTAAAGCCAAACCAACCTTAGATCTCTGATAATTTCCAGTTAGCACTAGAGATGCACACGGCAAAGCTGGTTTTGCTTAAGAATACAATATTTTTGTCCTAAAATACCATTTAGGCAGGGCCGGATTAAGAGCACGCTGGGCCTGGTGCTGACAATTACGATGGGCCTAATTACGGAATCTTATCGACCAAAAACACTAAAACAGTCATTCCTCGCAAGCGTCATGTATCTAATGGAGATGGTGCTGGAGGAAAACTCATAGGATGCAGCTATAAGAAAAAACACAATCTATGCTAATCTCTCTAATTTATGCTTTCATCTTTCAAGTAAATCCATAACCCCCAACGGCAGTGTCCAGTGAAACAGGAGGTCAATGGGCGGGGTAAAAGGGTGGGCCACTGGTGCGAATCATGTGACCAGACCTGCCAAAAGAGGAGAACATGCCCAAAAAGGGGGCATGTTTGTCCAAAGAATTTGAAGGACAGCCTGGCATGAATGCATGACAGGCTGCCCGCCAATCCTGCAGGCTGTCCAAATAAGGGCATACTATGCAGGCAGCACCCTGTGCATGACATAAATGCATCTAATGATGCGCTCACTCCATGCTTTCTAAGGACTGTCCCCTAGCACTCGCTGCTCCACTTGTCTCCTTACCTTCTTACCAGCAGACAGAAGTTCCTGGTATATAGTCTGAGACAGAGAAAAGGTGTATGTAGTGAGTGTAGAAGAAAGGGGACATGCCACAGTGTTAGAGAGACCAACGTCTGCATTAGCTAAACTAATTTTATTGTCAGCCAGTCCACACAAGTTTTGTTCCCATACATCCCTCTTAAGCTTCCAAATTTAAAGGGACACTATAGTCACCAGAACAACTACAGCTTATTGTATTTGTTCTGGTAAGTAGAGTCATTCCATTCAGGCCTTTTGCAGTAAACATTGTCTTTTCAGATGGCTGCTAGAGGTGCTTCCTGGGGCTGCACTGCCATTCAGTGTCTCCACCCTCTGCATGCAGACACTGAACTTTCCTCATAGAGATGCATTGATTCAATTTATCTTTATGAGGAGATGCTGATTGGCCAGGGCTATGTTGGACTTGTGCTGGCTCTGCCCCTGATCTGCCTAGTTGACAGTTTCAGCCAATCCTATGGGGAAGTATTGTAATTTGCTCAGGCCACCACTTCTGATGTCAGCAGACAGTCGGTTCAGAGGCAGACCCAGCAGCTGCTGACTTGAATACAAGTTTTATTTTACTATACTTAGGGAGGCAAGAAGGGGCCAGGGTGGTGGTTTTAACATAATAGGGTCAGAAATACATAATTGTGTTCCTGACCCTATAGTGCTCCTTTAAGCAAGAGTATGTGAAGAGTAGTTAGGGTTGCCACATTTCTTGGAAAAAAATACCAGCCTTAATCATTTGTATAATCATAAGGAGTGACATCAGAGAAAATTCTGTAAAATCACCAACAAACTACTCACAGTTTGATTCTGCTGTATAGATGGATTGCTCCCAGTGTCTCAGTCTCGCAAGTCACCCGGTGTCTCAGTGTCCCTATGTATCACAGTGTCTGTGTCCCCATGTCGCCCAATCCCCTAGTCTCACAGTGTCTGTGTCCCCATTTCTCCCGGTGTCCCAGTGTGTCCCCATGTCACTAGGATACTGGGGACACAGAGACATGGGGACACTGAGACACTAGGGACACAGACACTTGGAGACATGGGGACACTGAAACATTTGCAGACACTAAGACATGGGAACACAGACTCTGGGAGACTAGGGGACACTGGCTGGGAGACAGACACTTGGGGACACTGAGAGACATGGGGACAGTTGTGGACATAGACATGGGGACACTGGGACATATAGGGACACTAGGAACACTGAGACACTAGGAACTCAGACACTGAAACATTTGGGGACACTAAGACACTAGGGACACCGAGACATGGGAGACTAGGGGACACTGAGACACTAGCGTCACTGGATGGGGGACATGAGGACACTGGGAGAAATGGGGACATAGTGTTTCCATGTCCCATTGTCTCCCAATGTCCCTATGTCTCTCTGCGTCCCCTAGTGTCTCAGTGTCCCCATGTGTCCCTGCTGCCTTTTCCTCCACTTACCTGAGCTGTAGAGCTGCTGTCTGGACTCTCTGTGCTGTGTAGCTGCTCCCCCACCGATCAGTGAGTAGTAGAGAGACACACACAGAAAAATAGGGGACAATCTGCTAAATACAAATAAAACAAAAAAACATAGCATATAACTGTGTGGAGACTGGTATTGATGTGCAATCACAAATGGTCACTCACAATTTTGAGGAGTTAAAAAAGCCTTGAGTGGTGTCTTTATGGAGTTAAAGCAGCTTTATACAGTATTTTTCCGTATCCAGTGTGTTGTTCCTCCTCACATATTCCTCAGCAAATAGGTATATATGTCTCAAAGAGAGAAAATGTACAAAAATGTAGTGCACTTCCAGAATATATTAAAAAGTGTTTTAATGACTTACATTTAAGAATAAAACAAACAGCATGTCACCATAAACGTCCTACGCGTTTCGTCCTTAGGATGGACTTCCTCAGGGACTTGGTATGATAAAGTGCAGTTAGAAATAGCAGCAATAATAACAATATCCCCCCCACAGTCCTTTATATACACCCCCATTTAATCTTTAAAGTCTTTCAGCTGGTATTCAATTTTCAATTTCGGCGGTATGGAGTCCGGTGACGTCATCGCGTCCGCCGCGTGCGTTCCACCATGCGTTCCACAGACCCGGAAGTGGGTCGCGATCGTCATTCTCTCTCTTCTATTCCCATGCATTGACTCAAAATGTATACAAACAGGTGGATAGAGCGAAAAAGGGGGAGGAACAAGTAATTAAAAAATACTCTGGACGGCACTACAAACTAAAAAGATCAAATGAATGTACATTCTCACTAAAATCTAAAATTAAAGACACATATATGTATATATATATATCCCTTTTTCATTAGATTTCACAAATCATTTTCTCACATACTTATTATACATATTTCCTTCTTATTACATAACATCTTGGATAATTTCAAAATTGTAACAAAATATGAATATGTAGTATGTAAACAATGAGCCCATTTGCATTGCACTCCTTGTCTCATTCTTAGAAAAGGATAAAGATTTTTTTTTTTTTTTTTGGAAAAAACTAAACCTTCAAAGTGAAAAAAATATAAATATAATTAAATAATATGAAAATCAAAATAAAAATTAAATAATTACTTAATAATAAATAAAGATAAAATGAAAAATAAATATAAATATAGAAATAAAAATGAAATAAAAAAATGAAATAAAAAAATAAAAATAAAAATAAAATAAAAAAATAAAAATAAGAATGAAAATTAAACCAAATAAAAATGAAGTGAAAAAATGAAATAAAATAAAATAAAAATAAAAATAATAATACAAATGAAAATAATAATAAAATAAAATAAAAATAAAAATAAAAATAAAGATGAAAATAACAATAAAAATGAAAATAATAAAAAAATATATATAAAAGTAGAATAAATAAAAATAAAAATAAATAAAAATGAAAAATAATAAAAATCTATGATTTATCGAATGGGAAAAAAGTGCAATGTTTCCCAAACATCAAAATGATGAATCAATGATTCACTCAATCCTCAAAAAAACTCCACAAATCAATGTCTAAATTTAGACCAAAAGGTTGGAGTGTCTTTAGTTTGTTGATCCAAAAAGTCTCTCTTTGAGAGAGCTTTTTGGTTAAATTACCTCCTCTCCAATATGGGTCCACATGTTCTATGCCCAAAAAAATAAAACTCTGCCAATCGAATTTGTTACAAGTATTGCAATGTAGTGGTACTATGTGTTTCACTGATTTTTTTTCTTATATTATTTTGATGTTCTAGTATTCTCTCCTTTAGCTTTCTGCATGTTCTCCCTACGTACTGTTTTTTCGCAAGGGCATTGTAACATGTATACCACATTTCTCGTATTGCAATTTATATTAGATTTTATTTTAAATTTCTCCTTTGTGGTAAAACTCATAAATTCTTTCTTTTGTGCGAATTTCTGATTTTTACATGCTTTACAGGAGTTACAAGGGTTAAAACCACTAGTATTTGAAATCCCCCCTTTATGTGGAATTTTTAAAGCGTAACTAGGTGCTAATACATTTTTTAGGTTTTTTGTTCTCCTAAAAATAACTGGTGTTTTTTTTGGCAACACTTTACCCAGGATGGGATCCTGACACAAAATATTCCAGTGTTTCCAATGTTGTGTATTGTATTGGGTCGTAAAAGAAAAATTATAATTATCCTTAGGATGTCTTTTGGGAATGCTGTAACTTCCTATCCCTGCCTCTCTCCACACACACAGTGACCCCTACTGGCCGGTGCTGGTATTGCAGAGTAATCTCCATTTATTCTGAGAAAAAATACATGCATTTGTATTGCTGGTATTACTGCAATAACGGCATGGCCAGGCAGACTCAAATACCGGCTGTGCCAGTAAAATACCAGTCAGGTGGCAAACCTAAGAGTAGTGTGTAAAAAAAAAAAATTTTTTTTTTGTTTTTTTTTTTAAATGGGCCTATTCCATGGGCCTGGGCCTGGAGCTGCAGCTCCATCAGCCCCTATGTTAATCCGGCCCTGCATTTAGGTGTGTTATATGAAACTCTAAACTTAGTCTGGCTCCTAAATAGATTGAGCTGAAAAATCTATTTTCCAGGCTCTGGACTTTCTCCTTTGTTATCTAAGTGTGCCAGTTTCAAAATTTTGGGAAAATGTTTTTACATTTAACCCCAGGTTTCCAGAATGGTTTATACATTTGTGCAAAATGACAAAATGTGCAGATCAACTGTCAGTCTGATTCTTCAATCTCACTTTTTTTAAATGAACACAATTGCATAGCAAGTGCCATAAAGGAAAGATAATTTTGCATTAATTTAGTGTATACACTAAAAGAGGATCCATTGTGAAATGATTGTAGAAAAAAGGTCGTCAGTTTATTTCACCCAGGTAAATTAACAACCAGCTTCCTCTTGTCAGTAGTTAAAGGGACACTATAGTCACTCAGACCACTTCAGTTCAGTGAAGTGGTCTGGGTGCCAGTTCCCTCAGGTTTTAACCCGTCAGATGTAAACATAGCAATTTCAGAGAAACTGCTATGTTTACATAGCAGAGTTAATCCAACCTCTAGTGGCTGTCTTCCTGACAGCCGCTAGAGGCACATCTGCGACGCTGGATGCGAAATTCGCATCCAGCGTGCAGAACGTCCATAGGAAAGCATTAAAAAATGCTTTCCTATGGACTGTTAGAATGCGCGCGGGAGCTGACGTCAGTGGGGGAGGAGAGATCACCAGCGCGGAGGGAGCCCAGAGCTGGATTAAGGTAAATTGTTGAAGGGGTTCTAACCCCTTCAGCGCCAAGGGAGGGGGACCTGGAGGGTGGGGGCACCCTTAGGGCACTGTAGTGATCCTTTAACATAAGATAATTCTGTATTAAAGGAGGTTACAGTGATATTTAAAAAAAAAATACTCCACTTAGCTAAAGTTTTAATGTAATTGCAAATGTACTTTTGATTATATATTATTGTGATTTTTATATAAGTGGTATTTTTTGCCCAGTTGACACTTAATATAAGCTATTATTATTGAGTTAAATTCTCCCTCTTTTTTGTTTATTATACAATGATATATATTTCATTTGCAGTATTTTGTTGTATGAAAAGCTCTAGTTGTGGACTATTCTCCATACTATTTAAAAGCCATTGCACTAATCAAAATGTATCTCCTTGACAGAAAGGCAGCTAAGTGGAACCAAACATTAATTTGAGAAACGATGTAAAGGTGTATCAGGCTGACATTGTACATGTTCTGTTCTCTGGGTTTCATTTTGCTCTGCTTTTATCACTACTATTATTATTATTATTATTATATAGTGCATATTTGATCTTTTCCTGTAGGGTGTGAGTGTTGAGTTAATGTTTGTGCTGTTTCCCTTGCAACATGAGATGCGCAAATGGTACATTTTTTTCATGTCTATAAAGACTAATTTTTGCATTTGCTTTGGCAGTCAACCCATCTTAGTCATATTTCCTATACTGAATAATAAATGCTGAATAATAGGATTGATGGAGTAGATTGAACATTGCTTTTAACATGTGCTTATAATGGCAATGATTGCCAGTATACCCTGTTTATGTTCTCAGTATTATTCCTGTGGTAGCAGAATATGGGGGAATTTTATCTCGTGACCCAGATGTTCTGCTGTTTTTACTCATGTAATGCATTTTTAGTTGTTTTATTGTACAGTTGCTCTTTGTCAGTTTTAGATTATAGATTAAAATGACTTGCAGTGCACCAAATGGCAATTTCTCTCATTGATCAAAAAACGATGAACACCCAGAAAAAGTAAAAAAAATTTGGTGTTGACGGATCTTTGTTGGTCGGCAGTCTAAATCCTGTTTTTTTTAATACTCCAGACCAGAAACCCACAATGGCAATAGGAAAAAATATCCTTAAAGGACTACTCCAAACACCATAACCACTGCAGTGTCGTAGTTTTATGTCAGGAATGCCCTGGAATTATCATTTCTGTACAGTGTGACTTCTGACTTGGGGTCCAGCAGACACCACTCCACAACTCCATTCCTAATGCCGGAGCAACAGAAGCAGGAACTTCCGTTAGCACTCCTAAGCAGTCCATCACTTGTTGGATGAGAGCAATCAGCTGACATTCTCGACTCTCCAGCATTAGTAGTGAAGGTGGGGAGTGATGCACTGCAGACCGCAGGCAACAAGTTAGACCATAATAAAATGGTATGACTATTTGCAGTGGGAGGGGGGCGCCATGACACTCCTGGCTCCATAACCACAATAGCGAGCTGTAGTGATTATGGTGCTTGGAGTGTTCCTTTAAACCTAAAACTCTCCATGGAGGGAGCGTTTGAGCAAGATCATTTTTTTAATGATTTAATTTAAATATTCCCTTTCTATTATTGTAAGTTGCTGTGGAATATGTTTGTGTTATATAAATACTTTAAATAATAATTTTGGTTTCTGGAGGAATTGCTGTTCAGTAATCACAACAGTTTTTCCAAAGTTGGGGACCAGATCTTCTGTTTCAGAAAATATAAATCCAAGAGGAAGAGACAAGGTGGTATCACACACGTAGTGTATATCAAGGGGTGGGTAAAAATCCTCTCTATCATACCTCCTGAATCTGGGGAGGTCACCTAGGCTGTGCTCCCTACTAAAACAACCAAGTCAAATAAATTGAACAAAATCCCAGTCCACTCCCCATAAGGAGATGTTAAAGGGAAAGAGCACAGTCTGATAAACAAAGAACCTTAACGTTTATTAACATCTAATATATGGCTACTAGACTAACAAAGGAACAAATACTCCAAATAACGTAAAACACGTCTAAAATGAGAGTAATGGAGTGGATAATATCCACCTCTGGGCAGTCAGATATACAAATGATTATAAGGGATAAAAACCAACTACCATATCAGCCAAAGAAAGGGAATGGTGGACGATAAAATGCTTACGGGGTCAATTACCACAGTAGATGATGATGGATGATAAAATGCTTATGGGTCAGTTGCCTAGACCTGCTTAACCCTCTGAATGGGGATAGGGGAAATAAATGCATAGAGGAAAAAAAAAAAATAGTACTTAAAAGGTTGACTAGGAGTAGTATGATAAGGGTAGAGCTGACCTAATCCATACCTCCCATTCCTATATTCTCACACTATTAAAGGGAAACCAAACTGATGGGAATGCTGTATGTAGCTGTGTAGGAGTAAAAAAACAACATCCACAGTAAACTTACTGTCTCTGTTTACTTTGACACCACACAAGGCTAGTGCTACCTACACCAGAGTAACTGAAAAAGTACAAAACTGAACTCAAAAGTGCATAGTGCTACTCATAAGTGCTAATACGCTGTCGTCAGGGGCAGAGTAACCAAGTTGTATGGTCTATGCTAGATGAAATAACGTGCCTCTTAATTAGCTCTTCTGTTTCCTTTACAATCACTCTACAGTAATTATGTCAAAAGGATGTCTCAATAACTCAGGATTTTAAAATACAGACTACTGCTACACTGACTTCAACAATATATTAAGTAATATACCCAGTATTATTTAATCAACATCGCATTACTGCCTGCTATTAGAACATAGTTCAACCTAATTACAACTTCACTGACTAGTTTTTAGTATATGGAAGATTCCATATAATTTAAAAGATCTTCTGTTTTGGATTTTTTGTAATTAGCAATTGACGTGGGAGAAAAGTGACAGAGCATAGCTTCTGGAGTAAATAGGGTGTTCGAATTTGTATTTTCTTGTATCCTTTTAAGTATAACATCCAGTAACAAGAGCTGAAAGGGCAACTCCACCAAATATGAAACATTGATACAATCCTACAACATGTCTCCTGTACCGAAGCAAGTATAGCGTGCAGGTCCTGAGCTCCCGAACTTTGAAACTTAACTATGGTATGTCAAAATGAAAAATTTTCGCCCCTGAGCCTCAAAGTCAAATCATACTTATATCTGATAGTGCCAAATATTCAAAGTAGCTCCAATAAATTGATGCTGCAATAGTGAATTAAGAACAGAGTATTTGTTGAGCCAGAAATAGCCAATCCTCTGAACACTCACCTATCTCATTTTAGAGACAGCAACCTGCCAATCAATAATTCTAATTGTGTAGGAAACAGAATAATAGTTTGTGAGGTCTGGAAGGCTGTTGTTTAAGTAAGAAGATTTAGGTACGGCAAACACTTGCTCCCCAAGCTTTCCAAATTATTGGAATGGTTTAAAATAGATTAGAGGTATATGGTTTGGGAGATTAAATACAATAAAAATTAATCTGTTGCCCTACAGCCTTAACCCCTTAAGGACTGATGACGGTTCAGGACCATCATTGGAAAAATCCCCTTGAGGACCGAGGAGGGTCCTGAACCGTCATAATGGTAATATTTACTTACCTGATTGCCGCCGTTCCCCCAGCAGTGATCGACGTTGCTCCCGGTCTGGGGGGACTGCCTGACAGCCCAGGCAGTCCCTCCTCGGCTATTAGGATCCCCCGACCATGAGATCGCTCTAACAGAGTGGTCACATGGCCGCAATAGGCGTCCGTGAATCTGCCTGGAGTGGAACTGCCTGTGCTGACAGGCAGTCTCCCTGCATGTGTAAAATAAAAAAATTTTTAATTGTTAATTAATAAAAAATATAAGATTGCATATTGATTGCACACAGACTGAATATTTTTGTATGCAGTCTGTGTGAGTCACAGACAGAGGAGGTGTGGCTAACGCCGCATAGACAGAAAAAAAGTGTAGAGTGTAGTGAGCAGTGAGAGATGTTCTACACACCTAAACTACTTAATAAACCTAAAGTTGTTTTAGTGCCTATGAGCTGTGGGACAATAGATTATTTTTTATTGCATTTAATCTCCCAAACCATGAAATGTATGTGTCTATCCATTTATGCATGTTAGTCTGTAGGCCATGAACAAGACAACATAAAGAGGAAAGTTCTGTAGTAATCCAGATAACTACATTTTTAATTTTGAAATGGCACCAGGCAAATGATAACTACTCCTGTATAAGGATTGACTGGGACTAAGAGTAATGCTCAAGATTTCAAATTTATCAGCATTTAATTTAAGGTTAGACAGTAGATCACATTCACAAAAGGCTTTAAAAATATCTGTCAATGAGATTTATGGGTACCTGGCCATGAGATCATAAACATGAAATTGTCTTCATATGCAGCTATTTTATGCTCTCCTCCTCAAATTGAGATGCCTGATATACCCCATCCAATCTAACCGCCTCCAGGAAATGGTCTAAAATTAGGGCACACAGGAATGGGGGCAACGGACAACTCGGGCGTGTTCCATTGCTGGTTATGAAAGGATCCTATCTCTTGCAGTGGGGGTAGTTTAAAGGGCAGCAATCCTGTGATGGGTGTTGGATTCAAATCCCATATTCTATGGAGTAAGTTGTAGGGAGGTCCAGTCCGACCAGTCAAAAGCATTATTGGCATTGGTAGAGAGGAGAAGGAAAGGCCATCTAAATTCAAATGCTGATATAAATCTCGGTGGACCAAGTCGAGAATGACCCGACCAATGTACAGGGCCAACACTTTAGTAAAAAGTTTTAAAACAGTAATAAGCAAGGCGATGTGGGTCGTGAGAGTGTCTCCAGGGAAATCCTCATCCTGCAAAAGTGAGTTAAGACCCTGTATAAGTATTATAGCAGCACAATGAGAGACCATCAGGACCAGGTGCTTTGTTCACAAGAGAGTTTTAGATTTAGATATTGGAACTCCTCTATAGTGGGTTGATCTAAAGATTCTGCAGTCACTGGTAACACCGTCCTAGGTATATTAGAAGAGATATAGTCAATCATAAGGGTAATTAAAGAAGGGCTAGGATTTTGTTTATGTGAATTATGTAGAGTAGGTCAAAATTCTGCTAAAATTGAGTCATAGAGAGCAGTGTCACTTCCCATGCCTGTTTTTATTTTGTGAATATGGCAGCATCTCTCTTTTTTCTGTAGGGTGCGGGGTAGATTCCGGTCACACTTATTAAAGTGTTTCTTTCAAATATCGTCGGGACGAGTAATTTTTGGGAAATTAAATTTATAGATCTCTACGTGCAGTGGTTAATTCTTTAAAGGTGTCATCTAACGTATACCGTTTGTGTAATGCTTTTAGAGTGGTGATGCAATCTATTAGAACATGAATTTGCCAAATATTTTGATGCTTACGGTACGAGCAAACATTTATAAAATGGCCTTGGTTTACAATTAGTGTTTCCCATATTGTGAAATAAGGGCGGAGATCAAGTGCGCTAAACATTCTTGAGCCACAATGATAAAGTCAATTCCTGGATCATGCTTGGTGTAAATTGGAAAACATGAAAAAATACAATGCACAGCTTAATTAATCAGGTCCACTAGTGCAACCCATATTTATTTGAATAGCATGAAGTAAACAGATGTGTTGGACTCCTTTCTCCATCTAACAGTAAATCTTAAATCAACAAAATAATAAATCAACAAAATCAACCAAATAAAATCAACCAAATATATAGTAAATTTTATTTTTTTCCTGTTTTGCTGCTTTATCTCTCTGCTGGTAGAGCGATAACGATTAAATACTTATGCTGCCCAAGGTGGATTTTTTCTGTTTTTTTGGCACTGCAGTGTACACACTCACTATTCATTGGTGTAAATTTGAATAGAAAGTATAATCTTAAGCACCCTCCAGCAGTCATATCAAGCAATCATAAGAGCCCTTTCCATACAATGTAGGGCATGGGAAGAAATGGAGCTAACCCCTCCAGAAGTATCTAATCTCATGTACAAAGGGTCATTAAGGTCTGCAGCTAATATCAATGTGCCTTCTCAAAAATTTTCTAATTGGGAGATATTCTGGGATAAAAAAAATATATGTTGCCTCCCAACATAGATGGATGCAATAGTGTAGTCATGTCTTCACAATAGCCCTTTAATTATATTAGTAGCGAGCTGCAGTCCGTGTGGACAATCGATAGTGTATGTGCAATAAGAATGGCTACTCCTGTTTTTTTAGCTTCTGTATTATTATTGAAAAATATCTGAGGATAGCAGTTATTTTGTAGTGATTGAGCAGTACCTATCTTAAAATGAGTTTCTTATAAGAAGCAGACTGATATTCTATTTGACCATAAATCCATCCAAGTAACCTGGACTTGCACTCTGGGAGGTTTTGACTGTACCATTTGGGGTTTGAAAAGTAAGCTGTGCCGGGGAGAACTTGTCCAAGAGGAGCTAAAATAAGAAAAATAAAAGGAAAATGTAGAGGTGAGCCAGGGACAAGGAAAAGCTGTTCAAAGGAAAAAACACGAACTATTGAAAGCCCACGAAACATGGGTTATAAGAAGATAATCGCAAACAAGTCACATATGTCCGAGATTACCAGTTCAGTGTGCAGTTCTTATGGACAGCAAGTCAGATGACTCACTACTGTAAATTAAACAATGATGCAAGAAATATATTAAATCTATCAAGCAATGCTCATGAAAACTGACCCTATAATGCTTATAAGAAACAGTGTTGGTCAATAAACACAAATTAAAGAGATAACAAAAGATAGATCTACATTATATCCTATGCATCATTTACAGGGTAATAAATATGCCTAGAACATTAAATAAAGTGGACATGATTTTTTAGACTGAAGCTCTTTTACCTTATATACCCCAGGAGGGTGATGAGCCTGACATTACTTCCCGTTTGTGAGTCTTCTACTTCAACTCCTTTGGGTGTCCACACTTTATATAATATATCACGCTATGTGCTATTTGTAATTCCTCTTTCAGATATTCATGCACCTTACTGGAATTATACTTATATAGTGTTTTCCCAGTTGTAATTTTATATTTAGTGTTTTATATGTATTTGCTGATCTGCCCTTATGTGAGTTAAATTATCGATCAAAGAGTCGTCATGCAGAACTGCATCATCGGTGGCAAGTCTGCCATATTGTCGTTCTGATGGGAGTCTCGGGACGCCTGTGGAGTAGAAAGCTTTATTTTTTTATTTATTTTTTTGACAAGGATAATTAAGTTTACTCTAACCAAAATCTGTGTTTTATTAAAACGCTGTTTTGGTGGTAGTAACCCTTTAATTTACTTTATTATATCCATACAAATAGTTGACAAACATTTCGGTTCTGATTGTGTGAGGTAAAGGAATACAGACATGTCTACTGCTTTGCATCTAAATGACTATCGTAACCATAAATATACAGTTACTTCTGGAAATATTTTGACACTGGCACCATTTTCATAATTGAGACTCTGTATGCCACCACAATGGAATTGAAATTAAACAACCAAAATGCAATTGAAGTGCAGACCTTCAGCTTTAATTCAAGGGGTTAAACAAAAGTACTGTATGAAACATTTAGGAATTGCAACCATTTTCATGCACAGTTCCCTTATTTCACAGGCTCAAATGTAATTGGACAAGTGAAGACAATCATAAATAAGTTATGTAATACTTTGTTGAGAATACTTTGCAGGCAATGAGTGCTTGATGTCTGGAACGCATGACATCACCAAATGCTGGGTTTTCCCCTTTGTGAGGGATTGTCAGACCTTTACTGCAGCGGTCTTCAGTTGTTGTTTGTTCATGGGTGTTTCTGCCTTAAGCTTTGTCTTCAGCAAGTGAAATGAATGCTTCGCTGGGTTGAGATCAGGTGACTGACTTGGCCATTGCAGAATATTCCACTTCTTTGTCTTAAAAAAACTGCTGGGTTGCTTTTACATGATGTTTTGGGTCATTGTCTATCTGTAAAGTGAAGTGCCATCCAATCGACTTTGCTGAATTTGGCTGAATCTGGGTAGACTATATATCCCTATACACTTCAGAATTCATCTGGCTACTTCTGTCTTCTGTCACATCATCAATAAACACTAGTGACCCAGTGCCATTTGAAGCCATGCATATTCATGCCATCACAAGATAGCTTCCCCTTCCAATCCCAACTATAATTTTAAGGCAGTCTACAGATTATTTAATAAGCGACTCAGAGAGACCTTTGCTTTAAACCTAGCCCTTTGCTTATATAATTAAGAACTATATGTAAGCAGACTTATATACCAGCGCTGCGGAATTTGATGGCGCTTTAAATACCTAATTAAATGCCAGTAATAAATACAAGTAATAATATGTATTTGCACTTAAAACCGCCGGACATGTGCAGTACTCTGATTTGAAAAGCAGCCGAGCACAGTTTGAAAATATGTCACAGCTTCACATATTATCATTTGCACTGCTAAATATTATTATTTTTATTTTGTTTTTATTTGTGTGTTTATCGTTAGCAAATGAGTATCATGGAGGGAGAACCTGGGGAGGCTGATCACATAGAAAATGTATTACAGCACAGAAAGTTATTCAGACCTCCAGAAGCTAACATCACTTTGTATCCAGAAAGTGACTAATGTCTCTGCAGATGCGTTGCAGCTGCCGTGTGCCCTGGCTATATCGTTGCCCTGATTCATTTTAAAATATGACTGTTTTGGTTGGCAGGTGATGGTCTGTCTCTAAAGCTAATGCTAATAAAAATCAAGTGCTGTTTACAAAATACACGGTAAGCAAGGGAGAACTACATTTGGCATATTTTTTTTTTGGCATGTCAGTTTAGATGAAGAAAGATGAAGAAAGATTGAGACGACTTGGCTTTAAGAATCAGATGTTCATAATGTGAATTTGAGGCAGACTCGTGCAATTCAGGAAATTCTTGCATCGTAGATAAAATGTTTAAGAACTAAATCCCATTATTTCCAAAAGAACAGTAATGGCAAAAATTGCACTTGTATTTATTCGTTTTTTTAAAGATTTTTTTCCCTACGGAACTGCAGATAGAATGATTCCACAACAAAGTGAGTCTAAGTAAAACAGTCTATGTATGTGTTAGTGATTTTTGTAGCTAAAACACAATCTGATGAGGGGTAAAATGTGAGGTCCATCTTGTTACTTTATACGTAGCCTTGTCTGTTTATATTCATGTATGCTGTTGCCATTTAGTAAACTGAGAAATATTTGGGATTGTGTGTTTATTATTAAATGATTTAATTGGATCTTAATGCTAGGTCAAGCTGCTTTTCAGTTTGTGATGATAAACCGCATCTGCCACAGTCTTGTTCAACCACAAGCTGTAGGTTATCAACAGCTGATGTAGTCTGCCTGAAATTTAGTGTTTTAGTACATTCTTGTATTCCTGATATTCTCTGCACACAGTGCAGGTTAATTGTAAATAGAGTTGTCGCGAACCGTTCACGAACTTCCCGCGAACGGCTGGACGCGGTTCGCCACGAACCGTTCGCGGCGAGCTCCGGTCAGCTGACACATCCCGGCCAATCTCCAGCAGACCCTCCCACCTCCTGGACAGCATCCATGTTGAAGCTGGGAAGTTCACGAACGGTTCGCGACATCACTAATTGTAAACCATAGAGGTAGCTCAGTGATTATTGCTCAAACTGCAAGGGTTGCTCATGCTGTTCCTACCCAAGATTGATAAACCAAGTATTACTGAGTTGGGTAAAATAACCAATCTATAACCAATCTGAGAAAATACTTAAATATTAGCTAAACCTAAATTGAATTTCTATTTTTGAATAGTTTAATCTTATAGTTATGACTTTTGAGTTTCAAGATTATCTACAAAGAAAATGGGTGCAATTTGTGTAGTCCACAATTATTATTAGTAATCATTGTTAAAATACACTCTAAGAGTAATTTAAAAAAAGTACTCTTACCCTTCTTATGGTGCGAAACTAATCCGTGTGCCCCACCCTCCCCTCCCCCCCACCCTGACCCTCTCCCCTCTGACCGTGGGCCCCCCTGACACATACATACAGACACAAACACACACCCCCGACAGACACATACATACATAAATACACACACACAGACACATGCATACACACATGCAGACACATACATACAGAGACACACACATACAGGCACATACATACATACAAAGATACAGACACACACACATACAGAGATAGACAGAGACACACAAAACAGACACACAAACATACATACATACAGATACACATACACACACATACATACACACATAGACACACACACACACATACATACACACATACAGACACACACACACACACATACAGAGACACAGACACACACATACATACACACACACACATACAGAGACACATACATACACACATACAGAGACACACACACACAAACATACAGATACACACACACACACATGCAGATACACATACATACAGATACACACACACACACACACACACATAGAGAGACACAGCCACATACATACACACATACAGAGACACACATACACAAAATGTTTCCTTCCTTTTGTGAATTTCCCTGGGGTCCAGTGGTGGCTCAGCCTGATGGGAGTTCCCACTCTGACTCCCTCCTTCCTGCTTCCTCCCGCGCGGGCTCTACGTATGCTGGGAGGAGTGACCGGGGAATCACTTCCTCCCAGGAGTGATGTCATCACAGGGGGCCCGGTCGCGCTGTTAAAGCGCTGACCAAGCCCCCTGACAATCCATGTCCATCGGGTGGCCCTGACAGCATGGGCCACCCGATGAACCCCTTAACATGCAGTCCTGCCGGGGCACCTACAGCGGCCACTCATCAGATGGCTACTAAAAGTGTTTCATGGGGCAGTGCATGAATTGATTCAATGCATATCTATGAGGAAATGCTGTTTGACCAGGGAAGCATTTGGCTCCGCACCCGGCCCCCCACCTTGACTGAGATCATCAGAATTGACAATCTCAGAGGGACCTTTTAGTGTTAGGAATATTTGTTCCTTTACGTTTACTGTGGAGATTTCCCTTATAAAACAGTAGGAACACTAACTTCCCAGAATCCCAGTGAAGGATACCACACATTGTTGTTGATTTTAGTTTAGGGCACCGTTTATACAGTTACAATAAAAAAAAGTTACCCACCAATTGTTTGCACCACGAGAGAAATTGTGCTGCAACTCTTTAAGAAGCATAAATTGTTATGCGCAATTTAATGATGATTTGTTTTTCTCCTTTTTATCATAATATAACTTCTTCTTACCCATCATTAGCTAATAAAATAATTTCCCAAATTAAAATTATTTCTACTACTTCACTTGTTAAGCTATACATTAATAACTGTAAGAATTAAACCGTATTCCTTAATTTGCAATCAACAAATGTATATACCTAACTCTGCTTCGAGATATCTAATATGTCAGCTTATAAATGTCACAAATACCCGTGCTGCTGTTCCAGTCTGTTGTGCTCAGAAGTCACTTTGAAAGTCTGTGATATTTACTATCGTGGCTCACATGCTGGCTGCCGAATGTAGCTGAACTCAGACAGAGGGCTTGTTTTTCAAGCATAAATGCTAAGAAATTATGATGTTAGGGAAATAGCAGGTGTAAGCCTGTTAATTATAGCTGCTCTTTGGTGTTTGAAATATAAATAGTCCAAAACATGCTAAAGTTGTAAGCATAGAATAAGAGCAACCCGATTAATAATCTCACACCTAGTGCAGTTGGGTACCCCATTTTAAATATGTTAAGTAAATTAAAAAGTGGGGTATTCCTATTTTTTTTTTTTTCCACACCATGGGCTGCAGAGTGAAGAGTAATATAGATAACTGGAGGACCTGGAGATGTCCAAAGTTCTGCTTCCCCAAAGGGTTCGACTCATAAAGGTTGGGTACCCCTTTCATTAATATCCCCTGATAAAGGATCCTAGAGACACCCATTCTCCTGGTTGCTATAAATATATTGTGCCATTAAAATGGCCATGGAGACAATCATCCTCCTGAGCCTTATAAATATATTGTATTATTAAAATGGCCCAGGGGATGCCTAGTCTCTGGGTCCTATAAGTATATAAAGGGCATAGGAGATGGCCAGTCTCTTAGACCCTATTAATATAATAGGCCCATGAAGGTCCTGAGGGATCCCCAGTCACTTAGACCTTATAGGTCTATCCCATAGAAGTGTGTATAGATATATATACATATGCAATTGTATGCAGATGGAATTGTGTTTTATATATAAAATGGATTGCTCACCCCTCCTTGGTGGTATATTTAACCCTCATTCTTGTGCAGAGGCCTGGGAGTCTGAGGGTTCTGCGCAGTATCTTCCTAGAACTGCACTCTTCTGGACAGCGATCTCAGATGTCCCACCTGGAATCTGTTGAAGCCACTTCCCTAACTTGGGAGTCACAGCCCTGAGTGTGCCCCTATCAAAACTGGGACTACTACTGCCTTCACTTTAGACATCCTTTCTAGCTCTTCTTTCAGTCATTGGTATTTGTCCATCTTCTAATGTTCCTTCTTCCTGATGTTATAGTCACTGGGAATTAGACAGACTACAGAAAACCACACTGTGAATATATCATTTATAGTACATTTATCTATGAGGGATGTGACATGACGTATATCCTCTGTCCGTACTCCCACCTTTAATGCTAGCCTCCAAGATTTCTCCAGGGCTGCTCCTCCTCTGTGGAACTTCCTTCCCTTCTCCTTAAGAATTTCACCCAGTCTCCACTCATTCAAAAAATCATTGAAAACTCACTTCTTCAAGAAAGCATATCAATTAAACTGTTAGCAGGTTTTATCCGCCACCCCCCCATGACTCTCTCCTGCAACTGTCAAAAATGACCTACTAAGTCCTCAGTGAATACTTTTCTAACAACCTACTTCATACCCCTACTTTTACCCTTTGTGTCACAATACCCCACTGCCTCTAGCATGTAAGCTCATTGAGCAGGGCCCTCAACCCCTATTATCCTGTGCATCCAACATGTCTGGTTAGAATTACATGTATGTTAGTCCACCCATTGTACAGCACTACGGAATCTGATGGCGCTATATAAATAATAAAATAATAGTAATGACAACACTAAATATAATATTGTCAATACATTCACAGGTTGATGTACTTGACGCCAAACATTTAAAGCCTTATACAATTTTATTGCTGGCTGGTATAAATGTGTGTAATCACCAGATATTTCCCAGTGATCCACCATCAATCTGTGTGTGTGAGGTCATTATGGAGAAGAACTTGTTGTTAAGGTTGTTTTCCCATTTTATTATGCCCTCTTGTGTAACACAAATTACTTAAGAGAACAAACAAACTCTTACATGGTATATGCTACATCTCTCAAAAAACATTTTTACTTTGCAGATCACATTTCAAACCTTTTACTGACTGATAATTAATAGTCTAACCCAGAATACTTTCCAAAGAAAATCAAATGTACGAAAGTAGTTTGGCCAACTAATGCTCCTGAATAGTCTCTTTCAAGACTCTGTCTCTCACACAACTCATGTATATATTCCATAACCTGTAAAGATAGAGATACCTCATCAAACCTCTATATTGCTGACTAACGCACCTCCCTTGCATAGATAAGGACAGGGTTTTCTGAAATATGTATGACAATCATGATTTTATTAAAGACACAGAGACAGGTATTGTATTTCTATTTTCTTTACTACCCTAAGCAGCAAAGAAAATAAATATTAGTTCCAGAACTTGAATGCTTAAAGAGATACTGTAGACACCAAGACCACTTCAGCTCATTGAAGTGGTCTGAGTGCAATGGCCCATGTCCCTTAACCCTGAGCATGTAATTATTGCAGTTTTCATAAACTGCAATAATTACCTGCTAGGGTTTACTCCACCTTTAGTGGTTGTCTACCAGACAGCCACTAGAGGGACTTCTGGGCTCAAAGGCGACTTTTGGTCACTTAAATGATGCTGGGCGTCCTCATGCTATAGAGGAGGACTTCCAGCGACACCGAAATCCCCATAGGAAAGCATTGAATAATGCTTTCCTATGGGGAAATCCTAATGCGAGCGTGGCCATTGGCGAGGGACATCGGCGTTGGACCCAGGGAAGTGACAGAAGGGATTATTAACCCTTTCTGCACCACGGGGAGGGGCCTTGACAGAGGGGGCATCCCCTTTAAATATTGAAAAGTTTTATCACACCTGCCTCAAGCCAGTTAAATCCGGGCTTTTTTTGTGGTCACCTAAAGCAAAATGCTTCCAACATAAAGCTTGTAGATGAAATTGTAAACGATTACCGTAAAGCCACAGAGAAACAGAAACCTGAAAAAATACGGAAATGTGGTTCATGTGGAACAGAGTTCTGTGAAAAAGAGATTGTTTACATTAGGAAAATCTGAGAAATCAATCTGTAAGAAAATGTATTATGACACAATATAAAGCAATCAATGAAATAACCTAAGCGATCATATAGTGCATGCTAAGATTACAAATAAACCATAATATGGACTCTGGACATATAAGTATAATGGATGGGTTGATAAATGTGCAAACATCTAATTTTCTTTAATAAAATCATGACTTTCTGAAATTTACAATAAGCTTTCCTTAAATCGTGATCATCTAATACTAGCAAGATTTTATTACAAGATATGAAGGATGTTATTATGTTACTTTAACGTCGATTAATGTATAAATAATCCAAATTTCAAGTGGTTTAAAGTAGCTTTCTTGAAGGCTGAACCTGAGTGTGCTCCATTATGAACGCTTTTACATTTAGCCATTTAAATCCACATACCTAGAGGGCGAGAGCCCTGTTGTGGTTCCTGTTTACACTTTTCATTCTGCTACCCCGGTTATTGACTCAGCTCCATTATCGTGGTTCCTGATGTTTAGAATTCCTTGACTCGACTTTATGTTCGTTGTACTATATCTCTTTATATCCACAAGGTTGGCCATGTTTTGGCTTTTCTCTCACCTGTGTCAGGCTCTACGTCCCTTCCCCTCTCTATAGGTAATTACATTAAAGGAATACTGTGAGCACTATAGTCATTTCATCACATTGAGTTAGTTATTCCCTGGCACTATCCGTTCATTCAGTGTTAAACCATTTTCAAGCAGTTAATCACTAAAAAGGGCCCTGGATAACCACACCCCAGGTCCCACTAAAGGTATAGATGAGGTATTGGATGACTTCTTGTCACACAAATGCTATGACAAAGCATATGTGTCTTCTTATATATCAGGGAGCTCCAGACACTATATAAACACTTCAATGAGATGAAGCAGTGACAGAATGGTGATCGGTGATATATGGCTACTATTCCTAACTTTTGCCCGCTGATCTATTCTCTGTAATTTAGGGTTAGTCTATTCTTGACATCAGTCTGCTGACTTCATAAAATCTTCCAGCCTACAACGTGTGGAGAATGCTTTGCAATCCATGACAAGTCAAATAATTTGCTCAATGTAGTTCAATATTAATTTTGTCTGACAGAAGTTTACATGTCATAACTGCTGCCCTGACAATCTCTGGCACCTCAGGTGTAGATGGCCAACTGCTCCCAATTTTAAATCAATAGATTGCCTGATAATCAGGGTATTTGAGTTCTCGATCATCTGGAGAGGGGATGGGGGGGGGGTAAAGGGTGGGGGTGAAGGGGGTGGGAAGAGATGGAAGTCAAGATATATATTTGGCACAAATTAAAAGGTGATTCAATCCCTGTGTAGATTGTAATGTAAGGCAAGCTTGCCTTGCTTGCCCTAACTAAGGTTGGAAAAAGGTATCTGTCCTGGAAGATTGTAAATTATATATAATTATGGTTTATAAAATTATAGAACACATTCCAGTTCAAACTGTATCACAAACCATATAAAAACATTACATAGCAACATGTGTTATAACGTTGTTAAGGAGTAAATGTGACAGAAATATAGTTTTATGCTTTTTTCCAGCTATGAATTATAGCAGCAGTATCAAAGTCAATAAAAATTTACACCACAACTTAACCTTTTCTTTCAGGTCTAATGTGTGCAATCGAGTTAGCTCAACAAATCTCCGCATTTCCTCAGACATGTATGCTTGGTGACAGAGCTTCTGCCTACTACAGCAGTTTTGATGCCTCCAACTTTACAGATGCAATGCAATATGAAATGAACCATGGATTGCAAGCACTTAATGAAGAAATGGTTTCTGGAGCAAAGAGGTTCAGTAAAGGAGAAGGAAGGAAAGGAAGTAAATTATAAATTAGTCTTTAGAAGGAAATAAAACATCCATGGTGTTTTGGATTCATAACTATGACATTATTAACATGCTGTACTAGTATATTGCTAGCATGGACCTCAAATAATATTTTTGGATAAGCTTTTTTTCTAATGATTTAATATTTTTGGATAAGCTTTACAATATTTTTTTCTAAATGTTGAAAGAAAAAAATATATATAATCTATAAAAAAAATCAATATGTCAAATATTTTAAAATATCAAAAACATTTTCATAATATTAAATCATTTGAAAAGTGTATTCAAGAAAATTAAATAATTTGAAAACCTTCAGAAAACCTTTCCAAATCATTTATCTACACAAGTTATCAATAAAGTCTATGGGAAGTTTTGTAGATAAATCATTTGGAACATTTTTCTAACAGTGTTGAATCATGTGTAAACATATTAAAGTGGGTCCTTAACCCCTTAAGGACACATGACATGTGTGACATATCATGATTCCCTTTTATTCCAGAAGTTTGTTCCTTAAGGGGTTAAAGAGCCATTTGATCAGTCATGATTTGTAGTAGGGATGTCAATGGGCAAAAAATTTGGTTCAGCACTTCCAAAATTCGGCACTTCAGTTCGGTTCAGCACTTCCGAAATTCGGCACTTTGGTTTGGTTCGGCAATTCCCTAAGCCTAACCCTACCCCTAACCTTAACCCTAACCTAACCCTACCCCCAACCCTACCCTTAACCCCAACCCTATCCCGACCCTAACCCCACCCCTAACATAACCCCAACCCTAACCCTAGTAGGGTTGGGGTAGGGTTAGGGCTAGATTCCTGTGATCATTCCCTTAATTTTACCTCCCTCTCCTGTTTTGCCACTTTTCAGAAATCCGTAGAACTTCCGAAATTCGGCACTTCAGCAATTCGGTTCGGTTCGGCACTTCTAAAATTCGTCAGTTCGGCAATTCGCAAGTGTCCGAATTGCGGAAATTTGTCCGAATTTAAATTCAGACCGAAACGAATTGCACATGTCTAATTTGTAGGTTTTGATAATCTATTAAAATTTCAGGTTTTGTAAACTGAGGTGTGCAGGTACCTAATTACATAGTTAGATATGTAGCCGAGCACAATATGGTGGGAGTTAGTACAGCAACAGTACAGCACACATCTGGTTTACTAAATACACAGTGAAATTGCAATGTAAACATTGCCGAAAAGTTAATTAACCCCTTAACGCCGTTACAGCGTTCTATGCCGTCCCGCATTAAAATGGCTTTAAAGCCGTTGCGGCGGCATAGAACGCCGTAACGGCTTGCAGCCCCAGGAGATCGGAGGTACTTACCTCCGCCACGATCCTTTTCTGGAGGGCTGCCTGACAGCCCAGGTAGCCCTCCCCCCGGCAAATGTGGCCACCCGGGGCCATGTGATCCCTCTCAAAGAGTGATCACATGGCCTCCTATAGCTGGCTGTGGATCTGCCAGCAGGGGGACTGTCTACAATGTCAGACAGCCCCCCTGCTGGTAGGAGGTGTAAAATAAATTAATTAAACATGTTTTAAAAAAAAAATTATGTTTTATATGTATATATAAAATGTATATATATATATACATTTTATATATATGTAACATCATACGTAGTGTATTTTAATTTAATATAAGTACATATATATATAGATATATACACATATATTATATATATACACGTATAATTACAATAATAAATAAATAAAATAAATAAATAAATAATTAAAACAATATTTAATATAAATTATATATTCATATGTAATTTCATTCAAACTGTATTTTGTTATTAATATATATATATATAATGGTAACAAAATATATATATTGGTAACAAAATACACTTAGAATGACATTCTATATATATCTATATATAAAATACAAATAACCGCAAATATATATATATATATATATATAGATAAATACATATAATTACATAAAAGATTACATTAGTATACACGTAGAATTTAAATACCTATAAATGCATATATATTAAAATTCTACATGTATAATTAAGTAATCTTTTAACATAATTATGTGACTTGATTAATTAAAAATTGATTGACATGCCTGACAACACAGGGAGAAAGTGCAGAGAATTTAATTCGCAAGCACTATATTTGACCCTGTAACTCTCCAAGACACCATAAAACCTGTACATAGGGGGTACTGTTTTACTCGGGAGACTTCGCTGAACTCAAATTTTAGTGTTTCAAACTGGTAAATTGTATTACAACAATGATATTTTAAGTAAAAGTTACTTTTTTTGCATTTTTTACAAACGAACGGCACTTTTATGGACTATATTATGTAATATGTTTTACTGTTTTAAAACACTAATATTTGTGTTTAGTGAAGTCTCCCGAGAATAACAGTACCCCCCATGTAAAGGTTTTATGGTGTTTTGGAAAGTTAGAGAGTCACATATAAGGCTGGCATTTCATTTTTTTGACATTGAAATTTGCCAGATTGGTTATGTTGCCTTTGAGAGTAGACAACCCAAGGTATTGCAAGTGGGGTATGTCCAGTCTTTCTTAGTAGCCACTTAGTCACAAACACTGGCCAAATATTAGTTTTTTGCTTTATTCACACAAAAACAAATATGAATGCCAACTTTGGCCAGTGTTTGTGACTAAGTGGCTACTAAAAAAGACTAAACATACCCCACTTTCAATACCTTGGGTTGTCTACTTTTTCAAATGGTATGCCATTATGGGGGTAATTCTCATTCCTGGGCTACCACACTGTCTCAAAGGTAACATTACTAATCTGGCAAATTTCAATATGAAAATGGAACGTTCTATATTTGACCCTGTAACTTTCCAAAACACCATAAAACCTGTTAATGGGGGGTACTGTTGTACTCGTGAGACATCACTGATTACAAATATGTGCATTTTTTTGCAGTAAAACCTAACAGTAAATTTAAATACAAATTAAAAAAAATCTTATTTTCTCACATTTTTAAAAATTTTATTCATAATAAATTATGTTCCATATATGAATAGTTAATGATAAATTAAAGCCCTGTTTCTCCTGAACAAAATGATATATAATAAGTGTGGGTGCACTTAATGTGACAGCGGTGAATTACGGTTGAACAGACACATAGCGCAAATTCCAGTTTTTGTTTACGTTTTGATCAGAACGTGCACTATTGACGCCGTCCTGTAGGGGTTAAATAACGTTAAATATTTACAGTGAAAAAATGGCCCATTGTTAGGCTCATAACACATCAAATGAGATACCCCAAAGTGTAGATCGTGAATTCAGATTAGGGGGTAACTTGATCTGATGGTCTGCTAATATACTCCACAATAAGATATCGGTCTAACAAAGGAATATGTTGGGATTCTAAGTTTGAAAACTTAACAGGACAAATATTTCTAATATGGCTGTGAAATATCTAAAAAAAAAAAAAAAAAAAAAGGTTTATAGGAGAAAACGGCTGGACTCAGGAGTTGCAGTTGAGCAGAATATCAGCAAAATACATTTTAGTTATGAAATACACAGAAAATCCAATGTTTGTGTGTATGTAAAAAACACACAATATGACCATTTTTTTAGTTTGGTGGACAATGAACGTGTCATAGTGCCTCTATCTAAATATTGTAGATTGCATACTTTATGAAAATATTTACTTGTGTGGTAACTTAGATTTTTGAAGACTCTATTAAGAATCCAAACATACCAAAAAGCTTTAAAACAATATTGTATCTCTTGTAAATTGTGACCTGTAACTGAAATCTTATACATATATACTCCATAAATCAGGACAAATAAATCATTTGTGAAGCACTTTTCTTTACCTGTTCTTTACCTTTGTATACACTTTATTATATGCAAAACTGTGCAATATGCTTGAGTGCAATAAATGAATGGAAATTATAGTTGAAAAAATATGCCAACTTTGCTTGTGTCCTTAAGTACCAAACAAGCAAAATGAGTATGTGTCTCTACTATGGGTGAAACACTTACCATCTGGCATTGATAGTCAGATTTAATGTGTGATGATAAGGCTGACAGTGTTGTGCTCGAGCACAGAGCGGACATGTGTGTTTCTTATGGCAAAACAATTGTTGTCTATGTGCACTGCATCATATGTAACTACGAGAAGTATTTTATTGACCAGGAGATCATTAGTACTCATGATCTTCCAGCAAGTGTACTGGAGCCCTGAATTACAGGTAAGTTAACTATTTATTTTAGAGAAAAAAAAGGGGAACCCAAAATCTCCAATGACTATACAATGTATTTATGTAGAACACTGAATTGTTCCTTTAAGACTGATTCTACTCCCTCCCATCGAGTGAAAGATGAAATTGCTTTCAGAAAAGTCAGGTTGTAGTTTATAAGCTAACACAATAAAAATTGTTGTTAACTCCTAAAATCCTTGATTACAAAGACAAAACACAACCTTGGGTAGAGTTATTATTTATGAAAAAGATTTATCATACCAGATATATAATACTGTGAAAGTATTTAATTGATAAGGTCATAAATGTGACCTAATCTATGATTATTTCATATATACAATACTGTGCAAAAGTTTTAGGCAGGTGATAAAAATGCCATAAGGTAAGAATTTGTTCAACAATAGAAATGTTAATTGTTTCTTGTAATCAATTAACACAATGCAAAGTTAGGGAACATAATAAGAATCTGAAATCAATATTTGGTGTGGCCACCCTTTGCATAATGTGAGAATTTTGTAGGCATATAATGATTATTAGTGGTTTTTATAGTGCCAACATAATCCGAAGTGCTTTACAATTATATAAAGGGGTATTTAGAGGTGAAGGAGGCCTTACTCAAATGAGTTTACAATTTATGAGGATTTGAGGTAAGAATCTATAGCGTTAGGTGTTTTTTTTCAAGAAAACTGCTGGTGAGATGATCTGACCGGCATTTAAACCTGAATTTTGTTTTTCTAAGCCAGTGATGTTACCACCGCTCTAGTCAACACAAAGAAATGGGCAATGTTAAGAACCATAGATTCAATGGCTATGGAAAGATGCAATGGCTAAGGAAACAGTGCAGCAGATGAAACATCATGCTTTAACTCTGATGTAGAAACAAGACCAAGAGATTCAAGTACACACTGGAACTGGAGTGCAGAAAAATGGCGGCAGGTGCTCTAAACTGACGAGTCTAAATATTTGATTGTAGCAGAAGGCAATTTGTTCTCTGAAGGACTAGAGAACGGTACAAGAGTAAGTTTCTGCAGGCAATAGTAAAGCATGCTGAGTATTCCTTGAAAGCTTGGGGCTGCATTTTGTTTAAATTTGGGGGGAATTTAGTTAGAATTTATAGTCTCCTCAATGCTTAGATGTACTAGCAGATGTTTATCAATCATGCAATACCATCTGGGAGGCCTCTGATTCTCTTCACATTTATTCTGCAGCATGGTAGCAACCCCAAACATATACCCAAAATCATTAAAGGGACACTGTAGGCACCCAGACCACTTCAGCTTATTGCAGTGGTCTGGGTGCAAACTCCCATCACCCTTAACCCTGCAGTGGTAATTATTGCAGTTTTTATAAACTGCAATAATAACCACTGAGGGTTCACTCCTCCTCTAGTGGTTGTCTACCAGACAGAGACTAGAGGGACTTCCTCAATTGAAACGGACCTTTGGTCTGTTATCTGACGCTGGATGTCCTCACGCTCTGCATGAGAAGCGTCAGATCCTAATGCAAGTGTGGCCATTGGGGGAGGAGCGTGGGGGGAGATGAGCCAGCACCGAGGAACATCGGCGCTGGACCCAGGTAAGTGACTGGAGGGGTTATTAACACCTTCAGCACAAAAGGGAGGGGGCCTTGACAGAAGAGGAAGCTATAGTGCCAGGAAAACAAGTTTGTTTTCCTGGCACTATACTTTCCCTTTAAGAACTATCTTTAGTGTAGAAAAACAGAGTCCTGGAACTGGGATCTGAATTTAACATCATCACAGAGCCTTAATCCCAACATCATTGAGTATGTATGTGATTATATGAAAATACAGAAGCAACTGAGATACGCAGAAGAGCTTGAAGTATGGAAAATCCCACCTGCCTAATTCCTTACAAAACTGTGTGCAAGTGGGTCTAGAAAAATTCTGCTTTGAAGGCAAAAGGTGGTCACACCTAATATTGACCTGACTTTAATTTTTCTTCTGTCAGACAATTATTATTATGTTCACTGGTACAAATGAACTCAACTATTTAACTAACTATACTTTACAGCATTTTTTTCACACCTGCCTAAAACTTTTCCAAAATAGTGTGTTAAATGAATCTTATCACAAATGTACAAACATGCAACAACTGAGAAACTGTAGCAGTATTGAACAATATTTTTCAATATTTTTAGTATTTACCTTTGCAACAGACATGCAATTTAATCTTCTTTCTATACATTTCCACTGCAGTTATTTACTTTTACTTTTTTTATTCCCCTTTTTGCATTTTTTTCCATCTGCATCCCAAACAATCTTTTCCTTCGGCTGACCTTTTCCTTCCTTACCTCGTGCACTCACTTCCCAACATCTATCCCTCCTGTTTTTCCTTTTACCATCATTAGACAGGACGTACTAGCAATTTAGATAAAATTATACTTAATTGAAAATCCTATGTCACCTTTAAGTGGAAATCAAAATATTTACAATATTTAACGTGAAATATTCTTATACATTTTCTCCCAAGACAGCAATGTGTGTTGATTTTAGATTTAGACATTGCATATGAAAGTTATTTTCGCTTAACAGTAACTACTTAACAGGGTTTGCCTCTAAGAGTGTTTTGCCTGCAAGTAGGAACAGTTAATTCCTCAATTCAGTGTTCAGTTAATTTATTTCTTATTGTAGTTGAGCGATTGAGAGTTTACCCTTTATGTAGAGATATCTATTTTTGATCACATTGAAAACATAAGTGCAGTGTAACCACAGCCTTTTATTACAAGATTAATTATTGGAGATCATGTTATCTACAAGTCACTGCAACATAGGTAAGTACACTTTGTAGTGACTTGTATATATTGCAAATTCATGTTAATCACATTCTGAAACTCACAAGAGTCTTGCTCAAGCCTAAACAATGAACTCATACCCTTATCATGCTTCTGAACAGAAATTTCATCCAGTGACCAACTGCTGGCATGGAAACTGGATCTCATTCAACAGGAAAAATGTAACAGGAATTCAAATCGGATATGGTGACATATTACCTCAGACAGAACAGAATAAACTGAAAACTGGATATATCAACACAGATATCAGGAGTGGAGTTAAGTTTCCATGGCAACAGACAGATTGGATGTGATACAAAACTTGAAGTCAGTATCCCCAGGGTAACACTGTTGTAATTACTCTAGGTGACTGTCATCATAATGTTGCAATGTGATCAGCAATGTCACGCGACAAGGCCTCAGTTAATAGCCTGTTGGCCTGAAATTTGCTCTTATGATTTGGGTACAATTGCTAGTTTATTGAATAGATTCCAATCTGTCACTATTGTCCTAGACTGAAATTAATTTATAGCAGGAATACATTTTTCATTGCTAGTTGATTTTTACCTCATCACTATACTGAATATATATATATGAAGCTCTGAAGTTTATCGGTCCAATGTCAAGTATGTACATTGTTATACCAGCTAGTTTTTTTGCAGTATACAAAGAAAATTAGACTACAGTTCTGTGGTAGACAGCCACTAGAGGTGGAGTTAACCCTAGCAGATATTTTTTGCAGTTTCTTGAAAACTAGAGTTCTGGGCTGACTAACGTCAATTTGTGCAATATTTGTGGCTCAGAATGTCGGTCATTTGCTGAGAGCAATCAGCTGACGCTCTCAACCAATGAATGTTGACCTCCGCTTTTCCAGTGACATGTTTCTGGATTCAGAGCCAGAAGCATGTCACTGGACTACCAGAGAGCATCAGAGCCCAGAAGGGACCCAGGTATGGGGGCAAACCATTGCTAAATGGTTATCCCATTTACAGGTAAAATGGGTCAGAGTACTTCTAGCATCATTACCCCTAGAGTGGGCTGTAGTAGTTATAATGCTTGAAGTAACCCTTTGAGCTAATTAGCTGTTACTGTTTGAATATATATTGGGCTTGATTTAAAATGTACTAATATTGGAAAAATATTATAAAATCTCTATATCGATTATTCCATACATTTGCATTGCAAATGTCTCATTTTGGAGGAGATTTTTAAAGACAAATAAGTGATACTCAGGGTCAATGAGCTAAATATTGAAACATTTAATTTGGGTTCTATGTTCATTGCCCTTATTTAATACTTTTCCCAGAATAGCGGCTGTCAGACTGACAGATCAATATCTTTGACTTTCTATTTGCCCAGCTTTTGAAGTACAAACACATTTGCAAAATTGAGTTTGAACATATTTGTTTTTTGCTCCAGATTTGCTGGATACTTTTGCTAGTTTTCTAGATCACCACAAGATGTCCTCTGTGGGATCTCTATATCAAACCAGCTGCTTTAGTCCTGGCTAAACACTGCATCTTTGAAATGGTTGACACTGAAAAGGAAGTTTTAGTAAAACCAAACATTACAACACTAGGCTTGATCAGATGATGTGTTTCAGTCGGTAGCGGATTTATCTTATGGTAATCCCATTTAATTGCTTACTTTCAGCGTTAACCTAAACAAAAATTCTCAGTGCTCTTCTAGAATAAGCTGTGCTCTTGAAATGCTTGACATAGGATTACCGCTGGAAAATTTTACTGCCACCACCTTTGTAACAAATGAGCTTTTTTGTAGTTAAAGAGCTACTGTAGTTCAAATTGATAAAAAATATTTAATGCTAGACATGATAGAAAGGTGTCATAATGCACAGTGCATCGCAGTGTTGGGCTGCCAGCCTCAAATTGGCCAGAGTGCCAATAAGGACCACTGTGCCGAAAGCCCCTTCAATGAGGATGTGAACATCATAACTGGCCAAGGAAAAATAGAAGAAGGTTGCCTAGTTGAAGATACTTCAGAACACATTCAGAGGTCTTGTGGAGCCCAACAGCATCAAAGCTGTTTTGGCAGCCCGAGGGGGACCTACACAATATGGTTTTAATGTCGTGGCTAATCAGTGTATTTCCATATTGGTTGACTGGTACAGTGTATAGATGACATTTAAAACAGGAACATTAAAACAGAACCAAACAAATTATCCACTTAATCTTTTAACACAGATATTCTATTCTAATGATATTTTCAATTGTAGGCAACAAACACTATTCATACATGTTATATTGGAGGAAATTCTAAATGGGAGTTTGTATGCCTTGATTTTGAAATTGCAAATTTGCAAAAAATAAACAGTTTATTATAATTCAGTCATTTCACACCACAGATTGCAAGAAGCAGAGCTGACTATTTGGTGTTTATTTTGCACTCATTAGAAAATATTGTTTTACTATGTATACATTCATTTCAATGGGCAGAATACATACTTTGTTTAGCACGTCTAATCAAAATATGCACGCATACATTTATTGCAGCTTTGAATATGTTTAATCATTTTAATATTAAGATTTTAACTTAATTTCAAAAGAAATATCTTCAACTATGCTCCTGTTATTGCTCCTTTCTACATTTTAATGGAACACTGTAACATTACGAATACAAACAAAATACAAACAAATACATTTTTATACAGCATATTGCAGTTCGAACTCAGACAATTGCATGAAGATATTCCAAAGCCCAAATGAGCTATTAGAGTCATACCTCACCTTACATGAGAAATATGAGAATAAAATTAGAGAGAGTATTAGAGGGATATGTAAGAATTGGGAAGAAAGATGGGGGATGTAGAAAGAAGGACAGAGAGAATGGGAAAAAAAGGAAACCAGAGCCAAGCCAATTTCAAAACATACTACTGTAAATATTTCAGAAGTCGTACTCCATCCATGGGTTCCACACCTTGTTGAAGGATTGGAAGTGTGATGTAGAGAAGCAATGAGCCTCTCTATCTGCATAGTATCTTTAATTTTTAGAATGATTGCTTTGAGGAATGCGGGAAAACATGCAACCACTTTTTCAGCCAGGGCTCTATAGGTGGCAAGAGTGATACTAAACAGTAACTTGTTCTCATAACATTTGATTGCTCGATTGGCTTAGATGGAAGGAATGTCCATGGATCCATCGACATAGGTTGCGATAGGACTGCCTCACAGTCCATGAGCTGTTCTTCAGAATACAGTGAGTTGTGGGTATGTCCACCACATTTGTAAACAAGTACCCCTAGAGATACACATACCCCAGCATAGGTCCGAGTGTATGCCGCATCCGGTGGAGTTAAACAGGTGTAACATACCACCTGAGAATCGATTAAATCCTCTGTTCCTGTAAAGTGACACACACAATTTCCTTTGCTGTTTATTCCCACATATCAATCCAAACATCTCCTGTGATCTTATCCCCTAGATCCGCTTCCCATCTCTGTAAATATGGTAAATCGTTCCAGTCTACAACTGATGCTAAATAGAGATTAGACCCCTAGTGTATAATTCTTGTAGGCATATGAACTCAAAATGTGTCAAAGCCCTGGTGGCTACTTTGAGAATCTATGCTTTATGAACAAAATAACATATTTGCATATACCTTAAAGGTCTGAAGTGGTTAGTGTGGTTCTAGCTTTTAGAGCATCAAATGTTATGACTAAACCCTTCTCAATTAGATACCTATGAGTACTTGTCTCAGATTCTCAAACAATTACGAATTGGCTGGGAATTGTGGAAGCAAAACATGGCAGGAGGTTTTAGAGAGCCAGATAAAAAATCTGGAGGGAAATGGTCAGATTCAAAATCTACCCATCAACAGGTGTCTGTATGGACTGCAGATCAGAACCGGCTTCTGGGATTGTGAGAGTCTGAAATAGGTAAACTAGACACAGCATTATATTCATCTTAATGGTGTGTACTCTGCCCACCCAGGAGATGGCGTATTTATCCAAATTCTGGATGTCTCTTTTTAAGACAGAGTAAATTAGAGGGTAATTGGTGGTAAGGTCTGATGGCAGTGCAGTGATTCTAATGCCAAGATAAGGGATAGAGGAGGAGGTAAACTGGAGCTAGAAGGTTTCCGACATTTTGTGTGCAATCTTCCTGTATGGAAAGGGCAATGGATTTGGACAAATTCACTTTGTAATCCACCAGGGAGGAAAAATTATGGAGCACCAAGCACAGTGCAGGAAGGGAAGAGGCTGGCCAAGTGATGGTGAGTATAAGGTCAACCATGTAAGCAGCAAACCTGTATTCCTTACTTGCCATCGAGAGACCTTTAACATCCACAGCTTGTCAGATATTAGAGAAGAGCACCTGGACTCGATGGATTAGGTATGGCAATACAGAGATGATACAGAGGACAAGGGGTGTACCAAAAATCTTAGCATCGGTGTTAAAAAGGGAAGTTGGTCTGCAACTGCCAGTGGAATCTGGGGGTTAACCAAGTTTGTTTATTAGGATAATACTGGCCAGGAGTGAGTCCTCTAAAAAGGATTCACCCTCCCATATGGATTGAAACAAAGCCTAGAGCTGGGGAATCAACTCCTGTGAGAAGGTTTTGTAATAAGCCATTGTGAAACCATCTAGCCTAGGAGATTTATAAGGTTTCATGGAAGAAATGGCCTGCGCTAGGCATGTGCATAGGGAAAATTTTCGGTTCGGTTCCGCATTCCGAAATTCGGGATTTTTGCAATTCGGGACTTCGGCACTTCAAGACTTCGGAACTTTGGCACTTCAACACTTCGGCAACTTCGGCACTTCCACACTTCGGAACTTCGGCACCTCGGGACTTCTATTGCAGCCACTTAGTAGATAACTCCCTAATTCCCACGGTATTAGGGAGTTATCTACCAAAAGGTTGAAAGACCTAAATTGGTCTTTCAGCCAAATTTACTAATACTAAGTAAAAATTACTTAGTATTAGTAAATTATGCCCCTACTCGCTATACCGCGAGTAGGGGCATGTCTATTAAACAGTGAGCAGCCTGTGGCTGCTCATTGTTTAAAAAAAAAAAAAAAGACCTATTGCCCCCCCAGGCCCCCACCCCTGAGCGGCAGGTGGGGGCCCTAAAGTAACATGATGGGGGGGACCTATTGTCCTCCCCCCTGGCTGCCACCCCTGAGCTGCGGGTGGGGGCCCTAAATTGGAATAAGGGGGGGACCTAAGGTCCTCCCCCCTGGCCCCCACCCCTGAGCGGCGGGTGGGGACCCTAAATACTAATAAGGGGGGAACCTAATGTCCTCCCCCCTGGCCCCCACCTCTGAGTGGCGGGTGGAGGCCCTAAACAAGAATAAGGGGGGGGGACCTAATGTCCTCCCCCCAGGCCCCCACCCCAGAGCGGCAGGTGGGGGTCTTAGACAAGAATAAGGGGAGGGACCTAATGTCCTCCCCCTGGCCCCCACCCTTGAGCGGCCATGGGGGAGTACATAAGGTCCTCCCCTATTCTAGTTTAGGGTCCCCACCCACCGCTCAGGGGTGGGGGCCTGGGGGGGAGAACATTAGGTCCCCCCCTTATTCTTGTCTAGGGCCTCCACCCACCGCTCAGGGGTGGAGGCCAGGGGGAGGACATTAGGTCCCCCCCTTATTCTTGTTTAGGGCCCCCACCCACCGCTCAGGGGTGGGGGCCATGGGGGAGGACATTAGGTCCCCCCCTTTTCTTGTCTAGGGCCCCACCCACCACTCAGGGGTGGGGGCCAGGGGGGAGGACATTAGGTCCCCCCCTTATTCTTGTCTAGGGCCCCCACCCGCTGCTCAGGGGTGGGGGCAAGGGGGGAGGACATTAGGTCCCCCCCTTCTTCCAATTTAGGGCCCCCACCTGCAGCTCAGGGGTGGGGGCCAGGGGGGAGGACAATAGGTCCCCCCTTCAGTTTAAAAGCCCCCACTCATGCGTCACTAGGTAAGTATATTAGTACTTAGGCAATACTGTGCTTCAGCACTTTGACACTTGGGAATTTCGGTAACTTGGGAACTTCGGCACTTCAGCACTTCAGAACTGCGGCACTTCGACACTTCGGAAATTCAGTAATTTCGGAACTTCGGGACCTCGACAATTCGGACATTCGGAAGCACCCGAATGTCCGAATTGCACGAAATACGTCAGAATTCATATTCGGACCGAAACTAATTGCACATGTCTAGCCTGCGCCACCGCTATCTGTTCATCTCTCAACTGATGTAGGACTAATTGGTTCAGGAAGGATTGAACTCTTCCAATTAGCACAGAGTCACCTGAGGAGTGAGAGGGAGTAGGATAATAAATTTCAGAGTAAAACTCTGTGAATTTATCCAATTTACCATTGGATTCTTTCATGCTTGGAATTGCCTGGACGGCTAAAACTCCATGTATTCTATGGATGAGAGGCATCTTATTGAATCTTTCAAAACAAATGTGATTGTCATTTTAATTCAAGTACATAATTGCTTCCATGGGGGATTTTAATGAATAAATCTATTTATTTATTTTGCTTTTATTTAGCTCACATAAAGCAACAGGAATGTATGAAAAGTTGAACATTATGGGGCTGAAATGATTCTGTAGCCTATGTTATTCTCGCTGTGAAAACATTATCATTTTTTAGCAGGTAATAAAAATCCGAGTGTCTTATTCATTATAAATTTCTTCAATTTTTTTTGTCTCCCATTTCATGCTGGCTGATGTGACTGTGTGCAGTATGTAGAATATCCAGTAGGTGTCTCCAAAGGACTCGTACTTTTTCCAACATGCTTAAACTCCTGTTCAGTAGATGTGAGTTAGTAGCTGCGATGGAAGAGAGACTAAGTCAGAGAAACCTGTATGAAGTTTTCTCTTTCCACTGCAAGGGCTGTGTGACACTGACAAGGAGAATACAGCCTGCGTGATGATGAGGGTTCACCCATGAGACTACATCATCTTCAATTCCACCCTGCCCTCCACCAGCAGCTTAGACAGAGCCGGCCTGGGGACTATTCCTGAGTGTGTGACACATGTTTGTGTTGCTAGGCTGAGGAGATGATGACTTTTTTCGGGCTAAAGGCAAACCTGTCGTTGTCATATCTAATCTGAGATAAAGATACACCAGAAAGGTCCCTTGGAATATTGAATCACAAGAAGACAAAGCTGGAAGATCTGAACTGGTCACCAAGGGGCAGGTGGCTATATTTTTTAGTTATTAAAAATTCTGGTAATTTAGCCATACTGGCAGCTGAGTTCCAACTCTACAAAGGCAAGGTAGTTTATGTTCTAGGGAGACATGCATGCAGATGAGTTCCACCTTTACCCTAAAGAGCACTAGTGAAGCAGGTTGGGAGGTATCTGAGTGCAGGGTGCACGTGTTTTTGGCAGGGAGCATGCAGAGGGCATCTTTGGGTTTATTGGGGTTTCTCTGGATCTCCTGCTCCCTGCTGTTGTTGCCCCTGGCTCTGGGGACACTGGTGGACAGCAGCAGGAGGTCCAGCACGGACAGTGGCTTCATGTACAGGCGCCTGAAAAGCCACGAGAAGAGAGAAATGCAGAAGGAGATCTTGTCACTCCTTGGTCTCCCTCATAGACCTAGACCGGTCCATGGACTTAATTCTGCCTCACAGCAACAGCCAGGAAGGCTCAACTCTGCCCCCCTCTTCATGCTGGACCTGTATAATGCCATGTCTGGCCAGGAACAGGGAATGGACAACAAGGGATGGCAGAGGTCACGACCACACAGCCACCAGGTGAAGGTCAAGAGCCTTCTGAGCACACCCCAGGGCAGCTCCCAGGACAGCGCCTTCCTCACTGATGCAGATATGGTCATGAGCTTTGTTAACCTGGGTGAGTCTCTTTGTACCACCTTTACCTGTCTCCCTTTCCCTGCCATGCACTGTTTAATATGCTAGAGATATAATTTCTCCTATTTCTCCCCAGTCTGCGGAATTAACTGCCATTAAAATCTGCTGTGCCATTTATCTTCAACACGTTCTTGTATTTTCCATTTTGCTGATTTTGAAGTATTATGTGAAAGATTCCCTCCCACGTATACAGACAGAAATACCCATTTGGCCACACTACACTTTGCTGTACAAAAACAAAACACTTGTTCTTTTTACAATATAATGTTGCAACAGCACTAGGGGGGTGACATTGTAACGTAATGCTTATTTCCTGGGTGCAGTAGTACATATGCACAGATGCAGTGTAAACAAACAGTAGAATATTGAATGCCAATAGTGTGTTTTGGGATCAACTCTTCTTCAGTGGAACGCACACACTTTCTCTCCACCTGCTATGGAGTGAAGTACACACATTTACTGAGAGAGTTAGTGCCTGTAAAAGCCAGGCTATGCAATTACATTGCAGTTAATGAAGAGTAAGACATTTTATTAGAACTGATTGTGAGCAACTGGAGGCTACAGTCAGCAATGCTGTTCATTTCTATTGAGAGTGGTAGGGTGCTTTTTTTGGACAAATGTTCAAGAATAATGGACTAGACATTTGTTTGTAAACATTTTCAACAGAAGTATAAAATTCTCTGAGAAAGGATGTTGTATTATTATTACCACCACTCATTTACATAGTGTGCCTGAAATTTAGCAGTGCTAGATACATAAATAATTGCACTTTTTCCAATATGTGGCACAAACCATCTTTTTAAATTAACCATAAGCATGAGAAGAAAAAGGGACAAAACTGTGAAATAAATAAATAATGCCATACACTAAATGCCAGACAATTATAGAGTAATACAGGGGTCTCAAAATTCATAAACGATAACTCAATATCTTTTACCCTTTTCCTGCAGTTGGCACACTATTTATGTTGGTATTAATGTTTTTCCATAAATGTTCTCATGGTAGTACATTCGTATATAAAAGGAAATAAACCAACTCACATTCTATTAGTGAAATTAACCTGTTTTTTAAGCATGGAGTTGCTAAAAGTAGATCTCCAGAATATGTAGATTGAAAACGTCTATGACGCTCAGCTCAGCTATTCGTTGACTGAGCATCTTGAGTGTTGTAGTTCAGTTAAAAATCAAGATCTAGTTTTTGGCTGCCACTCTGGTGAATTGATGCTTAGAATGATGCCAATTGGGAGATCCCTTCCTGCAAAACACATTTTTATACCTGCAAC